AGGACAGGGGTGGGTTCTGGTAGAGGGGTGTTGGCGACCCAGGGGGGCATGTATTTGTCCTTGACAGCCCAAAGACGTTGTTTGTGGAGATCATCCAGGTCAGTGTTCTTTCGGGTCGACAGCTCGGCACGGCCGATGACTCGAAACACTGCCTGATGAATCGCAAAGGCGGCATCGATCAGAGAGTCGATGTCAGTGAGCAGCTCAGAGGGTCCCTGAGCCTGCCATTGCTGTAAGGCCTGTCGGACAGCTAGTGTAAGTTTGGGGGTGTAGTCTGTGTGCACGAGTTCCGTTGACGAGGAGGACGAGCCCCCGGCGCTAGCGGAAGAAGATGGTGGTTGCGGTTCAAGATCCATGGATGAAGACAAGTCGTGCACCTGAAAAGGGAAGGAAGGAAACCACGACGTGCACATGTTCTCACCAGACGCCTACCACCCGCGAATTCTCCCAGAAGAACCACATTCAGATCAGATCGAAGCTGATGCATGAAGACACAGGGGCAGATATCAAAAGATGGTCCATTGTGTGGCAGCGACGTGTGGCGGTCTCATCTCGACTCCAAGCTCGGTGGACACCTGCACACTCAGTCTCTTCTTCTGGGAAAGCATTTCCACCTCACATTCACTTCAATCTACATCAGTCTCGACGCCCCAAGGACCGCCGTTCCACTCAAACCCACAGTCTCCATCTCACTGAGTCCAGGTCTGCCTCTGGCCGTCCCAAGCAAACGTCTTTAGCTCATTACATCAACGTACCAGGACCATAAAACTATATGGGCGGCTCGCTGAGTCTTCTGATGAGGCTTCAAAAGGTGTGGGCTCCTGCCTCACACAGAACATTGTCTTCTCGCTGACGAGCGCCGGTCGCCAGGCATTCAACCCAACAGTCGTCGCAAAACAAGATGCCCTGCTACAGATTGGTATCCTGGGTGCGGCACAGATAGCTCCATCGGCTATCATCTTGCCAGCTCGAAATCATCCAGAAGTTGCGGTGGCAGCTGTTGCGTGTCACGACAAAGGAAGGGGCGACAAATTCGCGAAAGCAAATGGGGTGCCGCACATATACCACGGCAGCAACGCCTACCAAGGTCTGCTTTTGTGGCTTCTTGGTCTCTCTGGACTCACAGGATGTACAGAACTCCTTGACGACTCTACTATTGATATCGTTTACATTGCCGTGCGTCTTTCGCCGCTTCGCGTTCTGTCCTCAATCTTCACTGAATTTGTTGTTCTAGCTGCCGAACGCGCTTCATTATGAATGGACGATGAAATCCTTGAAGGCCGGAAAGCATGTTTTATTGGAGAAGCCCAGCGCTAATAACGTTGAGGACGCAAAAGCTATGTTTGCGTATGCCGAGGAAAAAGGTCTCGTTGTTCTCGAAGGGTGTCATTCCAGGTGGGCTTGCATTCCTTCAACACAGAGGGTAGTCCCAAATACGTGACCTTTAACAGATTCCATCCCGCAATTGTCCGCTTCAAATCAATTATTGACAGTGGCAAATTCGGAAAGGTTGTCTCTTTTGCCGGTGCTTTCCGTCTTTCTAAGCTCCTTGGAGATGACGACATCCGCTTCAACCTGAGTCTCGGCGGTGGAACGCTAATCGATCTTGGAAGTAAGCTCACGTTGCGCCTTTGTTGGCTTCATTTCGCTGATCTCTCCAAGGCTACGTTCTCGCTCTGACGTGTTATGCATTGTCCTCTGAGCTCACTGGCATCGTCCAAGCCCACGCTGACAGACTTTCAGACGATCCCAATGCCGACACCTCCAAAATTGATCTTAGGACCACTGCGACCCTAGCATTTCCATCCGATATCACCTCGTCTGTGGACGCAGACTGGCATAAGCCGCGCTACGGTCCTTTCGGGCTCCTCATGGGTATGCCCGAAGCCAGCTTGACTTGTGTCATGGAAGGAGGCGAGGTCAGGCTGTCTAACTACGTATTCCCGAACATCTGGCACTCGCTGTCTGTCACCCCAAAGGGCGGGAAGAAGCAGATGGAATATGCGTATGCATTCGAAGGATCTCCGAAGGAGCAACAGTACTGGTCTACGTGTGTCCCATTTTGCTTTCAGCGATGTCATCACTTATAAACTTCAACCCCCTTAGGTATCGACACCAACTTGAGGCATTCGTTGACAAGATCAAGGGACGACAGCCCAGAAACTGGGTGACGCCGGAAGAATCCATCAAGATCATGAAATGGATTGACAAGCTGTACGAAAATGTGAGCTTTGCTTGCTTGATTCGTGTAGGTATTCGAAGCTTATCCACTGTTGTAGACTGGACTGGGTCCACGACCAAGCACATCCTTCGTTTTTGTCAAGTAGTGTTTGGCTGAAACTAGCTGCATCGCTATGGCCTGTTCGGTTGTTCGTGTTCGTAGCTACTGTCTGCATATGGTATAGGGGTTGTATCGTATTTAACTCGTCAATGAAAGCAACGTCCTCAGAGGCAGTGCTGGGCTCATGACCGGCGAACGTGTGTAGCTGAGTCCTTCGGATGATGTAATAAAGCGGGTTGAGTTGCGCTTTGTAATTTCCGACGTCCATCACCACCCGGTGCAGCTCATGCAGAAGAGATCAGGGCTGCGGTGCTCTTCATCGCCGTGAGCTCCATAGCGGCCGTGGTACTGGCACTCTCGAACTATTTGAGGAGACGAAAGACACATGCCCGGAAATGGTACTCGTCAGGCATGTTTGTACGTCAGCACACTACCTCGTCAATCATTGGCGCCTTCGCGAGCTGATGCTCTGGCTCTTGTACGTCTACCAAAGCATATCGATGAGGCCATGGCCGTTATTTCCACTCCAATGATCTCAATGACGAGTCGAAGCGGACTCTTGTTGCAGGCAGACGTGTTTCAATGCACGATTAAAAGCAAATAGATAAACAAATTCATATGATTGGAAGTACAGAATACAGTACAGATCGTGTTAAGACCCTCTCCTACGCCATGGCCGAATGACCCCTCTTCCGATCCAGCCAGAGCCAAAGAAACTTGAGCATTAATTATTAGTAGTCGGAGCTAAAGAGACCTTAAGAGGCAACTGTGCGTTTGTGGTGCGCTGGCCCGTTACGGTTGGCCTCACAATGCTGCTCATCTCCCAAGTGATCGGAGGGCCCTCCGCAAAAGCGAATGCTTCCACAATTGTCGACAAGACGAGTTCTGCTGGATGCGTGAGTGCAAGCAGACAGATAAAGGGGGCTTCCATACTCATTTCCATCTCTGCGAACTTGAAACCCCTGGACAGAAATAGTCAAGCGTTAGGACCATACGTGGAAATGCAAGACACTTACATGCATGCTCGACTTCCTCCCAAGAACGTCATCCTGTACACGAAGGTGTCTTCAGTCAGCATCTAAGCACGCGTGCTGGGCAGATCACTTACATTGATGAATAAACTCCAGGGAGACGTGCATCTTCGACGAAAGGAGCCTCCGACTGCAGCCATCGCTCAGGCTTCCATTCTTCAGCATCTTCACCCCAGATCCTTGTGCTGTGATTTGCGCCTATGATGGAGACCATGAGACTCTGACCCTTTTTGATTGCAATCTCCTTGATCTGTGTCTTTCTGTCTGTGGCCGTAATTGGCCACGCCAATGGAAGAATCGTGTCCTGTCTTGCTCTAAGTGTGACTGAATGAGCAAAGCAGGTAATCATGCATGAAGGAAATCACATACACTCGAGGTAAATGTGTGAGCGGAGGGAACACACGCAGAGTCTCTCGACAGATGGCGTCCAGATATGGAAGGCTCATGAGCGTTTCGTAGTCGAATTCTGGGGTACTCGAGCGTTTTCTAGCGTCGATTATTTCTTCTCAGAGCTTGACTTGCCTAGCCGGGTGCTTCGCCAGTTGATGCAGCATACGACACAACAGATGACTTGTAGTGTCCTCGCCTGCAAAAATAAACATGCTATAGGTACATGAGTGCATGCAGTGATTTCGTTCTTTCGACAGATACCTTACTTGTCCCAGGACCTCCTCATCTGGGACTCTATCTTCTTTGGATGTGTCCAGATTGGCCTTTACTGTGCTAGAACTCAGCAACCGCGATGTCCAGAAGGGATTGACTCATACAGAGAGTGCCCAAAATAGAAACATCCTTTGCCTCGCTATCGTCTTCCCCCATTGCCGCAAGCGCTGCCTTCCTGCTTTTGATTATGTCGGCAGACTTTTGATTCAGCGTATCGACAATATCGGCCATCTCTCTGACAGCAGGAGAGGGCAGATAGCGCAGCGCTTGGCGCTGGAACGAGGGAGAGCCTATATCTATCACATATGGTAGGATGTTACGCAGAAGTGTCGTGCGTAAGAAGAGGTGTCTGAAAAGCAAGATGAGAAGCAAGTCTAATGCGCGAGTGCGGATTCAAAGCGCACCCCAGGCGAGAAATCATGTCACTGTAAGCTGATGCATCCTTGTCATCAAGAGGGCCAAAAGAGTGTCCAAGTCCGCCTCGACCGATGTATTCCAAAGCTGCTCGCGAGAACCATCTCATCAAATCAATGACTTCTGGCCCATTTTTGAGTTGCTGCGCGATTCCATTTCGCATCTAGAATGTATTCAACTGTGAGAGAAAATCTCAGCTATAGGAAAGCACACTCACATCCTGCGCGACGGGATAGATCAGCGGTAGAATGTCTCGCATTTTCCTCATGGAGAACAGAGGTTTCAGCATCTTGCGTTGCTTTCTATGCTCTTCGCCTGTATACAATTGTCAATAAGGTCTGCTGGAAATGGGCATCATCGTCCATAAAGCTGACCATAAGCTGATAGCAAGCTCTTCCCAAAGATAGCGCGATTTGTGCTTCGGGAAGTCAGTCAATGAAGTAGCGCAAGTATATAATGGTTCAGGCTCACGAGATGGTGGAATCTGATTCATCATAGTTATCTAGCTCTTTGATGACAATGTAATGCAAGGTCAGTGAATCGAACACCAGCAGATCCTCGGCCTGGAATAGAGCAAAATAAGCATCTTTCGAGTATCTGGACCGTGCTCGACTTACATTGAACATTGTATGAACCCTGACGACTCCGCTGAAGGTCTTGTTCAAGTAAGCATGAAAGCTCCATGCATTCTCATTGAATAGTTGGGTCAGATTGCCTTACGTACATTGCCTCAGACTACAGATTCACATTAGAGAGAAGTCACATACCTGTCAGCCACGATGCACTCGGCGGTCCTGGAATGTGTGGTAACCTCTCTCTGAATCGAAGCCAGTAAACGAGAAGGAGAACCAGCGCGGCAATCGCGACGGCTTGCAGGTCATGCAACGGCATAGCTGAGGGTGAGAGGGGATAAGTTGAGCACCCGCGCGGCATGCCCGCGTTTCGAGAGAAAATCGTGAAGGGCGGACATAGCGTTTGATTGAAGAAGTAGATGTGGTCGTGGCTGTACACGAGTTGAGACGTGTCTCAAGTCGCAGATCATCGGCAAACTTCAAATTTCAATGTGGTGTCTTTCACCGCCGAGTGTGCCAGCATCGCCACGGGCGGCTAAGCTGTTTTGGGGGGATCACAGCCCCGCCTGCTCTGTTCTACTATCCTAGATACGGCACGCTGAACTTACTTCGCCTCTTACTTCAGTAGTCCTGTGCCACACCTGTTGTTTCACACACCTTCGACACAGCCGAAGGCTGTGTATAAATAATGTATGAAAAAAAAATCATCTGTTGTGCCCACAATAGCTTGACACGCCATCCTCTTTATCAGCTTCTATCCTCTTCTATCTTTCCTGATCTTCGAAAGCCGCTGATTTTGTCGCCCACGCATGCCCGACAACACCGCATGCATGTGACTCCTCTTCTATCTTTCCTGATCTTCGAAAGCCGCTGATTTTGTCGCCCACGCATGCCCGACAACACCGCATGCGTGTGACTGAGTCTTCCAAAATGTTAACTCTTTGATCAGAGAACATCGCAACTGAGATATCTTCGGTCTTCCATCGCCTTTCCCAGTATCAAACTTCGGTCGTCAATTGATGCATCTTAAAGCAGGTTGCGCCGCACGCGGTAACAGGGTTTGGGCAGCAAGCACATATTTCGAAGAGATCGCAGCGCCCACCGCCTTGATGACGAGCACTGGTATCGGAATGTCTGCGAGCGCTATGGCGTGGACAAGAGAGATTGTAACAGGGAGTGATTCATCACTATACTCCTAACTGGAACTGCCTTCCACCTTGTGTCACAAAGCACCAAAGCACTTAACCCAATTAAGGGCAAGTCTGCTTTTGTGACCTGCACAAATGATCCCACATAAAAAGCCTGCCACAAGGGCTAGGCTGAGGACGCGCGCAGTGGTATGCAGTCTGGAAAAGGGGCTCAAAGGGCCCTTAGCCTTATGCTCACAACAAAGGGGTGAATTGGCTTGTTAGGCCGCATGCAATAGAATAATGAATCTAAGGTCTTCCCTTAGATCCTCATGGGCTTATATACATGTAGGGGTGGACCCTGGTCACTCTAACTAAGGTGTACCTACTGGGGTCCTGTCCTTTCTACATGTGAACATATTGCCAAAACCAGTAATGGTTCTGGACTTTGCTATGGCAACTATCTATAAAGGCCGTGGATACGCCAAGGTAATCCTACTTTACCCAATGAGATAAATGCCTGTAAGTGGGCCCACTGTTGAGGGGCCAATGGGTGATGGCCAACAGAGCACATCACAACGGTTGCAACATCAGATGAGAGGATCTGTCCAAACTCAGAACAATGAGTGTGACGATCAGTCTTCATCTGGATAGGGTTGTGAGAAGATCTAGCCTATCCTGTATGTGGCTATACTGTATGCCGGTTGGTAGGGGGGATCCTCTGTTGTGGTATCTGTCTATTGGTTTAGGCAGCAAAGTGGTGCCACTATCTTGAGTGGCGAATTGGGTGCTTGCTAGCTTGATGGTCCAATAGGTTCCTTTCTGGGCAAGTGGCCTGGTGTCACGTGACCAATGCCTGATAACTTCTGAATAGGGCAAGTGGCCAGTGTCATGTGACTGGGTGGCTGAATCATGGGCGCTTGGTGGTCATGTGGTAGACACAGTCATATCTGCGATGTATGTGGTGGTATTGTGCTGTTTGTCTAAGTATCCACTTTGTGAGACCAATATGAAGGTTGGCGTCCGAATAACCACTCAAATGAGGACTTTAATGGTGCAAAAAGAAAGGTGCCACTTAATACTGTGACACCTTGCTGGGATCGTATTTGAACCCTCCGTTGTCGGCTCTCCTAGCAGGACTCAGCAGAATGGCAATTTTTTACTCCCTTGCAACTCATTTTGGGTTTGTGGCCCTGTGCATAATATTTTGCATCAAGTCAATTCTTAAGTGGTCAAAGGTATGATGCCCTCTACTTGCTGTTAGAACATCGGGCAGATAATATCTTTCCTCAGAAGCGACGCGCTGCGAAGAACGCGCCGCCTATTATTCACATCCCAGTACGTTTTAAGATAATAATGCCAGTGACATCCTCACCAGACAAACTTCAGGAGCAGGAGATCCTTTGCAACCCTCGTCAAGCATACGAGCGCGCTCTTGCACTTTATGGGCCCGTCGTTGGGGTGAAACGTAAAGGTCGTGTAAGTTTTCCTTCTTACTGTCACCCAGCTCTAGCTGCAGGACTTCAAACAACAGCTCGAGTACATCGTCAACGAGAATCTTACCCATGAGGTTCTTACAACGAATACGTCCTTCAGCTTCGAACAGGGCACTTCGTTCGTAAGCCCCTTTCATTCAGAGCGAGCAAACACAGGAAGCAACTTATTATGCAACAGATTCTCAATCTCCATTATTTTCACAAGTACTTCACTGCATTCTACACGGAGATTGACGATCTTGTCCGAAATGTCATCGTATCGCGCATGCCCCTCGTCGTTGAGCAAGGTGCGTCTCCACTCTGATCTAATATTGTCCAGAACACGTATTAATGATACCAGTCTTCCCATCCTTCATGCGAATCGCGGGTGATTTTGAAAAGGAACTCGCCCCCCGCGACGACCGGGAGCCTAAATATGTCGATGCGGAAATTATGGCCCACCGTGGCATTTCCGAGGCCATGGCGCACGTCATTCTTGGCGAGGTGAGCATCTGCCAGCTTTTTCCGGACCGACCAATGATTTATGCCGGACGAATAGCAATTTGTCGTTGCGAGCAATCTAGAAGTGATTGAGAATGTCGCACACGACATGGCGACTGTGACGGGCATCTACCAGAACACGTCCTGGTGGGGAACAAACTTTCCGGATCTGTGGCGAGCATTTACATGGTTTGTGGCATTACTTTGTCTCTTATTCTCTGAACCCGTGCTGATCGATCTCGTTACATATCCAGGGCGAAGGTTCTGACGACCACCATTCCCCTTTACTATGGGACAATAGGCCTTCAGATCTGGAGGAAGCTCCGCTCGGAACAGTTTAGAGCTGAGGAGGCAAAAGAGAACCCTGAAGTCTTTAAGGTACGCATAAATGCGTAATCTGTCTCTTAAGTTCGACTGATTTTGCTATGTAGGGAAGTGTCCTCAACTATCTCGCTTGCAAGAATGCGGATGAGGATGGTAATGTCGGCTTCGCCGCGTTCGCCAAGATCTCTGCTTTGGTCCTTGGGTGAGCGCCACCTATCACCATCTAAATTCCTATCCACTCTAACTGGTCAATCGTTAGCATAGCATTTGCATCCGTCCACCAAACGTATGTCACCTCATCGTCACGTCATCCTAAAGCCAAGTGACAAGACTGACAATATTTGGTGCTACAGAGCATCTGTTGCCGTTTGGATGCTTTATGAGCTGGCTGCTCGACCCGAATACTTGTCCGAACTCCGCGAAGAGATGTCCGAAATTGCACATGTGGACCCGACCTCCGAGCACCCAGAGATCACATATGACTCCCTTCAGAAGGCTACCCGCCTGGATTCGTTCATCCGAGAGGTCATGCGAACAAAGGGCGATACTTTGAGCGCCTGTCGGATGACGACCGACGACGTGCCATTAGCCGGATATACCATTCCCAAAGGTCCGTCGTTCAACTCACTTTTTACATCGGCGCCATCTAATTTGTTACCGCTTCTTAAAATAGGATACTTAGTTTTCCCGCTTGCCTCACTATCTCACCTCAACACATCATATCATGGTGCTGACGCAGAGAGATTCGATGGCCGACGATGGGTTGGCACGGGCAAGCAGGCCGTCATGAATAACAACACATACTACCCCTTCGGCCTCGGAAGATGGGCCTGCCCAGGGCGCAACCTCGCGATTGCTGGTGAGCGCTCTTTACAAACCCCGTCTTCCTCGGTCTCCCATTGCTTATACTTGTACACACGCTGATGGGCGAATTGATAGAAATCAAGATGATCGTGTGGAGCGTTATATGCCGGAGTACTCCCGTCCTGCGCGGCGGCTCGTACAGCGTTCCTGACCCGCTCAACGTGACATCCGTCGCTCCAAAGGGAGAGATGACTATGCATCCGATCCTGTGATCGAAAGGCACAATAGACCTAGATATTAAAGTCATAAGATTCAAGGTTTTGTGTACGTCGCTCATTTCAATTGGGGTAGCAAATTTACATGAAAGAATGTCTCGTGAGGCAATGTTGGAGCTGCTAGAATGTTTGCATGAATAGTACGTGCAGGCAATGAGCGACTAGAAAGTTTGCTAGATTTCGAAAAGTTACCCATATAACTTTAGCTATATATTGGTCGAGAGACTTGATGGGGTAGTCTTCTCCTGTTCCGTACCAAATTCACAGCTGCATTTGCAGCAGGAGATCAAGACTCTCCAAACATATACATCATGGACGGGGAGGGGGCGAGGGAGCGCAGAGATCTCTTTGTACTTTCCTTTCATCAATTGCCTGTGAGATGTGTTTTTGTAAACCACAACAATGAAGACTCAAGAGTGGTATGTCAACTCACTTCTGGAACTTGCCTGACGTTCACGAACCACTAATATAGAGAATGCTGGCTTGTCGGAGTTGTAGCGAAGGCAATGGTCACCATTCCTCCAGGTGTTCACATTGTATTGGTCGCCCTCTGCATCGCTGAAGTAGTAGTCGTAATGTTCCGTGTTTGTGAACCACAGAATGTAGTAACACACCACACGAGTTGTGTCGCATCGACATCTCTAATTCATTGCCTAGCAAAAGTAATCAATAGATTCATATTTTCCTCTGCGACACGTCTCAGTATCTCAAAAGATATTTGCTATCATGATCAGCAGATGTCTGCATACAGGGGTGGTCTGTGCGCGCAAGTTATCGTAGAACGACGCGCCTCTACGCTCAGGCCTCCGAGATGGCGTCCCAATCGGGACATCCGCCTTCCTTGCTTGGACTCGCCGCCACTTCGCCCGCGAGTCCGTCTTGCGATCGCCGATCATGAGCAGACCACCGACGTAACATGACATCAGCTGTCAGCATCGTTCCGATCACATAAGAGGCAACTGATCAAGAGGGTCGCTCCCCAATTTCTTTCTCCTTCACCATCTCCCAAGTCTGCTTGCTTCAAAGTACTCGCATATATCCCGTCTTCATGGGCAACGATATGTCCCGCGCACGCTACCTGACGCTTAGCTCATTCCTTATCAACTTCGGTGTGCAGAGCTACGGCATGCTTACATCTCCCAATATGAAGGACGTCGCGGACGCCGTTAGTCTCTCCCAACGTCTTTTGAAGTATAACCGTACTGACGAATATATAGAATCACTATGCATTCTCGCCTAGCCCGTGGTTCATCGCCGCATTCTTCTCAGGCCAGATGATTCTCCAGCTCGCGTGGATCCGCCAGCTCTTCAAGCTCGACCCCGTTGTATATGGGAGGCTTGATGCTGCGCCTAGCTCTCCTGGCTTAGCTCAGGACGAGACCGAAAATTCTATGGATACTTCGGATGAAGTAGAATCTGCGAGGACCTCCGTCGCCTATGCACCGGTTTATGCGCTCGGTAATTTATGCATTGGTGCGTCTATGACGAGTAACACAGCATGGCGGTAGTTGACATTTGCCCAGCGGGTTGGCTTCTTTTCTGGCTACGAGAAGACTTCATAGGCTCTCAGATACTAGTGACGATCAATACCGTTGCACAGCTATACGCTGTGGCTCGCCTTCCGGCTATCACCTCCAGTAGCACCGGTTTGATGGTCCTCACCCACCTTGTTGCGAAAACATTTGCTGGCATTGGAGTCTTGGATTTTATTGACAATGGCGGCGTGGCATTGGTGAGCATTCCTATAAGTTTCAGAAGCAACGTCCGAGTAATCTTTCTGTCGTAGCGCTACAATGCACCACCCTCGACGCTAATCCAAGCCCTGACGTACGCACTCTTCCCATTGGCAGCGACAGTATCGACTCCATTCTTCGGGTCAGTTCTTTTGTACGATGTCCTCGCCATTTTCGTCGGGCAGCGATCTGTTCCTGCCGCAGGCCTCTGGAGCACCCGTCTCGGCTGGACAGCGTTGGCCATGGGCGGCGTTGTTGGCGTCAAAGCATTCCTAGCCCGGAACAAAATCTGAACATGCTCGTTTCCGCTTGAGCCACGATTGCCTCCATGCATATCACTTTATTTCTCTCATGCTATGTGATTCTATTTACCACCAACTCGGACGTCGCAAGGATTCTCGGAGATAATCTTGACGGCGAGGAATCGTGTTTACGACTCTTTGGTCAAGAGATACAAGAGAGATACACGTTCTCTTGAGCTTCCTAGCGCCATCTGCTAAGCTAGATGTCCTCCATATCATTTCATCCACCAGATGTCCAACCTCTGACTGCATCAATACGTTTAATCGTCAACAATTACGGAAAGGCGATCTGAATGAAGCACCTGAAAATGACACTCCTCCAAGACGGTTCTGCTCATCTCTGTGGTTCAAGCTGTAATGATAGCTTGTCGCTTCCTGAACAACACCCTTGCATCGCGCGCGGGCAAAACGCTATGCCACAACGTCCAATTAGCTGGTCGAGTCGTCGTACCTTCCAACTTCACATCGTAATTGAGAATGATGTGTGCCATCATAAGCTTCAGTTCGTTCGCTGCGAAAAATCGTCCAGGGCTGCGCAATTAAACGTAGCGAATCAGCGAACGATTCGACGAGCGGTCCAAGCCTCGGCATCGACATACCAGGCATGTTTCCCATGGCCGAAGGGGATGTATTCAGGGGACGTGCTAACGAACTGATGCTTTATCCGCTCGCTCTCCTCCGCGCGCATATCTGAAAATCGGAACGGCTCGAATACGCCTGCGCGTTCATAGTGCTTCTCGTCATAGTGGGTAGCGAGAGCTGCCCCGGCGACGAGAGTGCCCGCGGGAACATAGGTCCCATCAGAGAGCGTGTAGTCTTGGAGGACTTTACGCATCACGGCGACTGAAGGAAAAGGAAACAATCGGTTAGCACCCACTGTGAATGATCGCGGTGGAAGGTGGACTCACTGGAGACTATACCATTGATCCGCTGCGACTCCCGCATGAAACTATCTAATTTCCACATCTTGCCGACGGCGACTTTTGACCATCCCTCTTCCTTGACGACTGCCTCAATTTCCTCTCTCATCGGCTGCGTGTATTCTGGGTTCGCAGCTAGGTGGTAAATGGCGTGGGTAATGCTCTGATAACAATAGCTTATTAGCGGCAAGTTCGATTGCGGCATCATTGAAGGCGAACATTGCTGGAGGTATGAATAGCTGCGAAGTTGGAGACCAGCATCGCCGAGACGACGACATCGGGCGATCCGCCCGTTTTCTTCGCTGCGTCCATCAACCACATCAGATAGTCGTTCTATAGCCGTCGAAGTGTGAGGTCGAAGCAGGCCTGACTCGGGGTGCGGGCGGATAACGTACGGGTTTGTCGGCCCATGCGTCTCCATGCTCTCGCAAATTGCGCAGGCGCTCCTCGATGATCGGCTTTATGAAGACTCCTACTTTGTTGATTGCTCTTTTGGACCACGGGAGCATACTGCCGACAATGCTGGGCAACAAGCGATGTCAACTTCATCCGAACATCACTTGGCATCATGCACAAAAATGTACCCTTTGAACAGCTGAGGAACATACGAGAGGATCATCCGCCCTTTGCTGACGTCGAACGCGAAATTGACAACGGTGTTGAGGTATTCCTCGTTCCGGCCTATGCGGTATAGTCGGCCAAGTTCGCGAGTGAGCGTCATGACCACAGGCTCCAAAATGGAGACTTACAAAATGGAAGACCAACGAACACCCGATTTGTCGCACGAGCCACGATCTCCGCCATGGAACGAATGACGGGAACAGCTATCCATTCTACATTCATACACGGTTTGTTAGAATGTCACGGATCCTAGTGAAGATGAAAACTCGCCATCGCCTTCAACAGGGAGCACCTCTTTGAATGCGGCCTGAACTTCGTCGACGACATCCGCGAACACAACCCCCAGATTGCGCGTTAGCGGACCGCGAATGACCGCAATGTGAATCGGATACTTGTCCGCATCCGGCGCGATGGTATACTTAGTTTGGATGAACTAGCGGGGACATGGGTGTCCATCAGAACCCGATGACCAACTCTAGATACAGAGGAAGACAAACAACGGACCTCCCGGGCCGCTTCCTCGAAACTCATGTGTGAATCCGGGACTTTGCGCAATTCGTCGTTCATGTCCGAACCACTGACAACGACGAGCCAACGATCGACCATGGCCACCTTAAACACTTTGTACTGAACGTCATGCGATGCGATTAGATGGACGACTCATGCCATATATACGCCTACAGAGCAGAATGGTTAAGGACGCACCCTGCTGTAACCTTCTTGTAGAACCTCGGGGGCATGTCGGCAGTATCTGTATGCTCCTAGGTATGAGAGAAAAGGCACGGATGGGCCGATTGTTGGGACGGAGTAAAGCTACACGCCAGTGGACCAGACATTAGAACATGCAACCTTTATGCAGACAAGATGCTCACTGGGTCGAACCTCCATCGGACGAAAGCCAAGCCAGCTAATGCGACAAGCAAAGCGCAGACAATCTGAAAAGTATCGTTCATCGCGATGATGACCAGTTTCAAACTGCAAGAATGCTATGGCAGCCTGAAACCCACCACGGAGCATAGATGAACTCCGCCTTTTGAATGCTCCGATTGAGCCGCTTACCGACTGCAGATTAGCATACCTGCTCGGGGCGGCAAAAAATGTGCGGGTACTCGGCTTGCGGCGTGGATGCGTAATACCATGCTACAGGAGGAAGACAGTGGGACGCGAAGGTGAACATGAGGACTGATGAGAACCAGCGAAGGCCACGAGCCCGAAAACGCGTTCAAGCTGGAGCAGGCCGCGGGATAGATAGACAGTCACGCGATGAGCATTCCCTCCGCATATGAGCGCCGTGCACAAGCGCGACCGTGTTTGTATGCAGCCTGCTCGTCTTGCATTGTGATGGGGGGTTGGCATCGCGGAGGCATCCGCAGTGGCCAGTTATCTTTTCACTAAGGTTCAAAGTCTACCAAGGACGAGCAGAAGCAACCGATTCAAGCGCATCAGGAGTCATCAAGGCATATTCATCAAGTGAATTGAGAAGCAGACCCCTCGCGGGGCGAGGAAGCGTGGCCGGACCGATTCGGTATTCACCGGCAACCTTACTGTAGATCACCGCGGAGATACTGCCAATGCCTCGCAGAGATGTGTGCCCTCCAATCAATTTCCGTGTATTTGAATTAGCAGATCTGCACAAGACATAGGCGCATTGTTCACTTCGTCTTTAGACTGTAGATTTGGCTATCAGGCTCCTGGCGAAGATGCGGATCCACTCGGAAAAAGGACGAGGATTGGTACATGCCCAGTCGTAAGTTCCAAAGTTGACAATCGAAACCAATAACATGGTCGGCAAAGACTTCAACGGCAACTCGGGGATAATGGTACACGTGAAGAGCCCAAATCCTCATTTCCAAGTAAGTAAGATCTGCGGTCCATATCCCGTTAAATTCGGTCGATTAATTGATATCCTGAAGGGAAGGGGGATTGATGAATGATATCAAGCAGACATTCAGAGTATCAGTGCTGTCGCGAATGAGCAGGAGCAGAGCCATTCATAGGAGTAAGCATGTGTGAATGCGACGACATGGATCGGATGCACATTAATGTGCTAGAGTGACAATAACACATTCTTGTCTTGACGTCTTCTGAACTTGACCCTCGCTTCTGGAGGAAAGGGTGTGTGCCAGACCCACGTATTTGCTGGCCTATCCCTCCTTCCCTCGAATTTGAAGTCATAATTCAGGATGAGATAGGCCATCATCAGTTTCAGCTCGTTGACCGCAAAGAAACGTCCCGGACTTCCGAGAGACCATCAAAAGTCAAGTGAATACTAGTACAACGTCGACAAAGAGGATCACCCACCAGGCATGCTTTCCGTGTCCGAAAGCGATATATTCGGGAGACGTGCTCACAAACTGCTGTCTAAGCCGCTGGCTTTCGTCCATACGCATGTCAGAATAACGGAACGGTCTAAACACAGCTGGGTCTTCGTAGTAATCGCCATCTAGGTGCGTTGCAGTGGCAGCTGCCGCAACAAGCGTGCCAGCGGGTATGCGCGTGCCATCGGAAAACGTGACGTCCCGGAGGGCTTTCCGCATAACAGATACTATAATGTGCTCATGAGCCGTGCGCCAGGTTCCGAGGTTGGCGGATCACTCACCGCCTGATATCCCATTGATACGCTGAGACTCGTGCATAAAACTGTCGAGCTTCCACATCTGTTGGACGGCTGTCCTCGTCCATCCATGTTTGCTGACGGCGTCCTCAATTTCGTCTCGTAGAAGCTTCATGGGTTCCGGACTAACTGCGAGATGGTACACTGCCTGCGTGATGCTCTGTGAAGGGCCAACAGGAATTTCATGGAGTGTTCTGTATCAGCATATAAGAAAGACGCATATAACAAGACTACTGACATGGCTCGATGTGTGTATAGCAGCAAAATTCGACATAATGACGCCCTGAACAATCAGGTCGGCAGTCTTTCCAGCCCTATTAGCTTCTTCAATGAGCCACATTAAGAAATCGTTCTATACACGGATATGTTAGCGATTTTATGAGTGTGACATGTGCGCACTCACAGGCTTATCAACCCAAGCCATACCCTTCTGCTGTGATTCCTTCTGACGCTCCACGATCATAGGCTTAAGGTATGTCGAGGCCTTCCGGATTGCCCGTCGCGACCATGGTAACAGAGGACCTACAATGCTAAAAAAAAGGTGGTGCACCTGTTACCGAACAGTCCACCGCTCCATAGGAAGCAAGGCACACCCGTGCAAGAATCCAGGGACTAGGCTTAGAATAGCCCTGCCCTTGGAGAAGTTCCAGGTTAGATCCACAACATTCTGCAGATACTCTTTGTTGCGGCCTAGATAGAAATATCTCATGTCAATTGCGCACCATCAATGAGTTTTGTGGCGTACAAAGCGGTAGACCGACAAACACGCGGTTGCTTGCGCGAGCGACGATATTTGCCATGGCATTCAGAACGTCGACATCCGTCCATTCTGCAAAGAACCATCATATAGTGCACTACATCTGTGGTATGACCGCTAGCGACTTACCTTCCGAAGCGGGTATGTTCTCCGGAAACGCGGCTTTCATCTCATCAACCACGTCTGAATATATTACTCCCAGATTACGGGTCAATGGTCCCTTTATGACATTGATGTGAATGGGTAATTTGTTTGCATCTGGTGCAATTGTGTATCGCATGAAAAGGAACTAGACGGAGCGTTGTAAGCTCATATCAAAGCTTGATAGTAAACCGATATCGACAACATACGTCTTCCGCCGCTTCCAAAAACGACATATGAGTGTCCGGGAATCGTTGAAGTTCTTCGTTCATGCGGGCACCGCTGACGATCACAATCCATTGATCGACCATAGGTACTTTAAAGACACGATACTAAAAACGCGACAATAGGGGGATGAACATGACGAATATGGCAGCAGCGCTTGGTGCATACCTTGTTGTAGCCCTCCTGCAGCATCTCCCGAGCATGATGGTAATATCTATATGCTCCAAGATACGAAAACAATGGCGCATCCGGACCGATAGCTGGGATGTGACGCAGCTTGCATACGACGCATTATAAGCCGTGCTCCTCAAACGGAGGAGCGAAATGCGGCGTACTGGTAGTGTCTTCCAGTAAATGAAGCACAGAACAACAACAGCACCTGCGAAAGCATAGAGGAGTTGCAATCGGTCATCCATCACGCTGGCACAGGTCGAGGTGGATCAGGAGTCGAAAGGATGGAGACAAGGTTGCTGAGAATGGCATAGTTTATTCAAACTTGCTGCGCTTCTTGTGTGCGACTTTCGTACCACTCATAAGTTGGGCGTCCCGGCGTAAGTGATGGACAAGCACTCGATTTCCATCAGCAGCCGGAACTAAGCTTCTTCTGGGCTTCTAGAGCCAGCTCTCACATGCTGGGATTACATCGGCAGTTGAGTGCGATGTATCGCGAATCTCATCCGGATCGGCAGTATTGTTTGTTGCACGCAGCTGTATGCAATTCTCAATGGTGGCTCTTGAGTGAATGAGCAGAATGCAGACATTCCAGTGAGCTACATGTAGAGAATTCAATAGAAAAATCCGAGAGAGAAAGGCCGTTTCTCACCTTGGGCAGGGACAGAACATTCCACTCAGGGACTTAATTTCTCGGATTCGTGGTACTGCTCATCCGAAGAACAGACCGACCGTATCGGCCATCTACTAAGCAGTGGGTTGAGCAATTTGCTTCTTGAGTACATTTTGTTTTGGCAAATCGAACATTCGGACAAATGGAAGCATGGATTGGACAGGCGTAACTGAGCGTCCTGTCTCACATCTAGTAGATACCACGGAAATGAACACTCACGAGAAGCGAATAGCGTCCAGAGGAGATTCTATCGAATCAGGAGGCCCCGAGAATTTGACAAGCATGACGGGTCTGGATGTGCGATGGGACACGGGGTATTAGAGCCAGCGCCGACAGTGAACCAGCTACAGTCCAAGCCATTCGCACACGGGCGTTCCTTCTCAATGCGTTGAGAAAGCTCCGAGGGCTAAATTGCTGAAACTGTACATCCTATCTAATATGCCCAGTCTTCTAGTGGGGCTCTACATCTTCTACCGTCTGATAAAACTCCTTGATGAGACGTTTTTGCGTATCGACGCCCTTCTCTGCCTGTGAATAGAGCATATAAGGCGCTAGCAAGGACACGCCAAGATAATCTCTCGAGCGCTGTAGAACCCAGAGCATACCTCAGTGTCTCCGATGGCCCTGATGACGGTATACTTTCTCCCAGCTAGGACCGTCTCTGTCACTTGATTATCGAGAGGGGCAGAGGGCGAGCCAGCAACGAAGCAACCTGCTTCTTGAGCGATCACGGATCCAGCACAGATGTCCCAAGGCCTGTAGTGCCTCGCTCAGATGACAGACTCTCGTTATGATGAAAAATACACACCAGCATCCAATCTCCCTAAGCGGGGCATATGCCAAGGTCACACATGTTATCAGCGAGTTTTCTGGATAACTAACCAATAGATGTCTAGCCCGCCTTGAGCCACCATTGAGAAATTCAGCGCGGCACTGCCCAGCGAGCGCAACGAATGTGCCATTTGGCCCCCTTTCACGCCTTCGGCGGGATTTCCTGCGAGTCTCTTGAAGGAGTCGCCCTTTGCGCGGATCACGTCCTCAGAACGATCGGAACCCCATTCGACACCTCCACATGAGTTCTAAGCAAATGACAACACTGAGAAGCAGCTGAAGCCTGCATACCGATAAGAGCTTGAGACAGAGACGGCAAAGGTCGTGGCTTAGCAATCGGCAGCTTCACCGGCGCATGTTTGCTATGCACGAGGTACGATCCCTGGCCTTTTACTCCGGTATACAACTGGTCGAGAAATGGGTTGTAGATTACACCAAGCACAGGAGTCTTCTTGTATATCAACCCGATCGAAATGCAGACATGCGGAAAGCCATGTACGAAGTTTGTTGTCCCATCTACCGTAGCGCTTGAACTTGTACGCGCACATGAAGTGTGGAGAGCCGCACAAACGCACCGATGGGGTCAACGCAGAAAGTCGCTTCATCAGTCAAAGGAGGCCGAGCCCCAGCGGCGTACGACTCTTCTCCGATACTGTATGGTAAACCGAAATCATGAGCATACAATCAAGTCGAGACAGTCACATCTTGTGTAAAGCCCGCACTGGTGCGGCATGAGGGCGGGCATTCAGAAGGCTACTCACAACTTAAAGTTTGGATACTTCTCCCCAAGCTCCCTCTTTACAAGCTCCTCGACCTTCACGTCGTACTCGGTCACTAGATCAACCGAGTTTTTCTTCTCGTCGACATTGCCTGATGAGAGAATCGCTTGCGAGCCTTGCAAGATGATCTCACCGGCAGAGCGAGCCAGAGAGATGGTGAACTGCAGGATCGGCTGCAGGTCTGTGGCCGACAACTCTGTGGACGACATACTATCCGAATCGATTGGACCTTCTGGTGTTCAACAAAAAGCGAGATCAACAGCACAATGTTGAACAGTTGAACGTTACATTCAGCAGTAAACTTGCTACCGTCACGGTGACGCCGGCGCAGCCACTTGCCACTGCTGCCTCACAATATATTCATCGCCAACTATCTTGACGCATACATTCGACTGTATAAAGGTAAAACATTGTCTAGTTCGCTCCCTTGCACACTTTTCCCACAATTTCCACTATGCTGGGACAGTGATGCATCAAAGTGAACAGACAGCTATCTGGCGTCCTCAGAACCTGGTTAGAGAGGAAGCAAGACTGCTTCATAACCGCTGCTCTTCAATTGCCAGGACAATCCGAGGAAAGAAATTCGGAAATCATTCGAGATAGTTGAAATAATGGTGAAAACGCTAATCAAAGGAGCTGTGATAATCAATCGAGTCTGCTCGAGGCGCGACATGATAAAATTTTGCAGGCCGTCGATTTGGGAGGTTTTGCAATACGGTTGTAAATTGTGACACCAGCGCCATAGCATTAGCACTGCTATCCCAGCACTCCAAGCATGATGACGGGTGTCTAATTTATCAGGCAAATTACAACAACTTGGTCAGTCATGTCTAGAACAACGCACCAGCCATGCATTCATGGTCATTTCTGCTCCGAGTGAAACTTCTGTTGCACATCTACTACCTCTTCTGAAACTTTGTCATTGAAATGCTTCTCCGCAGGACGCCACCCGAGAGAATTCCAGGGCTTCACACCAGAACGGTATAACTCGTCGACCTGGACCTTCCGTATGAGCTTGCGGTACCTCTTTACGGAAAGCACGACCAGCACGCACCTCCTCCAGACTCAATCCGACAGTTTCCGGAATGAAGAGGTACACGTAGACGAAGCCGAAAAGCAACATGCCGAAGAATATGAGCAGGATTAGTGGTCCGATGCGTGCTGCGATTCGTGGCGAGAAGAAACTCAGAAGGAAGTTCCACACCCAGTCTATGAATAGATAAACAGTCAGCTTGTATTAGGACGAGTTAATGCTATAGGATGCTCACTGGCTGCGCTACCGAGCGCAATACATTTCGGTCTCACTCTGAGCGGAAAACTCTCTGCAAGATACACCCTAAAAGTTGTGCGACGATATCTGAGTTGGGACACACTCTCAATCATTGCAACAAAACACAAACCAAGGAGTTGGGCCCCAGAATAGTCCATACGTGAAGACATGCAATACTGCGAATGCGATCAGAATATCGCCGCCTCGTCGGTTGCGCGTTGTAAGTTGATCTGCAGGTGTTCCTGAAGGCGCGAGCAGGAAGTGTCCGACGAGACCGGCGATTATAGCACATGTAGCCTCAAGGAGCGCGCCAAGAAGGAGTGACTGGCATTAGGCGGAGTTAGTACTTACATCGCAAACGCGACTACTGACTCACTCGTCGACGACCATACGCATCGATTAAATACAGAGCTGGGAGTGTGCCGGCCACGGAGACACCACCGAGTATTGTCTGGATGACGTACGGCGATAGCCTGGCGGAGCGCGTTAGCTATCCATGTCGAGCACTCGAGAGGTGAACGCACTGTGTCCCGGCACTCTGCGGAAACTCGTGTTAGCTCGACTTTAAAAATTACGCTAGGGATCCTCGTACCTTAAAGAAGGTGTCGCCATAGTAGACTAATGAACCGATCGGCTCAAGGGGTCATATGGGCGGAAAATGAACGGGACGCACAGTAGAAATTCTGCCCGTTCAATTGTTGGATGAATTGCAGCATCATACCGTTGATGGTCCGTTTCCAAAGCAGATTCCTCGTCGAGAAACATTCCGTCCATGTAGCTTTCCCGCCTTCATTCTCGGCCTTTATAGCGACTTCGAGCTCGTCGATGATCTCCTGGGCAATCGGTTCATCTTCCGGAACGCTATTCAGTTCCGCCACCACGGCCACTGCTTCTGTTTCCCTTCCTGTCCCCAATAAATGACGGCTGTGGACAGGCTAATCAATCAAAGCAGTCAATATTCTATTATGGTACTCACGGAGACTCAGGCAGGAAGAATATGCCCGAAAGGAGGATCAAACCCCACGCGATCTGCAGGCCGATCGGGATCCTCCATGACGCCGAACCGGGGACGTTGTGCGTCCCGAGCTCAATAACGTCGGCGATAAAGATTCTAAGCCCGTTCATTGATCAGGATCTCCGATTCCCTTCGTGCTGAGTAGATCTACTCACCCACTGAAGATCTGCACCTGATATACGACGATGAGTGCCCCTCGGAATGCCTTAGGCGCAGTCTCCCCATTGTAAAGCGGGACAATAGCTATACCCTCGGGTGAGCAAGGACTGCTTGCAGATGAGCGACGAGACGTACCCGACAGTGCTCCCACCCCAAGTCCGGATACAAAGCGCCCGAATATAATCTGCGCAAGTGCACGATTGGTCGCGGTTTGTATCGCGGTGCCGATAGTGAACACTGCAGACCAGATCAAGATTGACCCTCGCCGGCCAAACCGGTCGGAAGTGAATGCTTGTGCGATCGAGCCGACAATGGTACTGGGTAATCTGTTTCAAGAATTGTAGTCGGTATGATGGATGACAACGTACCCGACTGAAAGAAGGGACGTAATGAGGGATTGCCGTGAGCTGGACAAGTACGCCGTGCCGTTAGCATCCACCTGGCCGAACCGGTCGATGAAGTCTGGCATGATGAGGCAACCCTGAAGCCCGATACATTAGCATAACAGCTCATGGACACCGTTTGCAACGCACGGAGATGACGCCCATGTCATATCCAAAGATGAAGCCTGAGTTGCATAGTCGGTTCTATGTGTATCTTCAAGTCAGCACCGATCAGTGTTATACGCGATAGAAATTGACGTACATTCGCTTAACACGTCGAGACCACAGAAAATGTTCACCTCCTGACCATGAAGTTGACTTGATGATCTCTGATCAACGACGAATGGACCTACCGAAAGCAATGAAAGCCGCGAGCAAGATTGCTCTGCGATTGGTGGGCACTGCCATCTTCCGAGAGTTGACCTAGATGATCAGCAGCTTGCGCACCCGCGACCTCGACTCCTGTGCTCTCAGTGCTCGGTCTTATATGATTCATCTTGATGGAGCTGCTGACACTCCAGCGCCAGCCAATGCACTTCCCGATAACCACAATTAGTCCAGCTGGCATTGCGTGGCATCGCACAACGTACTCTGGGAGCGAGGAGCCCCGGCGTTTCTGACGGCATATGCACCTACAGGAAGGCCAAGAGTCTCGTGGCACAGAGCTTAGATATGCGTGCGATATTGCGGCATCCGGGCACTTAGAGTGTGAGGCTTCGCGCAGTCACATGGCAAGCGTATTTCTGCACCAATATAAACCACAGGCGCCGTGTTGGTGCCCATACGTGATCTCTAACTGCTGAAGTGGGACAGCTAAGTGGAGCAGAGAGATGACCGTGCACTCGCCTTCTCACTAATGGACGGAGAGACCTGTCTACTGTAGAGCAGTGATAAGTCAGATGCAGCTTCGTGAGAGTCCGTACTTTGTTCGAAAATAAAGTTGTGCCAGATTGCGCAGGCTACGATAGGGGGATCGGAATACGGCATGAACACGTCCTAAAGTACTTCGGTGTCACCATGTATGTCTGGAGAACCACTATCTGGAGCCTTGAAGACGCGTCAATCATGTGGACACAGCCTTCTTGTCTCATGCGAGAGCGCTTCCGAGATATCTTGAAGCTACCATTGCATCAAATACGCGGAAAAGTGTGGAAAGCAGCAATAGGTCCGTGGTGTTACATGTCGTCAATAATCTCCTTTAGCCTGACCTCGTCCAAGATCTCGAAACCCTTTTCCGGCGTCACCTGCAAACGAACGTGTCTTTCAAGAAAATGACGGATTACTTTAGAGTCTGAACTTACCTGAGCGAGCTGGACGTTGTGGTGATCCAGCTTCTCTTCCATCACCTGCTTCAGCACCCGCAATGTCAATATTTGAGCTTCGCGAAGCGTCATTTGCTGAGTGAACGATGAGATGAGCAATACAGTCTCGGATACGCAAGTAGAGCAGAGCACGCACGCTATGCCACTTATCCTGGAGCTCGCTCTGTGCCGCTTCCGAGCCTGACCCGATCGCTTTGGCTTCATACCGAACGAAGGTACCTGAAGGATCCGTGTGGAATCTATTACAGAAAGCATCAGGGATTCGATAAGGTGAAGTCCATCGACAATGACGCACAGCTGTGGACCCAACTCGTCGACGCCTGCAATAAGCAGCGCTACGCCGAACGGCCGACTCATCATCGCCTCCTCATCGTGCACACTTTCTCCGAATCGCAGCGCGAGGTCACACACTGCCTGTGTCACACTCTCCACCTTGATCCGCTCGTCATAGGTAAAGGCGTGGTTTTGCGATGTAACACGGGCATGGTCGATCATCGTGCGTGCGTCGGCAGTGAGGCCGGACATGGCACAGCCGAGGTGTTGGTCGATCTCCATGATCTTCTCAATAGATGACGACTCTAGCAGAGGAGACTGAACGCGTTTCTCTACTCCCAGTACGACGCCCTGGGGTGTCTTGACGCCGACTGTTGTGGACCCTAGCTGGAATGGGCACGAGATGAATAGCAAATGTAGCAAGAGGGACACAGCTACGCACTTTGATGGCCTCTATAGCATACTCGACTGTATCCGTTGGTTTTAAACAAGCAGGCATTTCTGATGATGTAACTGAAGTACCTTGGAACAACCGCCCTTCCGGCGAGAAGGTGTTAACACCTCGATCTGTACGATGTTACGAGTTACCGCGCGAGATCGTCTTCGGATAGCGAGTGCCGTACCGTATTCTGAACGTGTCAAGAACATGTTGGAATGATCGGCAAGTGAGGAGGTGGTGGTAGAATGCGATGGAGGAGGGAGAGCAAGCTGTCTTACGCGTCCGGTGTAGCTGATCGCGCTCAAGCGCCGAACGCGCGTCGCGTCTGTATTGATACAACCCTAACCCGGCAATATTCATGTAATCGGTGGCCACACAATTCACGACATCTAAGGGGACTTCACTATGTTGCTATTAATTTATACATGCTTCGTACTGCGATAATTTGTCTCAGTATTCTCAGGGGAAAAACGATACAGAGATTCTGTGTAGGATGGGTTTTTTTGAGGGGGTTTCTCATGGAATATGGACAACACAGAATTCGTCCGCTGCAATATATCCAGGAATCACCAACACAGAGGGCTCGTCGTTCGGAATCATCAGAGTATCTGGACATGGCATCAGAATTTCAGTCAAACTAATGATATTATACATTTCCTCTTCACTTTCGCAAACGCGAGCAGCAACTAACATCTTCCTTCACGCCAAACTGAGAGAAGACATCATCAATCCGCCCGCAACGACGCGCAATCAGACGTACCTCACAATGCACTCAATCTCAAACAGGCCATCCAAAGGAAGCTTCGCAACCTGCACAGCCGACCGTGCCGGCTTGTGCCCATTAAAGAAGCGTGCGTAGATGCCGTTCATTGTGGTAAAATCATCCATAGACTTCAAAAATACCTTAATGAGCAAACCGCAGAAACGAAGATGTCGTCCGTCGGTGTGCGCATGAGTCACCGAGCAAGCGAGGTAGAAAACCCAGACTTACAGTCGTCTTGACCACCTTGCTAACATCGCTGCCCCCAGCCTCAATGATGGTCTTCATGTTCTTCAGCGCCTGCTCCGTCTGCTCCTCAACGCCTCCTGGAACCTACACGGCAATCGGCATCTAATGTCCACACGTCCGTATGAACGCATGCACTTACCAGCTTGCCAGTCGCCGGGTCGATCCCGAGTGACCCAGAGACGAAGAGGAGGTTGCCAGCCTTCACCGCCTGGTTATACGGGCCCACAGCCGCGGGGGCATCTAAAAGCAAACGCGATAGCCTGCCATCAGCGGGATCTGCGTGTTGATGGCAGGATAGACACCGTGAGCTTACTGGTAGTAGATACGAAGGACAAAGACATTCTGCGAGCCTGTATAAGGGTTGGGAATGCGCTAGGGTTGACGATGGTCGCAATACGACTGGCGAGAAAGGCAGGGAGGCGGGCGCGAGCAATGGACCTCAAGGTGGGCTGCATCGTCCCGAGTCATCTCGCGATGCTTGCGCGATCTTCCCGATCGCACGCGTACACGTGACACGCGTCGGCGACGCGCACAACGCCACCGACGCGACGCGCCCGACCACGAAGTACAGAGTATTGAGAACTGACTCTTGTTCGCTTTTGCAGAGAGACTGAGACTAAATTCAATTCATTTCGATAGCTACAGAAGACAAACATTATGCACAGATTAGCTGATCTACATCATACAAGTAGTTTTAGCGCGGGTATGTTGCGATTTGGTAAGAGGAAGGTAAGATGACAGCAGCAAGCACGATCTCGACGAAGCACGGCAAATTCCAAACTAACATTACAATGTCCTTATACATTATATCATCTAGATATCGAGCACGTCAGCCACTGATCCACGTCAATGAGCGATGGGTATGATGGGGTGCACGAACCTGGTTCCGGACTCTCGGTAGTCCCGCAAACCTCACATCAAAGCTGACGACTTCAAGTTTCCCGTAAGGATGATATCACGGACTGGTTCGGGAACGTGTGAGAGCGCTTCAGGGAGCATCACGGAACCACTTGCCGTTGCTGATGATCGTTTGTGTCTTGCGTGTATCAGTAACAGATGTCAGATGGACTGTCACACAACACAATTTCATTTCATCAACGATCAGCATGCGCCAAACACGTTTCATATGATACGCACTGTAGCACTCTCTGGATTTATTCGGGGTGAATGTGTGGTGCATAGCACCGAACTTCAATCGGAAATCTAAAGTGTTGTCCTAATCAGTACAATGGTTCATAATAGCAATGCTGAGAGTCACCGACATTTGGATACCGAATCGTAGTCGTTCGGCCGGTCCTTATAGGATGGCATATGCTGATTGAGTCTCACACCGTTCTCGAGCTTTTTCTGTTTTTCCACCGTCGGTGAGCATTTCATCAGACACATCGCCGGGCAAACAATCTCACCTTCAGCAAGTCGCATTTATTCAGGAACAAGATGATATTGACAGTGGAGAGCAGCGGGTTTGAGACGACCAACTTCCACAATTCAAATGAGTCCTCCAGACGGTTGACACGAGGGTCCTGCGAGGTCACCGTCAGCAAAAAAACATAGCTCAGTTGATTTTCGAAAACTTTACCTCGGCTAGGACCTGGTCGAAAGCGCTGATAGGCGCCAAGAAAATAATAGCATTTACTGAATTTTCAGCAGCATGAGTCCCGCACATTCACATATGAGTAGAACAATACCGACCATCATCGAAATACGGAGCCCAAGCTTGCCGTTGTGGTCGCGCGCCGCCTACATCGTAAATTTTCCACTCGACGCCACGGTACTCACTCGTCTTCGGCAAACTGAAAGTGTGTTCGACCACGCCGTTCGTCTTCAGACGGGCCTTTAGCACGTCATCTAGAACATAGCAATGATATCAACTGAGGAAGGCCTCAACGCTCGATATGGCACTGACCATCCGTAGGGAAGTACATCTTCGCAGTGACACGCTCGATCTCGTCCAGATAGCTAAGGGGGATGAAGACAATTTCAGCAACCAGACATTCACCCACGCCAAACGCAATATAAAAAACAACGGAAGATAGTAGCGACAAGAAACAAACGACTTACAATCCGCTGCTTTCCTCCAGCCTCAACCTCTTCTCCGCCAGCCTCTGACGCACTTTCGGATCGCGCCAGAGATCGATCATCACGGGCGCACACCGATTGAGCACATGCACCGGATCGTGCGGGTCCTCCCACCATCCCTGCAACTCGCCCCCATGCGCGCTCTTCGGACTCTGGTTCCTCCCCAGCGCAAACGCCTTCCTCCAATTCGACGTCGAGTGCACCGCAATCTCGTGCCCGGGCGACAGCGCGACCGGCGAGCTTGACGCCCCGTGGGTCCCGCCGCTGACGCTCGATCCCGGGGGGATACTGATCCGCGGCAGCGGGCGTGCCGCGTCGCCTGTGAGACGCGCTGAACTGGGCACGGAGAGAGAGGGCGAGTGCCCGTGTCCGTTGTAGGGAGGACAGGGCAGGCGGATCGCTTGGCGGCTCTCGTTATCCTCTGGATCGGACAGCTGTTGGATGAGTCGCTGCTCGAGGTCGCGTAGCGGCGCGAGTTGTCTTCGGTAGCTGTCGTATCCAGGCACTGAGGCGCCTGCCACGGCAGATGATGGACGGCCGTTGGAGCTGATTATTATCGCGGCAGGTTCCAGGTAGTCCATGTCATCGTAGTCGTCGAGCCCCGGTGCTGTCTCTGGCTCCGGGGATATAGCTTCTAGTATCCTGAGAAGCAGACATAGGTAGTTGTAATTGGCACTGTCCGTGGGAAGAGAGTGAAGGGGACGTACCGCCGGATGGACCGTACGAGATTGAGGTATATGACAAATCGCCATGCTATCCTCTCAGCGTGGAAGGCAGCGGGAGTATGCAGCAGTTGGAACTCTAGCGGAAGGAAGATTAGTCAACGGATGGATCGTCAGGGGATATACGGGCAAGCAGCATCGGATAGCACGGATATTGTATAAGCAGCAGGTGTGACCCCGGCTTGGGCGGAACTCATGCAAGCACGGCAACCACGCTGCGCTCGTCTAGCAGATATCTCCTTCTATGCCTAAGGAGAACATCCGATGCAAGTGTGCTGCTTCTGCCGACATAGCATAGAAGATTGGATCAAAGGTACTGGTACCGGCGTATATGTGAAGGAAATCAGTGAAAATCTCCAGGCGATACACCCGACGCTTCGGGAGAATCCATGGAGGGCGGCAAACCACACTACTACAACAATGACCGCCCATCAGAATCAAACAGTTCATAAAATTCGAGAATCCAGTGATCGCTCGTTCACTCAAATGGAGAATGCGGAATACGGACACATGATACTAATAGCTCAGGCTCGCATAATGGCGAGATGCGAGTACATCAACACAAATAGAATATATATTCACTCACGTTTCAGCGTTGTACTCTTGCCGCTCTCACTCTGACCGAGGAGGAGTACTTTGACGATTTTCTTTCTTCGCCGTTCCTTTTCATTCTCCTTGATCATACGATCGATATGATCGCTGCGTTTCTTGGCTTCTTCCTCTGCACGCAGCCTGCGGTCTCGTTGCTCGGGCGACTCATTCGGCGGTGGCAGAAGAGCAGCGGCGAGAGGGTCTGACAGCGAGCGTCGCCGACCAGAAGGCGGAGCGAGCTGAGCCCGGTGGTTGGCCATAGAGCGCGGGCAGGATGGGTAAGGACAGAGGACCAATTGTAGGAGATAGAACTTTAGCTAAACTGGACAGGATCCAACGGGCGGTAAGCCCTGGGCGCTCTTGCGGGAGAAGTAGTGTGAGAATGGCGAATAAGTACCTTTCGAGAAGACGAAGAGGGAAATGGGCTTCGGGGAGAAACTGAGCAAGGCACGGGCTACAGCCGACTTGTTGACGCGAGCTTGGACGGGAGGACGGGGAGGATCTGTCGGGGTGAATGGGCAAATGATCCGGGCACCGCGTTTGCGCGCTAGACAGACATCGAGCAGTGCTGAATGGCGGGGAAGGAGTGGAAGCGTCGCAGGCTGTGGGACAGTGCGACGAGGACCGTCGGAATGCCTGCGCTGGACGGCGAGGAGGAAGAAAAACAAGCGAAAGAGGTGGCGGCCATGCGGGAGTGCAAGCGGGAGACAAATCGAAGGAGTGGCAGACTGGGAAAGTAGAAGGTTCGACCTGGGACCCGTTCCCTGAAAGGAGATCGTCCCAGTTATGTCCGCGTGCGCGCCTTCCCTGCAATAGCGCCCGCGCATCTTATCTCGTGCTTTGTTCTGCTGCGTAGGCCTCCTCTGTCACTTGGATGTCGCGCGCTGCATCCACTTGCTCACCGTGGCCAGCAGCGAGCACCGCCGTCGCTCTCCGCACACAGATATCGGTCCCCGTCATCTGATAACCCAATTCTCCTAGAAGCCCGGTCGGCACGACTGCTTAGCTCAAGGCACCATTCTACGCGGAACACCCTGGCGTAACTGGGAATGTACGTCGAACCAAGGGCCCGTGCACGCGGTCGCTCCAGCGCTCGCCGCCCATCGGAGCACATCCTCCCGGCTCTCCTCAATTGAACTTGCACACGTTCCACATGGAGGCAATGTCAGCGCGCCACAAGGCCGACAGGCACCAGCCAGCCAGCTTCCAGGGAATCACGGCGTGGACGAATGACTGCGGTAGCTGCAGCGATTGCGACGGCCCTTGTCACAACTCGCCGCGCCCATGGTGGCCGTTGCCGCGAAGCTCCATCACCGAAGCGAGTCCAGGGATGTTCCGAGTGCTAGCGCTATGGATGAACACGGCAGCTGGCATCCAGAGCTCGCCACGGAACCTGTAGGTGACGCAGACCTTGGAATTAGTAACTATATGGTATTTACAGCGCATCCGCGCGCCGCCCTTGGTCCGATATCTCATCAGTGCGACAACTGACCATCCTTCCATTGCGGACGATTTCGTCATCAGTCGGGGGAGGCGCAACACTAGTCTGCGAACGTCTTAGGATGCACTTGCCAAGACTCATAACCACAGGCTTGCCGCGAAAATGCATTGGCAATATTCCCTCAAGCCACTTCAGGCCATTATCATGAAATGAATAAGTCACGCCAGAAAGTAATAACTACGATCGCGAAACGGGAGAACTACAGAAGGACGCGTCCTTTGCTGAGTTCCATTCCTGACAGACCGAGCAACACAGCTAGAAGACTAGGAGAAACGCCTAGGAACCTGCTATTCCAACCTCCGGTAACCACGGATTGTACCTATTCTCACGATATGCTGCCCATATGAACCTGAAAAGCAAGAAAGGACCGAGTCTTTCACACCGCGAAGCAAGGACAAACATGCCCTGTTCCACGACATAATTGAACTCTCAGCGTCGTGAACAATGTGTCGGTCCCGTTCTGCAGAAAGCGGCAGACACGTTGGGCGGAAATGATACAGTGCGTGTGGCCTTCGCCGAGTAAGCCAGCGTCAGGGCACCAACTATTTGCCGGGGCGTCAACGCATCTCTTCCTGAGCTTCACAGATCCCGCTCAACCCATACATTCAAGATGAATGACAGCGGGCGTTTCGCTCAGCCACAAATGCTAGAGCAATCTGGGTTACAACTGAACAGAGCTAGCGAACGAGGGCATCCGATGTCGTTGCGGAATATCGAGAGCCTTTGCTGTGGATTAGAAGGCCGCGGAACTAGTGGCAAGGGTCGGCGCTGACGAGACCTCCGAGAGCAGCGGCGCGAAGTATACTGCGCGAACCTCCGGACCAGCGATCGAAATGAATGGGCATGCTTGGTAATGCCCGATGGCGGAGGAACTACGTCGATGCCCTTCAGGAGCGGACAAAATCGCTGAACTGCTCGCTTACACAAGAACTCCGGTCGGCGAACTTACTGCCCAATGCCACTTCACCAAATCCCACCAAATCAGAGATCGCGTCACAGACAAAACGCGCGCGCATGTGGCCCGATCGTCAAGCTTCATGACGGGCGGGACCCTGGATACATGCTGCAACCAATGACGGGAGATAAGCCAAATACTGCAATGAAAATGAAGCACATTCATTCATACATGCCGCCACTGGTCGTGTACCTTGCATGCAGTGCCAATGCAGATTAAGCACGAGGCACACTGGCTGATCTTCGCCGCCGTCGGCATCCTTGCCATCAATCAGTAACGAACCATATAGACGGTCAAGGCACAGATTTAGCGCTGCTGCCCCAGATCCCGGCTTCCGACCGTCCGCGGACTATAAGAGAGCGGCGCTTGCTGGTCAAGAATACGTTCCGGGGCCTGTGGAATGTCCAGAATGAGAGCCCGCAGCGCCCACCGGTGCGAGGCTGGCGGGCGGTGTAAGAAGGCTGAAGGGAGATACGCTCATTTTCGGACGAACCATGGCTCGACGACCCTGAATGTCTAGGCACACCGCGAGAATCGGTGGTCCTTGACCAGCACGACGCAAATTGAGAGAGCACATAGCATTGTTCCAGAAGTCGTGGGCGTCAAGAAGACGAAGCATCCTGCGAGGCGAACGGGGCGTTGGCGCACCTTGCCGTGGAGATCGGGAATTCCTGCAAGTGATCAATGAATGGAATTTGAACGAGCTCCCAAATGGGCGTCATAGCTTTGAGCGCTGCCTCCACGTAAGTCTCCGCTGATTTCGCGGTACGATGGTGTCGGTATGTGAGGTGACAGACTTATGCTTTGAGGACCATGCCAAGTGGCCTTGTGATTGCAGCCGATCGCGACTGAACAGCTCGCCGTGGTCGTCGGTTTCACGAATGTTGCCATGGCCACAAGCTCCCGAAATGAGATGTAGCGACAATCCCGCGTACGGAACTTGTACCTTAAGGTAGATTCGGCGGCGGAATTAATGTCGCGTCCGGCTGACGGAAGCTACTCGATAATGAGGCGAGACAGTCAGGGTTGAAGAGAGATTTCCGTGCTCAGTGCAGACTAGTGCGCCATGGCGGAGCTTAGGATTCTGTCTTGTTCTGCCATGACAACAGCCTTCGAGCCGGCTACGAACTGCCTGGGCAAGACTTGTCGAGACTTCCGCGGGCGAAAGAAGCTTGAACAGAACATGGGAGCGGATATGAGGCACCACCCCTTCAATCGAAGAAGAGCAGCTGACAGTACAGACGGTTCATGCCAAGTTTCGGGCTCAAGCAGGTTATTGCACTCCATTGATGCGCCGCAAAAAGCGACACAAGGGCGTAATGTTGCTGCACATGGTCAGCATACACGAGTACTTGTTCTTATTTGATACGATACACTGCTACGTACTCGGTTGCCTATATGCGCCGTCTTCTGGGTAGAATGCTGTCTGACTTGCGCGATAAAATTGTTGGTTCACGGCCTTATCGTTCAGCGTGTGTACGTCTCCACTTCCACGAAGCTTGCATGGATACGTCAGCAGCCGAGCATGTCCCGCTGCCGCTGTTCGATAAGCTTGTTGCTCGCGAAGATGCGTGCAGTGCTCTCTTGTGAATCGTGAAATTCACACATTGTGCGAACGCATGCTAGACAGTCAGACTATTCGGGCTGTGCCAGCATAAGCAGTGTAGCTCATCTGGAGTTTTCAGGTATAGTCCACCCGTGTCGTATAGGAAAACACTGAAGGCGATTCACATTAGCCAGATAGAACTAAAGCAAGCATAAGTTCATTAGCATCAAGGCAATGACTTGGGAATGAGGTGGATGACGAATAGGATGAGAACACGTACACCAAGTAGCTCGCGTATGGACATCGCAGTCAGCCCGTATTCTCGATCCAAGCATTGGCATTCGGAAGGCAAACAAGGCGTGTCGGGTGATGATTTTGATAACAGCCAGTACTCTCTACTTCTATGGTTATGAAGTTCCGTTTCCGTGAACCCTTTTCCTTCTCGACTGCTTTTGTCTATTTGCTGGCATCGTCACGGTCTTGACAGCAATTATATCGGTAGTGAATGAGCACTGGTGAGCTGCTGACGTAGAGTTTTGCCAAAGAGTATGCAGAAACAAATTCGATTCGAGTGTATGCGAGCAGATACCATGGGATTGCAACCTGGCACGCGGAGGTGGACGTGAAGATAGGCGCTGTTGACGCGTCGCGATGTGACACTTTGTGACGTCTCGCGTCTCACTCGTCACGGCACTCAGTACTCACCCTTGCGCCTCTATCCATCGATGCACCATATTCTACTGCAATGCCACCTACACTGAGGCCGATAGAGCCCAAGACCTCTCGATGGGAGCCGACTCCAGATCCCTCCGACATCGTCATTCCTGGACTTGACACGACCGCGCCTGTGAACGACCAAATTCAGCAGATCGAGCATCTCATCACACTGCAACTACAGGTCGGATCCTGCTGTGATGCTCTGGTAGATCGTGCTGATGTTTTGTCTTAGAAATTAGACGCGAACTTTGCCAAGATGCAGGACATCATGGCGAATCGCATCTTGCCGGCTGTGAAGCGATACGCCGTGGGTACTGAGCCTGTCCGGGAGGCGGCCAAGGTGCGTGTCCATGATCTTCTCTCAGAACCCGCGCGTTTATATAGCTGCTGCAGTTCTGGACGACCTTTTATGAGCAAGCGGCGCAAATCCGAGTGCCAACGTATGAAGACTACAGCTCTCTGCAAGATCAGCAGGATCAGGAAGCCGCCACAGGTGATGAAGGAACGGAAGCAGAGTCTTCCGATATGCGTTCATTGGCATCAGAAGGAGCAACTACGCCTACTCGACCCAGTCGTACATTCCATTCAGATGAGCCGTCGACCGAAGTGTCATTCCTGCCGCACGCTGCGCTATCATCCACTCCTGCTACAACCAGCCGTCACCGTTCCAACCGCTCGCAGGATGATTCAATCAACCAGAACTCAGATGCCACACCGTCGTGGACAGCATCCATGGAGTCGCCGCTTGTGCGATTGGACAGGGAGATCCAGAGCCTGGCTCAGGAGGATCCCATCTCTGCTATTTCTTACAAATCCGCTGCATACGACGAGTCGCAGGATATCACGCAGCGTCAAATTCCTCCCCCAGCATTGGAGGAAGAGGAGCCGCCGGTACGACGAGCACGTAACGGGAAAGGCAAGGCTCGAGAGTCATCACAGGGTTTGCTCCACGACGTCTTGCGTCGCAACGCTGGTGACGCCGATTCCTCGATGGCAAGTCCCGGCAGACATGTTGTATCCCCGCTCAAATTCAAGCCTAAGACGCCGATCCTCAAGAACATGAATCCATACTTACCGCCCGGGACGAAACCTAACGACTGGACAGGGGTTGTCGACCTCGCCGACCCCACGGTGTCTACACCGAGCAAAGGGTATGAATCTCCGTCCTTTTTCGAGCGCACGCTGCGACCTCACAACGTGACGAAACCGAGCACTCCCAGAGCCGCTGGAGACGATTCGCTGGACATGGACTACGGCATGTCTCCTCCTGTTACTATGGCTTTTGCGCGTCTTCCCCAGCTGGGGCAAACAGCGAAGAAGGATGCTGCCCAGCGTATAACGCAGGATCTGTTGAGCGATGAACAGCGCGATGTCTTTGGAGGCTCCAGTGCCAGATTAGGAGGAACGCAGAAGGCGAGCAGAGTCGAGTCAAGTGCAAGCACACTTATCACTCCGCCATCACTATCTCGTTATACGCGCCCAGAGGTGGCTTCTGAGTCAAGTACAAGCGACCACGACATCGATAGCATGATACGGAGAATTGGGCTGGAGATTCCAGGTTTTGCAACTGCGGACACGGGTAGAGGAGGTGGAAGCGCCATGTCTCAGAATACGGCTTCTGAACCATATAGCAAGCCGGGACAATCTTCAGCCTCGATTCACTACTCTGAATCAAGGGCTACGGCACGTCCGTCTGTCGATTCTCCTGCAGGAGCGAAGCTACAAACTCCTGTGCAGTTCTCATTCCACCCACGATATCTGCAGGACGATGAATTGCAGCAGAATCTGCAAGATGACGATGATTCCATGGACTCGCTCGACAACGAGGATCAGGCCAATCCGTCGCCGGCTTTTTTTGTACATGCGCAGCAAGACGATTCATTCGATGACGATGACGATGATTCCTTCGAAATGGATAATGAAGCTGTTGGGGGAGGAAACATGGTGCACGCATTCCTGCATGGCCCGGACACTGGAGACGGCTTCGACGATGACTCATTCGATGATATGGACTCCAATAACGAACCTGAGGAAGAGACAGTCTTCGGGGTGCCCCCGGCGCAGCGATTGCAGATAGAACTGCAGCGAAATGAGGACTACAACTTGAGGATGATGGGTGCGAACGTACTGCAGGACACGATAGGCATCAGTCACCAGATGGCGCAGGCTGGGATGGTGGATGAGACGCCTACACCTTACACGACGAACAGATAGCTTCGGGGTCTATCATAGTACGTTCTGCTTATGCAATCCGTCGCTTACAAGATGTATTTGATGCTGCTGCACCCGTTCAGGCTTAGGCATGCAAATACGGCCATGCGGTCGCGTCTGGACCATCAATTCTCTCGGCAAGATACCTTGGAACGGTGGTACTTCCACGTCAGATGCGACTCACTATGCATTCTCCCAGCTTTGCCCGACGGACCCTTAAATAAGTATGAGTACGCCTGTCTCAACTCATTCCGAGTCCTCTTGATATGATTGCTTATCCGATTGAGAGTCGTCAAGCGTGACTCTCTAACGCGTCTGCTCCAGGATACAGAATAAAGATCGTAGCACGAATGTTTTCCGTTCCATCCGCACTGAGATCTGAGCCTCAGATTCTACTGCATGTTACGCTCAGTCAAGCGATGACTCGAAAGCAAATCGCAGGCCAATGTCAAAATTTATATTTGTTATAGGTATCTCGGAAGACTTCAGCTCGTCCCAGCGTGCCTAACAGTAGTTACCCGAACTGCTGAGAGCACCATTCTATCATATGGAAGGTCACGACTTATTGAGATATATATTGGTGTCAACTACCCAGACCTGAGGCCGCAGGCTTGGCAAGTGTACTACAGAGCTGTCGAGTGTGACAGACAGAGGAAGCCTCGAGCGACATCAGCATGAAGGTCCTTACCATCGAGGCAATGATCGCCATTTTTGACCATGCAGCCGCCAACAAAGCAGAATTGACATTAGCCTTCCCGGAGAAATGCAAGATGACAGCAGCCGTGTTATTCAGAGGTATTCACTATAGACTTTTCTGGCGACTCAAAAAACGTGACATATAATAGCGAGGACATAGATCACTGTAGAACCCGTGGCGCAGCGGTAGCGCGTGAGATTCCAGAGAAATGTTCTTCGGATATCCTCAAGGTCATCCGTTCAATCCGGGTCGGGTTCAAATTTTTCCACACTTCGAGAGTGTTACAGTTTTGCTCAAGGCCATGCCATGCTCCTGGCTGCGCTGCATATGCAAGCTGGGTTGATTTCTAAGACCTTGTGACCAGGCCCCTTCGAGTTGCAGGCGCTGGAAGCTTTATTGAGGGGCAGCAGGCCTGGAGGTGCCCACTGCCACTGCTATGATGCGCGCTATCCTTAGCACTTGACCTAGTCTGTCCCGCTTTCAACGAACATGCTCTGTCCCCTTCCTATTCACCTAGCCTATCAAGATGCCTCGCGAAAACAGTCTCAGCGACTCAGATGGTCGTTCGCTCACGCCGGACCTCGATGAAGCCATGTTGCGCGAGGCTGAAGCTCGCCGTTTATCTGCAGAACCGTCGGACGAGGTCCGACCACAGCTCTCAGACCTCGATGGCGTTTCTGCTCCATCTGTGCTCAATCCCAATATGCAAAACCCGACAGAAAGGGCCCCTGCGAGGCCAGACGCTGCTGCCATGCCGGCCCACACTACGGCTGGCGACCGCTTCCGCGCCATGGTGTGGAAAATCATCCATATGAATCGCACAGCGTCGTCAATGACATTCGCGCGTCCCGGAGTTGGCGCGGAACCAGGTGTTGACCCACGGCGAGCATCTGCGAATATCAGCTATGGGAATGTGCGGCAACGCTGTGTGATTGAAGTCGTCGACTACTCGACGATGCGCACGAACTTTCGGCGTATGACCAACCGGGAGTTTGTCAAGATGCTGAAGGATCCAGATGCTAGCAGTCGTGATCCATGGGTGCGCGTCCGTTGGATTAACGTAGGCGGTATCAGCTGGGACGTGCTCAGCTCCCTGGCGCTCAAATACGGTGCGTACACACTGATACTGTCATTTCTATATTGTTCCAATCGACCTTGACGCCTGTCTCATGGCGATAATGCTCCATAGATATGCATCCTCTCGCTATCGAGGATGTTCTCACCCACCGTCAGCACACGGGCTCTAAAGTAGACTACTACCCGCAACACCTCTTCCTTCGTGTCCTCTTCCACTCCCTTGCCTCCAGCAATGCTCCTTCCCCAGACGTCTCCTTCACAGACCTCTCACGTTCCGAGTCTCCTGGCCGGATGGATGGTATTCTCGAATCCGATGAAGAGTCGCTCGCGGATGGCGTAAGCGGGGATGAGAACCAGGAAGCGCTCAATAACTTGGACGACAACAGGACAATTTATGACAATGCTGCTGGCCCGAACTCCTCGACCAGACGTGCATCGCTGAAGCGCAGGACTGCCAGGAAGAGCGGCAGGGATGAGGAGGACTCCGTCATGGAGGGGCAATTTGCGAAGCTTGGTTCATTATTTAGCGATAAAAAGAAAGTTGCGAGGAACATGAAACTCGTCCGAGAATTGACAAGACGCGATCGTATCAACGTCAAGGTTCACCCTATATGTATCTTCCTGTTCCGTGACGGTACATTTACAGCTCGTAATCGCACTTCTATACGTTGACCTTTGAATGCGCATAGGTACTGTAATATCAATCAACGAGGGTGAAATGGTCGATTTTGTTTTCATATATGCTTGTGCTAATTTGCTGCAGATCCCAATGTCGACTTCACGAAACCCATCACAGACCGTCTACGGCAACCGCATACTGGTCTACGGCAGACTGCCGATCCCTCGCTACTGGTACAGAGTCTGCTAGATCTTAGTGCGCCACGCGTCGTTCAGCGCACTGTACACGAAGCTCATAAACACATTCAGTCGTCGATTCTGCGCTCGAAGTGGTAGAAGAGTACCAGGGTAAACTTCTCAAAATCGAGCAGGAGGTACTCCTCAAGCCGAGCATGGCGACTGTGCGAGGACGTACGTGCTAGGAGACTCTTCTATTACGTGCTGACGGCAACTGGCGCGTCTGGACATACAGTACACATTCTACAGGGCGATCTCATTCAACACAAGCGTACCCTCGAACCGATAAAGACGGTGATATATGGTCTGAGAAGGTACGACGATGATAGAACCGCCGCAGTAATGGAGAAGGTCGACCCGCACATGAAGGTTGAGGGGTATATGAGCCACAAAGCGAAAATTTACCTCGTCCGTAAATCTTCCATGCTGGTACTCATAAAATTGATAGAGACGTATAAATCGTGTCCACAGGCGGACGTGCACGATCATATGGAGCACATATTAACAAGTCTGGATATGTTTGCTGGAGTTAGCGAGAATTTGATCAATTATACATTCAATGTACGTACAGTACTCTACGCCTCAGTGTGCAGCTCTAGACTCATTGTCCACAAGATGGCTTCGTATCAGATGAATCAAGTGATGTAAGTACCTTAATTTCATTGCGACCGTGTCCATAAGCGTTGACTGCACCTGATTCGCCTCTTCTCTTCTGGTAACTTAGGCGCCGGCTAACGTTAGCCACCATCATCTTCCTCCCGTTGACCCTCTTGACAGGTTACTTCGTACGTTGTCTTCTGCATCCGATGCCGTACTCGCTGTGATATGTACATATTTTTCTCCCACGTCGTAGGGTATGAACTTCCAGAACATGTGGTCTGTCGACCACGGCCACAGCGACGTGATGTGCGTGTCCGTTTCTGCTCGCATCTGCTTCATTTTTGTATTCTTTGCATCTTTCTTTGTCCCACGTCACTCCATCTTCATCTTATTGTGTCCCCCCCCTTTCGATTGTGTGCTGCTTGTCTCACTTGATTGCTCTCTGTATCTGCAGATTCTGGATCATTGCATTACCGCTTATGGCGATCGTAATTCCTTCGTTCATGTTGCCAGACCTAAGGAACGTCATGCGTTATTTGCGGAAACGGGTAATGAAGCAGCGAATCAAAAAGGTGCGTACTGTCATATAACTTACCGTTCATGGACCGCTGACCCAGCCATGTTGGTGCCTGTACAGAGATATGGTCGCCGACGATGAAAAGACTGTCAATCACTTTGAGTTTGGAGTCTCGTCATCGCCAACTAGGCATCGGCTTCTTACTGTACAGCTTTCAAATGGTGTGTCTCATTCACTCCCCGCTTCGACATCATTTTTGGGACACTGTTTGGACGTCGAGATCTCAATGTAGTCGAAGCGTGGAGTGCAGGTATACCCGCCGGTGATGTATTCTATCAGTGTCAGTAGTGATTTCGTGTTTCATTGCTCAGTAAGTCGTATTGATGCCCACGACAGAAAACAACAGATACAGACAGCTTCAATACAGCATACGCAAAACAGTAGATCATAAGGAAGAGGTAACAAGAAGGGATCGGAGAGCGATGGATGGTTCCCACTTCGACCATCGTGGCATCGTTACACCCCTCATCGCTGGGCAGGGGTCATGATGCAACATTGCTTGCTTGGATGAGGCTTCACAGAAGGGGTTGCTCCAAAGGCGTGAAGACCAAGGTTCCCTTAGGAGGTTGGGTCACGGTATTGAGGGGATCTGTAACTTCGAAACGGCCTTCCAGCAGGCTTGGGGTTGCACGACCAATGAGGCATAGTACGATCAGCTTGATTTCTGTGCCATAGAAGACCTGGTGAGATTGCGTGCAAGAAATTGCGAAGATACAGACTAACCGTTTACAGCTAGAACTCTCCCGGGGCAGGCGAACCGGCCAAGCCCAAACACGATGTGTGCCGAACCCGTCATGGCTGCGTCTTTGTTCTGTTCCGCCCATTGGAAGCCGTTGAATCCCATTGGCTCGTCGCCGAACACTTCGGGATTCTCATGTACCGTGCAAGACATTGGCGTGATAAAAGAACCTATTGTCCATGAGAAGAGCATAGATTAGCATCGTGGGGTACAACATTTCCGTCGAGACCCAGGGCTGTAACTCACCCTTTGGGATGATGTAGTCGCCTAATGGTGCATCGCAAGTGGTATATCTCATCGTGGAAATGGTATCTCCCTTGAGGCGCATGACCTCGCGGACGAAAGAGTCCAGCAAATGAGCTTCCCTCAGGGAGGCGGCTGTAAAACGCAGTGCGCCCGTCTCATCTTCTTCGCGAATGCGAAGGAGTTCTTCCCGGATAGGGCCTAGACACTCCGGATGCACAGCAAGTTGGAAGAGCACCCATTGCGAGACCACCGTGCTAGCGTCATGATCTGAGTCACAGGTATAACAGTCAATGAGGCTACGCACGTGGTATGAACCGAGGCAAATATCAGACTGTAGAAGTGAAGCATTCACTGTCAGTCAGGGCCTCTCACTGGCGAACAGCGCGACGCACCACAATAGCAGGACTCCAATGTAGATGCGACGAAAAACACCAATATGTTGCCTTTCCGGCGTGCTATATGTTTTTACGATGTGATACAAGACGTTTCTGGGCTACAAAAAACTGCGTGAGAAAAGTTGATATGCTCTTGATTAACGACCGCATCTCACCTCATCCTTCGGGGAGATGCCGGATGACGCGATCAATTCATATCGATTCACATCTTCCCATAGCTTGGGCCCCAGCGGACGCAAGAAGCCGAACGGTATCTTGACCAGAATCACATTGACCCTGCATACTGTGTCAAAAACAGCGAGCTCTGGAGACGACTCGTCACGTACCATGTGAACAGTACCCAAAACCAGGGAAAATATTTTCCCAGGAATGAGAAGTTCTGATATTGACCGGTGAGCTCTGCCATGCCGTTCGATACGTTCTCGATAATGTCCATGTTCCGCCGGGTGACGTATTCCTACGGGGCGTTTCCGCTCAGCTGATCAGCAAGCAGAGGTAAATCGCGGCTGGCTCACTTGGCCCAGAAGCAAAATGAGCGTCGTCTCTGAAATTGTATCGCGAGAGTGCAAGAACGAGTCTGGCCGGACACCAATTTTCGATACCTGACTGACTAGGTCCATGAAAGCCTTCCCGTCGCGGTCATAGATCGGAAAGACTGAAAGGTATCTTATATGAGCGATAGAATAGCATGAAGGCAATAGCTACTTACTTTTATTAATGATCTCGTCAATGTGGTCAATTATGCCTTCCCGAACGAAGTCGTTGAGATCACGGAATAGTGATCCCTTCGTCAACGCCATGATAGGCTGGAGATTCATGATCTGGACGACAGCATATGGCATGTGGTCAAGACTGCAAGTCTCAACCAGGAACTGGCGTACCGCTGCTGAACCTTGTTCAAAGCTGAACAAGTGATCGCATGTGAGGACATGCCTAGAAAACTTGGGGCCGACGATGTATTCGAGCTGTTGTGGTTGGCGGTAATAAGATCGCGACATGCATAGACGTATCGGCCGAACTGACGTTGCCTTTACGTCTGACAGCAATCACAGGGCCATATGCTTGCAAGGCTGCTTTGTATGCCTCTTTTGGTCGAGAGAAAATCTCTTCCGGCTACACTTGAATTGATTCAACGATACCAAAGAAGAAAAGTCTTTGTAAGCGTACAGGAATTTCGACCTCTGGAGGCAATTGCTCGCGTGGTATCTGCATAAAGATAGCAGACAGCTTAACCACTATAGAAGGCAGCGAAGAACGTCGGACTGCACCTTACGATGCTTGAGAGAAAGCCCGTACAAGAACACTGCAAGTGGAAGAGCAAGGAGATATCTTTGATCCATCGAAACTGCGATGTGCGCAAGAGCTCCCCGGCCGGCTATAAGGCTCTCTGGTGTGCTGCTAACAAATCGACAGATCGCCTGAGGTTTGGTTCGTCGGAATGTCCCGTCTCTACGTTGAGTCAGGCCTCGACTGGACGTGGTCCATTTATCTTTGTGAGCTGCAATGTTCAGATTTATATGAGAATCTTCGCGATCCGCATATGTTCTTACCATTATGTCAGAGAACGACTAAAATGGCCAGGAAGCGCGGCATCCTGCGCATAGTTTTAGATTTCTGATCGGCCGTAATCCGTCAATAAGGGACGTTGGCCCGGATTCCAAATTATCGCGTCCTACCTCATCCATTGAACTGAGAAGCGTCGGTAGCGTCCTGGAGATTCCCGTCAGAAAGAGAAAGCGAACAGTTGGAAATGAGGCCAGTTCTTCTGACCTGGGTCAATACAAATTTGATTCCGTAGGCACCTGACGGTTAGTGCATGAGCTGAAAGCCGACCTTTCAATGCAATGCGTTGCGACGGTTGTAATGTCACGAGATTGCACTTTCCCAGCGCTTGCCCCTGCAGCAAAGCGCACGTTCAAACGTCCACCTCCAACCACGTACCGGCCGTCGCCCAGAAAACTGCGGAAGCTGACGGCGTGGTTGTAACACAGCAAACGTCACATAAAACGGCATCACAAGGACCGCGCGGCCATCCGATTTTATCAGAATTCAGTATGTAGGCTCCATTTGTCGCTTTCACAAACACGTTGCTGCTCGAATCGTGCCCAGAAAGATTTTGTAGGGCTAGAAATCTGAAGAGTCTGGTGCCGACGGAACCCATGTCGGTTTCCGCCTAGTGCTTCTCTCTTCGCGCATCATGGGATAGTGACGACACCATAGTACGGGATCTCTAAATGGACCTCATCGGCCCGTACCGCGGGTTGTCTGCAGTCGGCAGTTTTCGACACTGTGAAGGCGAACTGCGCTATGTAGGAGTTCACGCTTTGCACACTTTGAAGCAATAGTGCACGAACACAAGCGCTGTCCACACGTCTTCAGCTCAGTTACCTAATCAAGCTTCAGGAGTCCTCGGTCTTTTGCTCAGCTTATGCGACCGATTATGCCCATCTGTCATACATCACCGTTTGTCATCTCGTCAATCTTCAGGACCGTTTCCCAGTCACAAGCACGCTAGACATTCGAAGGGGACTTCCGCGTATACCGCTGATCCGGTGCATTCTTCGCCTCCCTCCTTGTTCGAGTTATCCAATATCTTCTTTTGCACCTATGCGCGTACACCTGTGCTCAGGAGACGTGTAATGCCACCGACGCATCCGTGTGCAACAATTAATCCGATCAGATACAGGCTTCCTCTACACCTTATCGCATCGTAAAGCGGCAATCGAGATTCTCAGGACGGCGGTTCCGGCAGACGGACGGTCACGACCCTGTTGACGCTGAATGCGTTCGGCGAAGCACTCACGGATCATCGCTGAGCGCGGTACCTGCGGTCAAGTTGCAAAAAATGCCACATTTGGCGGGCCGCTCTTCAGTATTCACGCTTCCTGTTTGGTCCCTTCCTATCGGGTTGCGATGGATGCCACGCAGTCTGCAACTGTATGTGTCATTCCACACTGTCTTGTCCTACTAGCTCACTTCCCGTTTGTGCTGGCGTCGCCAGTTGCTTCTAGGTCGACCGGTAAGCGTCATGCATTGCCATTCTCCCACTGACTCTTCTATCTGGTCGAACGCACATCATCGCCAGATCCGCCATTATCCTACGTGGAGCCATTGTAGATGGACCCCCAGTTCCTCGAGTGAAGAGGAAGTCTGCGGGAAGTTGCGAGAATGCTAGTCCAACTGTGGGGGTATTCGCTTCCCCGTTCATCGGATACTTCCGGCAGATAGAGTCACGCAGACCTTCAAGCTTCAACATGTGTAAGTACGATGATCGCTCGGTCGAAGAAAACACTTCTTTCGTCGGCTGGCACATTTCAAAGATGGTGAAGCATGCAACGTACGTATTCCCAAAGATACGAAATTCGCGAGCCTTTGCTGCTTCATGAAATAAAAGCTCTTCCTCGTGCTCCATCGAAATGTTCGTAGGTCCATCCCCCAATATTGATGATGCGTGCAGCGTGCGCAGCTATTCCCCGCCCGACATGGCGATGTGTGGCTGTTTGAGCTAACCACGTGTCTGAAGGATCACATCTACTCATTTGCACTACCTTCGCCAAGGGTGCAATGTTGCTGAACATGTTGGTCAGTGCTCTGCACGTAGACAGCACCAATCACGAGACGCCCGAATATGAGCTTTCAGATATTATTCGTGACCTCCCAACGGTTTTCCTCACCTTTCTGTCTGAGTGGCTCAGGGTGCAGGCCGTGTCAAAACCACACCTCGTGCTCACAACTACTGGAACATCCACATGAACAGTACTTCGTAGACACTTCCCAGAGACCACGAAAGTTACACCAGTCCCACACTATGTATATGTCGACGTTGTAAAATACCCAACGGTTTGGCTGTTTCGCGCCGTCACACAGCCCGGTCGTCTGAAGCATACGCGTTCACGATGATTCTTGACCTATGAAGTGGCGATAGTCTGCACAGTGGCCAGTGGGACGAGTCTATGTGATGAGCACGGGCACTCAGGTACCCAAAAGCTTCGCGAGTTCCCCGCGAGGAGAGCGATCCAGATGAGTCTCGTTACAGTAGATACGTGGTATACTAGGTTGTACAGCGACATCGTATTTGCAAACGTTACAAATGAGGTGCATCCTGGTTCATCTGCGCCAATACCCGCACAGCAGATGATGGCATGGCCATTAGCTCTGCAAACGAAGGAGTGAATGCGATCAGGCCTGAAGCCTCAGCCTTGATTCTACACAGATCCCGAAATGCAAACCTAAATGCGAACTTCACATTGGCACGGTACGCCGCAGACGCAATCAGAGTGTGCACAGCACCCGGAAGCGCTGACAGTATATGAAGGCCGTCTGGTCCACGTACGAACGACTCGCCGAGCCGTTGGTAGAGCCTGTCCTTCTCCGTCTTTGGTCGAGCCTTTCCCGCCGGCTTTGATGGGAACTTCTTTGGCGAAACTCGAGGTTTGGCTGGAGATCCGTCGAGCTGCAAGGTAGACAGCTGTTGCCATTGGCGTACGTGCATTCTGACATGCTCATCGATGAGGTCCAGGTCGTTTTTCAATACAGGATGTGCTTGTGCGGCAGCTTCTTCGAAGGGCCGAGTTAAATCTTCATCTCGGTTTTCCGGGGATGTTTTCTTGAGTTGCTCGAAATGAGCAAGATGAGCATCTTGTAGCTTCTTCCCGGCACGTAACAGCTCATCCAGCACGAATGGTGGCAAGCCATGGCTCCGTGGGATTGGGTTACCCATTGTCCCATATATAGAAGTCTCTGCCTCTACGCCTCTCATACAGAGTGGCTTTTTGCGTCCATACTTGCGTTGATCTGATTGGAAGATGTCATTCAGTACTCTGTGTCCTGTCTTGCGCGAATCCAAGACAACGTTGAACCTGTTAGAGGAGTACGGTGAGCACGGATCTGAAATCAACCCCACAAATACGAGGAACTTTACATATAGGCAGCGCGAAGTGTTTGCGGACTATCATAGCCGTACGCGTATGCAGCATTTTCGTGGAATATTGAGTATAATCCCACTGGCGCATCCGAGAGACCGGAAATTAAGACTTCCTGAAGTTCTCTCTGGCTGATAGAAGCTGCCACAGCCTGGAGACGTTCGTGCAAGTCGTGCACTTGCTCGATAGAGCCTTCTGACTCGAAGTTCTTCTCCATGAAGTCTGCTGGTGGGTCGTTGATGGCTGGAGTATGAAAATTTTTCACCAGGTTGGCATCATAGATGCACACACAAACATCTGCAGAAGAAACTAAGGGAGCATTCAACTCTCAATTTAAGTAAAATGCACCTCCATCAACATCTGAAACATTGATAGATCAGGGCGTGATAGGACTACATAGATAAGAGTACTCACCGCCACCGGCAAGTAGATTTGCCAGCGATCGGTGTCCCTTTACTGGAAGGACGATGACATTGATATACGCTGCCAAGGCTGGGTGGTTAACAGCTGTAACCTGCAATATCACACTTTCCATGAGGCTCATGCGTTAAAAATCTCAAAAACGCAAACCTTCTGAATGTCTGAGGGCACTCTGGCTGGATTGCGGTAAATCTATAGGTTTCTTAGTTTGAATTTTATTATAGCAACGTCAAGTGACGGACCAAGACATCGCCAGTGATGACTGTGGGCGAGGCATCTTCTAGAGGATCTTTCAGATTCTGGCTTGCTCGGAATTGGATCTGGCCCTCCTCAAGTACCCCAATGGGATCTAAAATGTTGTTTGTGAGATTTCTCTAAGATCACAGCAAATAACGCCTTACCTGGTATAATGAATGCCTCAGCAGACTGCGGCACGACAATGCGAAACTCCTTGATAAACTCTTCAAGTCGAGCTGCCACTATTTGCCTCAGTTTCTCATACAGTTGCTCCAGCTTCATTGGATGGAATCCAGCTTGCAGCAATTCCATGAGAGCGGCGGCAGCAGACACAGGCTCGCCGCCAGACTCGTTCCGGCTCTTCTCAGTGAGGATATCGTCCAAATTCTCACCATCATCACCATCGTCACCCTCCCAGTCCTCACGATCTTGCGCTCGTCCAAAGCCGAGGATACGCGCTGCACCAGATGCCTGCCGCCGAATTATTGACATAGTGACGTGGCCAACTTGGTTCACTGCATTCCACAGCAGCAGCAAGTCTTGCTCACTTGACCATGTCGTAAGAGCGTCCATCTCCTTTTGCAAGCCCTCTCGCATCAGGTCAACAAATAAGTGATCAGGCACTCCATTGTGCGACAGGTTCATGATGGTGAGCTTCGACAGCCGCGAGGGAGCCGTGACACGGGGAGGCGACACCAGATCAAAGATGAGCTGAGCCAGGCCAAGCTCTGCGTATCTGATCTTCTGCTGCGACGGTCGGGTCCAAATCCGCGGCAACGCGTCCGGCTCCTGGTCTTTGGGATGCAACGCCCATAGCCCTTTAGCTCCGCCGAAACGTCCCTGAACAACAGTTGGACGCTCCGAGTAGCCCAGATGCTTGGCGATCTTCGCCAACGCTGCTCCGTTCATGAAGCCACAACCATCGGTGAAGATACATTCCGTTGGTGGCTTTCTCAGAGACGAATCATATTGCGCATCTTTCCTGAGAGTCAGTAACACTGCGATTCAAGGGAACCGAAAAACTGTACATTGATCGGGGATCTCGAATACGTCGACGCCCTTGCCCTGGAAGCGCAAGACCGGTACGGAGGTCGACAGACCGAGATCGAAGCGAGTGATCCACTTCGTGATTGGCTGAAATCTTCATGAAGCGGACCACGGACAGGCAGACATGCAAAATCACTCACTTGATGCCCGTTCAGATCCAGAGGATTGTGCCAGTCTACAAAATCCTCTAAAGACATGCGGTTCTTGTCCGCACGCCGGTCAGGAGTGCGCTCATAATCCTCATTTGTCTCCATCATGTACACCTTCCCGTCCTTCGCTGCAAATGGTACGAACACGCGGCCGCATAACACAAATTTTTGAGAGAAGAAAAGCCGGACGGCAGTGACCTCCGGCTCGCGGACTTGCTTGTCGGGCACGCTCACTTGCAAGACGCGCCGCGAGCCAAGGAAGCGCGCGACACGGTTCGACTTCCGCTTCAGCATCCTCTCTAGAACGAGCTTGTAGGAACCGCTCTCGGTCTTCACGAGCCGGGATACCTGCTGTATGCGGCCGCCGTACCAGTTGGCATCGCCGTGCCACTCGCCCTGAAGACCTAGGCCGCGCGACGGGTCCGCTTGCAATGCATCTTGTTCTCGATCCAGCTCGGTCCTGTCAAGAAAGAGAGAATGTCTACATCATGGTGTCTATGCACGTTACGAGAGATGGCTCACCATAAAGGATGATCATTCGCGATCGCCCTTCCGAGATTATGGCCCAGCATCACTCGTGCTACGCGCGGGGCAGCCATGACGTTGGAGCCTCGCAGGGAGTTCAGCTTCGAGGATGTGACATCGTCCCACGTCCAGTATCCATGGCAGATACCTCGCGCTATCTCGTACTGCACTCCCCACGCAATTTGCATCGAATCCATCATCTTCTGGACCTCCTTAGAATGTGCAATGATCTGAACGCCTTCAAGCACTGAGGGAATCGCTGAAGCAGAAGCAGTGAAGCCCTTGCTTGTCGAAGCAGCGGAGGGCTTGACCGCAGCGGCCTCAGGTGCTGGACCTTTTGACGCCTTAACGGATCCAAGAGGATCGTTGCGACGAATCTGAGTAAGTGAAGAGGTCGCTGTCGGCTGTGCATGGGCAATCTCTGCACGAGGTGTGACGCTGGACACCAATAGTGTGGCAGTCTTAGACGGGGGCAAGCCCATAGGACTGATCTGCTGGGCAATGCTCGATGCAGAAGAGTCAAGAGAGCTGTTCGATGAAGGATGCCTTGAGATGACAGATCCTGTCGGCGTAGCGTATCTCGTCGGCAGCGCGGACGAGCTGAAGACACCTTGGACGTCGACAAGAGGAGGGAAGCGCAACGTTGGGGGTGCAGAGAATGATGTAGCAGCGCATTCTTGAAGCAGAGAGCTCGGCCGGTATGTCTTCTTTGGGGACTTTGCCAGCGGAAGTGGTGAAGGTGGAGAGGGCGGGCTATAGCCGTAATCCAGTGTACTCTTCCGCCTCGGTGAAGGTAAGTCAACAAGAGAATATGAAGAGGACACAGACGTCATTGACGTGCTTTGCGTAATTCCAGTATAGTTGGAAAATGCAAATGAGCGTTGATGAGTGGAAGGTACAGAACCGTCGGATTCCGTGTCAGTCTTGTTCACTGGTGTCGTGTTAGACGATGTTCAACCCATGTGACTCAGCGGCTTACTGTTCTCAACTACGAGGATTTGCAAGCGGCGGTGTCAACGCGAGTTGGCGAAGTGCGCAATGGACTGCCCTCACCTTCCTCATCGCTGTATAGAGCACGACGTGTCTTGTGGCATCCAGCCACGTCCGCCTGACCTGAACTGCTAGAGTGCGGGCCCGAAACAGCAGGAGCTACTCTATCATAACGCCCTCCTGCAACTTTCTGTCCGTTGGTGCGACCGATGACTGCAGCTGCGAAGGGCTGAGAAACGCAGGAGCACAGAGAAGCGCACAACTCACGAGTTGCATCCACACCCTTCTCAGCTAATTGCCTGGCCGGCTTGACATGCCTGCGAGCACGACCCGTGTCTCTCTCTGTCGATTTTTCACGAGTTGCTGATGATGCATATGCAAGCGAAGTCATCGCAGGACGCGAACCGCTTCCTTCGCTATCACCAGCAGGCGCTACCGTACATTGACCAATTCAAATCATCTCAATTCAGTGTTTGCAGCTCAACTCACATTCGAATTCGATGTCCCGCCATACATCGCTGCCCTCTGAACTAGTATCTGGCCAATATTCGTCCTCTGAAGTCTATATCAATGAGCTAAGCAAACAGCCTTCATCAATTCAACCGTTTTGCATACCATCAAAGAGATCGTTATGCAAAGTAGAGTCTAGATTGGGTAAATGAGCAAAGATCCAAGAGTGCGCGGCTGGAGGAGCGATTATGGGATGCGTTCAAACGCATCGGTATCACGCTGCGATCGCATTTGTGATGAGCAAAATGGGGATCGATTGAAATGGGTTCCTCGAGGAGTGTGCCTGCTCGAAGCGAAGTCGCGAAGATTGGATGTCGGCTGCGGAGTCGCGTTCTTCAAAGGCGCCTGCTCTGGGTCTCGTGCTTCGCGCGTGAGCGCGTTTCGTGGTTTGCTTCCGCGAAGGCTGTCGAGAACTCCTTGACGAAGACAAGCTGTTCACCTGCGCTATCCTTGATTTTTCTCCACGACGGCTTCAAGACCTACAAGCAATGCCTTGGTGGCGAGCCCGAGCTCTCGTGCCAACGTCTGAAACTCGTGGGAAAGCAGAAGCAAGCAAGGTTCATACATGACCTGACATGCTGTTGCGGTCTGCCGCGACCCTGCCAACTTTCAGGCCTCAGGGCTGATTCGGTGGCGATAGGAGCAGCCACGACCGACACCGCGATTCTGATGCTTCTTGACGTTTTTCCATATCAATAGTCTGCACACGGAAGGCCCTTTTGGGTGGAGGTACCTGGCCTCGTAATTCACCCACGATGCGACCCTTTATGAGGCACTCGTGAGCCGCAAAGCGATCCGGAAGCGTGCAATGGTTATACGGAATGCGATAAGTGCGACACCTTGCCAATATCGATGGTGGCACATGCGATACCCTCGAGTCGGAGCTGGCAATGAATGGAAGAGGGAGACTTGGAGGTTATGATCGAGATACCGCAAAGCCATGGGCGAAGCCCGGGATCTGCCAGGACCTGCGCCTGAGATCCGCCGCCTCATGCATCGAAGCTCATCAAGCAGAATCGCACTGATGCCATACTCTCGGCACGGCTATCCTTATAAGAACGGAAATGTATCTGCGCAAGAACTTGGTTCAACTACAACACATGACATGCACGTATAATACAGAGCAAGATGACACTCGACAGCATCGTCTTCATCACGATTGGGTGGCTTCATCATACTTCAGTCTGACCCATTCGAATTAAAGGAATTTGTGCATCCATAAATGTGGCGGGCAAGACAGGAAGGGCGTCTTCTTCTACTTCCTGGCGAAGGTGATCTGGGGATTGCACGTCAGCAACACGCATATATGGCTCTTTTACCGGTAAACATACCTTGATCTTGTTTTCGCCATCCAATTTGTAGTTGTGGAGGGCATCCTTTGCAACAGTTGCACTCGCTTCGTCCATGTACTCGACGAATGCAATGTCCTTCTTTGTCGGAATAAGACGCACTTCGTGCAGATTTGGATATCTGTTGCACCCCGACGCTGTGTGAGTATCGCTCGGAACTGAATGACATCGATGTGGCACATACTGAGAGAAAAGCGCCATGAGCTGATCCTTGCTGACGCTTTCCGGGAGGTTCTGCAAGAACAGAATCTTGTTGGGTGGCAAGTATTCGTCCGGCATCTGAACGTTTGGCCGCTTGGACACTGGTGCTGCACCAGCACCGTCCACTGCGATAGATGTATAACGTAAGCGTCAACGATACATCGAACACACGCGCATATACGCACCTGCTGCAGCCATTCTCCGCTCGCGATATTTGCGTTTGAGAGGGTTGGTATAGCGAGTTGACTCTGGATATTTGGAGAGTAAATCGTGAGTCGTCCGCTCACCCCGCGAAAGAAACGATACGCACTTTTATGCTCCAATCTCTGTGCCTTGTGCTGCTCATAGTGCGCAGCATCCAATTTTTTGACCACTGCATCTGACCGTGTCTTGGCGAACGAGATTTGCTACGTGACACTCAGCATACGATAAAACAGAACACGTATGTGATGACGCACCATAGGCTTTGAGTATAGCGGGAATCCCCTGACCTCCTTCAATGCTTTTTTCGCAGCCTCAGCGGACTCAAAGGAAACAAATGCCTGTCCACGCATTCTCAAGTTTCCATGCGCGACAACATCCAGTACTTCACCATATGCCTTGAAAAGGCTACGAAGCGATGCCTTCAGCACTGTAGCATATATGTGGTTTTAGTCAGAATAGAGAATATATAGAGCCGGACAGTGGCAGAGGAAGCAATGCACACCTGGTATCTTAATTTTCTCGTTGAGATTCTGGATGTAGAGCGTCTCCGAAGCGTGTTCCGGCTCGGGAGGTGGGGCAGGTGCAGCCACCGGCGCCGGGGCAGCGGCCATTGCGGCAGGCACAGAAGCAACGACGCCCTGCATGGCGTCGACGGGAACAGGTTGTACAGCGATGTCGGTCATTAGACTAAAGTACGATGGCGAGAATCGAAGAGCCGGGGACTGAGGACGGTTGAATCTTGAGAGGACTTGATTGCAGTTACAGCAGCTGAAGGCAAAGATCCATCTCCATATGCGGCATCTGATCGGACTTGCCCGAAAACACGGTCATGTGACACGGAGGACCGTGAAACCACACATCCTGCAGCTCACGCAAAAAACTTCATCGTCTCACCCGATGTCAAGCTCTACCTTACGCCCACTTACAATGCCTCCTTTTCATAAGCTGAAAATGTTGGAAGCCTCCCCTTTGATTCGCCATCACTTGATGTAATGTTGGAAGCAGCCAGTTACCTGTATCTGAAAGATCGACACAGTGGCCGCAAGTGCCGACCGTGAATCCGTGACACACTGCAAGGCCTTGTGTGGGTGCAACCGGTCTCGTGAGGTGGAGCACACCAAAAGGTGGGAATGCGATGACGGAGATACGGTCGAGCCAAGAATGTACAGAGGGTGCAGGAATCTCGATTCTCGGAAAATACTTTCTCTAAGAAGGCTGCAAACGGGTTGTTTCGCACCCTAGTTCCTGACCTTCTAACACACAGAGAAGGCTTTTTCGTAGTCTGCCTATGGGAGACAATCCAAATCTCAAAGTACATGTATCTGCACAACACGCCTATATTTGAAAAAAAAAATGAAGCTCTGGTCGACAGAGACCTGTCAGATATACTTCTATACAAGGATAGACCGCATCTGCCTGACTTCATACCGAACTCTCCATTGGAGGAGTTCCAATACTAATCAAAGAGGATGAGGGGCGGTTCGGGGCGGGCCCGTGTCGCCTTTCGAGTACGTATGTTCGACGAGATGACTCTCATATGCACTGATCTCGTCCCATGCGCATATATATATGCAACCCCAAAGGCATATACTTAAGCCACTTCCATCACTGAATTTACATATCTTAGTCTTCACGCACCGCCTGACTCGTGCATGAACTTCACGGAGTATCTATTGGAGGGAAAATGCGCCACGCTTGAAGGAGGAGCCTACTGACACGTTCAATGGAGTAGTTGCCTAGGATGTGGAGGAACAAGGCGCAAATCCGTTTTTCGATCGCGACTGCCCCACGAACATGCTCGACGTATATTGCAAAACATCGAAGGACGTACTGCGTCAGCGACTCCAGTATCTTATGTTCACTGTACTCATCGTGCACGACAGGTTTTCAAAGAAAGGCCTAAATGCCAGTTTCCCTCGACACCATTTGGCCATGACAGTTTGCTGAGCGTTCTGAGGAAGAAGGCTTCGACAACGGGCACGCAGGCGAACCCCCGGTGGAGCCAGATCTCTGTCTCTTTGTGCCGCCGAGCATGGAGGAAACGAGCTCCGGCAAGAATCAGCGCCCTGCAGCATGTAAGAGGATACTCTTCCTCCGCAAACTGGACACAATAGACAAATTTGCGAAAAATGTAAACGATTATATCATATCTTGAAGACCAAAAAACTGTACTCTAATTGAACGCGAACTTTTAGTGGCCGACCACTTGCCCCACAACCATTACCTCCTCCGGTGTGAGCTGATCGATAGCGGCAGAGAAATTGTTCGTATTATGCGCAGCGCACTCGCGGAAAAAGGTCAGCAGATGTCCCTGGATAAATGCCGTGTATTGGGTTGAGCGGGATTGATGAGACGGAGGATTCGCCACGCACCCGCATGTCCATCTGTGAGACTGGGTCATTCTTGAGGTCGTCATCGTCAGAAGCTTCCAGAGTGTCATCGTTGTCGAACGGAAGCCCCGTAGGTGCGCTTAGAACATCAGATAGGTACATCAATTCTTCATCCTTCAGATCGGGGAATTTCTCCTTGACAGTTGTCATCGACTCTTCAAGCCACTCAGACTCCTAATTCGTATTTAAGATGTCAGCGCTTAGAATCTTCGACTTCATTGTAACAACGAACCCCATCATCCGACTCCACATCTTCGAGATTAATCCTCCGTGTGGCAGATTCCCCGCCAGTCTGCAGGTCACGTAGCAAAAGCTTGAGCGCCTTGACTGGGAAGGGAATGCGCGTAAATTCCGTGGGCACTATGACAGAATGTAAGCAGTTGGCGGACAAATGGATTGACACCGCATGCTTACTTTGTTTTGTTCTCGATCTAGTCATTATCACTAAACGCAAGGACAATGAAAACAACAGGATACAACTAACGTAGGAGGCTTAGACTGACCATTCCTCGTCTCAGGCTTGATGATGAGATCGCCCTTCACCGTAATCTTCTGCAGACTTGGTCGTTCAGAGATATACAGAGAACACAGCGCCAATGTGCTGATACGTTGTGCCCAAAAGCCCTGGAACGTCTCCTCGTTTTCGCACCATGTCTGGAGAAGAATATCCAAACCGGAACGGCCCTGGATGTCCATCGACTCCAGCATGGCAAGCATCGTATCTCGCTGGTTATAGATCAAGAACGCGAACGGAATCACCAAGCTCTGCGAGAATTAACAATCCACTCGAGAATTTCTCTAAATGAGGCTTACCTGGATGAAAGACGCCGTCTTCGCCTGTGTCATGCGAGCCAACATCGCTTTCAGAAGGTCCGGCAGCACAGGCAAAACACTCTCTCCTGCTCTCCGGAAGAGGTGAATGATCAAGTCGCCGACAACAAGGCCGCCTGACTCATCATTGCTCTTCAGCTGCTGCGCGAGCACCGCCAGGACACACTCCAAGCCAGACTGGCCTGAAGTAGGGTCAGTCCAGGCCTTGAGTTGAGGGTAATCTTTGCGAATGATCAATGTGATGCAAGCAGTGCCATTCTAGACACGGATGTCAGACGGAGCCTGCACAGTACGATTGCAACTTGCCTGAATCACATCCCTGTCCTCGACTGTCCTGAGTGCGAGGAACAGACTGGGCGCGAGAATATTGATGAAGCCGTCCCCAAGTCCACTCGCTGGTGCTCCCTGTATGAGACTGCTCACAAGATCAATAGCTGTACCAGCTATCCATGGCTCGCGAGCAGTCGATGCCATAATGGCATTGCAAAGTGGGGGAAGGGCCTTCTTGACAACAGTTGCATAAACGGCTGGCGCAGGAGATAAAGCTAATGAAGCCAGGATCTCCGTCAGGAGTGAAATGAAGATAGGATCTGCACTTAGACTCAATTGACAGATCCACACGAAAGAAGACGATAACTCTCGTACCTCTGTTGTTCTTCATCCAAATATCAAGAATAGCATCAACAAGAGACGAAGCCAGATCCGTCGTCATCCACTTCCCGTCACCGATCTTGACAACCACGTCGAGCGCTTCAAGGACCAGAGACAATGTATCTTCTGTGGTGACCGAAAGGAATGGGCCGATCGCCTTCACTATCCGCGGGGCCACAGGCTCTAGCAGCGCGTCATCAATCTCCTTGCAGAAACTGACAGGTGGTCAGCAAGTAATATTGGGTGAGTATACGCGGAACCTACTTTTGCACTGCCCTGAGGGCAGAAATCTTGATAGGCACGCCGGCATCGCTGGCTTCCAGCACATGCACCGTAGCCTCGAGATACTGCCCCGCAAGTTGCGTAGGAAGTACCTTCGTGTATTGACTCGCAAAAACAAAAGCGCGACCCTGCAAGAATGGACAGTCTGCCACATTGGTCGATCAGTTAATCGATTATTGCAACTGCAATGAACATACCTGCGAGACCGAGGAGATTGGGTACGACGTTCGTGAGGAGAGGCTCGATATCCATCGGACTCGGATGCCCTGCAGACTCTTGGTCCTCAATCCATTCGAGAACGTCCTCTGCTTGAGAACCGACCGCGGCCAACATGGCCTCAAGAGGCCGCCACCTGTTCTGAGGTGGGTCGACTTACTCTAACTGTAAAACATCGACACTTACCAGTCAGGATTGCCTGCATCCCGCGCCTCGTTCGACGTCCTGGTGATCTCCTGGATAGCTTGTTGAATCGTACGCATCGCAACGGGCTGGAACTCCTCTATAAGGGCCTGTGGGTTATTGAGAATGAGTAAACGAACGTATACGGGCAGCTACATTGATGAAGAACACGTACAGCAAGCATATCGAGTCCAGAGACTCGCACACTGAAGGATAGCGCCTCCTCGGCTTCATTTGCCACAAACGCGTTGGCATTATTTGCCCATTCTTCTTCCTGCACCGTCTCAAGTAAATCACTGATACAGCATATGCACGACACATGCTCACATCTTCCTTCGTGATCTGTATCCAGTTGAACATGGCAATCACCAGCGCCCTCGCATTGCCACCATCGAACCACTTCTTCGACCTGCCCATCCTAGTCATGACAGAGACCAGGTCCATGATAGCGCAGAAGAGCTGTGTCAGCTCTGTCGCCTCGTTCTCAGACGGTAGCGGGACCGGCTCTTCGCCCATCAGGTAATAATGGACGAATGTCGGATAGAGCAGGGTGAGGTGGTTGAGAGACACAGTGAGTAGATCGTTGATGTACGGAAGAAGCTGTTTTGAGAAGGGTACGTGGATCGTGTCCAGGGCCTGTATCGCGATATCAGCGCTGTCCAAGTATTGCATGTGGATTCCTTACTTTGTAGATCTGGATACGCAGAGCGATGCCATCCCAATTTGGCGTTCCCTCCACATCCTGCCTGGGATCGATGTTCAATAGGTACTTGAAAGCTTCGAGCCATGCAGGAAGGATGGAGGCCGCAGCCTCCTTAACAGCCTGCGGGTGTTCTTGCTTGACCATAAACAGTGTTTCCACACAAGTCTTGAACACAGACACCGCACGGGCGCGCGTAAGAACAGAATGTTGCTAGCCAAACGGTAACTCTGTCAACTACAAGCTCATCCCAGGGCGTAGGGGACACACCTGGGGTGCTCCCAAGATATTGAGCAGAATCGGCAGCAGCTGTCGAAGAATAGGCAGAATCTGGTCTTCCGTCAGATCTGACTTGATGAACTCCGCGAGGACCTGCATGCTGCCATGGACAGACGCGGGCGAATTGGACGAGAGCAAGGCGATCAATGCGTCAAGAAGATCGGGCCACTCATCTGGCCAGTCGGCACTCGCGATCGTCGTGAGGATTTGTGCCTGGAAAACGCATGCAGCTGAAATGAGAAGCGATATGCCAGGACGTTGGACACGATACTCACGCACAGCGATCGGATTTTGCTCTGTGGGTCAGAGAGGCATTGGAAGACGATTTGCCTGGTTTGCGCTTTCAACTAAACTCGTGTTAGACTGTCAGCATACTTCGAATTGCTAAACCTTAACGAAGTGGGATCTGCGATAAGACCGCAGGGAACGTCTCAATTGCGACGCGTGTATCACGAAGTATCATTCCAAAGCACGTCAGGGCAGAGAGCTCACCTCCACAGGCGCCGATGTACCTTTCCACTTCGGCAACGCAGGCGACCACCGCTCATTCACGAACCGTCTCAGAATAATTGCAGCCGAGTGCTAATCGAAAAGACACAATCCATCCGCCATCACGCTAAGTTCTCAAGCACACAGAACGTGAGGTACTCATCTGACGCAACCCTACATTCGCATTCTGCTGAGCAACGAGCTGCGCAAGGGCCAATCCAGTCTCTGCATGGCAAAACGCGTCGCATCGAACAGTCAGACAAAGGAGAGTCGAGCAGTGGCAAATAACGCGCCTGGGGCGGCGAGCAGATCGCCGAGGTGCAACTCTGCCTTGATTCGCGTAGCGGTATCATTTGAGAGGGTTTGAGAAAGACATTGCGTGAGTTCCTGTAGGGAAACAGGCATTTTGAGGATGCACAAAAGAGAAAGAGGCGACGAGGGAGTAGACTCCTGGGTGGGTGGCGTGGCGTTATGGTCACGCTTCACGCGACCAGACGCGTCGCAGTCACACTCACAGGTGGGCGCTAAAGGGGAAGGTCCAATTTTGCACTGGGAACTTCTACGAGCCCACAGCTTGTTGACCAGCGCATGCTACCGTTTCTCATACAGCGAAGAGAAGTGAGTAATGCAGCAATACGCAAAAACAATTTTTTTAAAAAGTAACGCTACATGAACGTTCGACTATATGTTCCAGTCCATAAGCTATCGGAGGGTTTCACCAGAACAAAAACAGCCGGCACCGGGCATACAGTAAGAAGGATTAAGTATACAACCATTGAAAGACGCGACTGAGTGAAGTAGGCAATGGAGTCATCGTCTGATAGTTAAACAACGTGCTGACGCTTCACGCGACCAGCTGGCCCCTAAGGCCGTCTCCTCTTCTTGAAGCTGCGATCCCGCGGAACACCACAACAACAAGCGCGAACATGACCGTGACCCTGGAATTCCAGAAGCAACAAAAGCTCTCAGTGACTGAAGTCAAAATAGGCAAACACTTTCACACTAACCATTCAATCCACGCAAAGGCCTCCATAGCATTCAACTGGCCGCAGTAGACGTAGTGCAAGCTTAAAGGAGAGTCAGTACACTGCAGAGGCTTCACGAGAAGAAGGCCGGATACATACCTGCAGTCAAGACCTCCGCTCAATGCTGCGGTGATGCTCGCTGCAGCTGCGAGCCAGAACACCCAAGTCATGAACAAGCTAACCAGATTATGATGTCAGTCTCTTTCCTTCCCCTATCAAAGCAGACAATGAGAGCGTTATAGACGGGCTCCTTACAAAGTTCCATGGCTGAGCACACTTGTGAGCACAGAGCCGGCCGAAGACGAGTGCCAGAAAAGCGCGAGGTAGAATAAAGAAAGAAACACAGTCCAAGCGGACGTAAAGAGGATATAGCGCGTCCGGTCGCGCACCGAAGTGCTGAGATAGTTATGATGCCTGTTATACATCCCCACAAGCCATCCCGAGATTGCAATCTATGCGTCGCGTCGACTTCGCCGTCAGCTTGGTATCTGTTGAGGGTGGGGAGACAACGTACCTCGATAATGCCAAAGACAATAATCAATGTAAAGACGACTGTCCGAGCAAGACAGAAAGTTTGAGTCGACTTCAATGAGCGGACGCTATGTGCGACTCACTGGGGTGTCCCCTCCGAATGTGCTTGTCGTAGTCGACCATCGCGTGTGCGTTCAGGACCGTGTCGATGCGTGAAGCTTAGCTATATCGTTGTTCGTGAGGAACGTCGTTTGTGGAGCAAGGGAGAAAGAATTTAGAGCGGCGAACGCAAGTCGGAGGAGCTGCGGCTGGCGGTAACGCCTGGTGGGCGTCGGCTGCAGATTTTCGATTTTCGGCACCTCAAACGGTTGCGCCACGCGCCACGCGCGCTGACAAGAAGTGCACGACGTCATCGCACGCACATTCTCGTCCACGTGCGTGAACCAATACACGTAACGCGACGCGTGACTCGTGACCGTGCACCGTGACAGCCGTTCTCACCATCACCGGCGACCCCGCTTATACCGGCCCTCACGGTCAGTGAAATTCACGCATGATATTTCCAAAGGAGGCGGGGTCGAGGCTGCTTTAATTCGAGAGCATCATGCGTAGGACGCGAGCGTTGAACGTTGTTGAACGTTGAAGCATTGAATATCAAGCCAGCGCAGGTGGCTAGATGCCCTTTGCCGGGGTCGAAGGAAGGGCTGGACTTGCACACGACCCATGGAGCTACCGTCATAATATCCGAGACAGATATGACAATTAGAAACTGAAAGGTGATATACAACGAGCTTGAGCACAATGTCAGAGACGAATGAGTGCCGAGATGAGAAAGCACGTAATGGATGAGAGACGGAGTCTCCGAGTTCCGTCTAATCCATACATCCAGCCTTTGGCAGACATATACTCTGCCCAGGCAACAGTTGGTTGCAGTCTAGACCAGGGTTGACGTGTAGGAGCTCTTCCAATGTGCTGTTGCTCGTCTGCGCAAGCTTCCAGCAAGTGTCGCCCGTGTTGACCTGTGCCACCTCGCTCTTGCCTGGACAGAGCGATGCGTCAGGGTGGTCAGGGTCCGGACGCGAATGGTAGACGACAAGTCGGATGACGAGTAGGAGGACGACGGCAACGATAAGGAGGAAAGGAAAGAGCATCTTGTATGCTTGAGTGTTGCCGCTGCTGCGATGTGGGGGTTGGTCCTATATTGAGGGTGCGAAATGAGAGCGGTGAATATATGCAAAGCGGATAGACGTACGGGGTCGACTGCAAGGGGTTGGTAACCGTCCGCACGGGTAGGAGCGGCCTCCAGGTCTTCCTCGTTGTGTGCATGCTCATCATGATCATCCAGCGCAATTGGTGCATCCGAGACTACAGACAATCATGTCAGCATAACCTTGGTGCTGAGAAGCGATGATCCTTGCGATCCTTGCGAATAGGGAAAGCCATTGCCAATTTCATGCTCTTACTCACCTTGTCTCATCTCCCCGTATTCCGCGCCCTCTGGGCCCTCCCACAGCGTGCCGTCCCGGTCTCGAAAGTAATATTTGCTAGTGTCTGAGTCGTAGCCCACCCTCTTCATGCCCTCAGGCAGGCGGTAGCTGTCCTGGCGCACCACACACTCACCTCAGCACCCATCCCATGTACATCAAACACGACGCAACCTTACCTCGTCATACTGTGTCCAGCGGCCCATGATCGTAACGAGAGAATAATTGGGGATCAAGGAGGTCTCTGGAGTACCTTTTGTACCTGCTGCTTGCCAGCTGCGCGACGGAGCCAGTCGGTCGATCTGGACGGGAGAGATGATGGGTGGGGCTAGGCACTGCCTCCGGCGAGCACACGGCAAGCTGGATCAGTGACGCCGTCTTTATCGTTCCCTCCGTCTCCCTGTCCCCGTCAAATTGCATTATATATAAATATCCTCAACGCTGACGCCTATGCCATCGATCTTTTTTGCGCAATCCTCTCCCGACGCCGTTAACGGCGATGTCGACGCCCGCGACGAAAGTTCTGCGCGTCGCGCTCCGCGGCGATGCCATCCTCACCCATCCGCGCTTTAACAAGGGCACCGCGTTTCCGGTGCGCGAGCGCAAGGCCTTTGGCCTCACCAGCCGTCTCCCATACCGCGTCAACACACTGGAAGAGCAATGTCGTCGAGCCTATGACCAGCTGACCACGCGCGACTCGGCGATTCGCAAGAACACGTTCCTACAGAGCTTGAAGGACCAAAATTGGACACTGTACTATGGGCTCATCAGCAGGCATTTGAAGGAGCTCATCCCTATCATCTACACCCCGACTCAGGTATGTAGTATGACCCTTCATATTAAGGCTCCAAACATAGCCTCGTCAGGCGGGTCTTCAACTCGTCTAAATGTTCTCGACCCCTTCATGACGTTCCTACCTCGAGCTTCACTTGTTCTCCTTCATATACTCACCCGGTTCTCTAAGGCTGATGCGATCGCCAACTACTCCCACTTGTTCCGACGCAGCGAAGGAATGTACTTGACATTTCCGCATCAAGAGTCAATGGAGGAAGACTTCTTAGAGCAGACGAGGGGACGCGACATCCAGTTGTTCGTATGCTCGGACGCGGAGGCAATCCTCGGGATCGGGGACCAGGGCGTTGGTGTGAGTAGCAGCTGTTGCTGTACGATCACTGAAGGCTAATTCTTCTTGCGACCAGGGCATCGGTGTATGTGCTGACGGTATATTGCCTGACTATCCGAAGAAGCTGATTTTTCGTTAGATTTCTGCGGCAAAATCGGCTATTTATACGTGAGCGTTTACCTTGTCAGGCAGAAGAATACATTGGTTAACCAGATTTCTGACTGAACACAGGCTTCTTGGCGGAATTGATCCTTCGAAAGCAATCAGTGTCACACTCGACCTGGGCACGGACAATCAGCAGCTGCTCAAAGACGATCTCTACGTCGTGAGTACTATCGCTCGTCTTATGCAGAATGGCATCTCAGCCAGGCACAGGGCTGGCCAAGCCCCCGCGTGCGCGGGAAGCCTTATGACAGATTCATCGACAAGTTCGTACAGCTTGTGCGCAAGTACCATCCACACAGTCTGCTCCACTTTGAAGACTTTGGTGTACAAAACGCGAAGCGGTTGCTCGACTTCTACCGGGACAAACACGCGGTATTTAATGATGACGTGTATGTGACTCGTGTCCCGTCCCGCGGACCTTTCTGATATGTTCTCTCCAGTCAAGGCACTGGTGCAGTCTCTCTGGCGGCTCTGATGTCGGCAGTGGGCGTGACCAAATCGCGTCTCTCGGACCAGCGGATTGTGATCTACGGCGCAGGCACGGCTGGACTGGGTATCACCAAACAACTACGCGACGGAATGTTGGATATCGATGGTCTCTCACAGTCCGAGGCGAACAAGCGGTTCTTCCTCCTTGACCGGTACGGCCTCGTGAAGCAGTCGCTTGGCCCCACCAAGATTCGCGAGGCATTGCAAGAATTCGTGCGCCCGGACGCGGAGTGGGAAGGTGTGCCCACGAACGAGAACGGCGAAATAGGGCTATACGATGTCATGAAGAGGATCAAGCCCACGGTGCTTGTCGGATGCTCGACACAGGGCGGCGCATTCACGGAGAAGGTCATCCGGGAAATGGCGCAAGGCGTAGAACGTCCGATCATCTTCCCGCTGTCGAACCCGAGCAGGCTGGCAGAGGTGGACCCGAAGGACGCGAACGAGTGGACCGACGGTAAGGCACTGATGGCAAGTGGTAGCCCATTCCCTCCGTGCAAGAACCCTCGTGGTGGCAAGGACTACATGTGAGCTGTGACGCTACTCTTTCTTGTATGCGAAAGCTGACAACCCTCGCGCGCACAGCGTCGCTGAGTGCAACAGTGAGCATTATAGTGATTTCATCAGACACAGCGCTAATCCTCTGCGCCAGACGCGCTCATCTATCCTGGCCTCGGCTACGGCGCAATGATTACCCGAGCCCGCTCGCTCAGCGACTCGATGATCATCGCCGGCGCGCGTCGGCTCGCCTCACTCTCGCCTGCACTCGCTGACCCCGACAGCCCGCTGCTGCCCAACTTTTCGGACGCGCGATACATCAACACGGAAATCGCGGTCGCAGTTGCGCAGCAGGCACTCGACGAGGACCTTGCAGAGGTGCCCTGGAGCAAGGAGGAGGTGCGCGATCAAATCATCGCGGGCCAGTGGCAACCGGTATACGCGGACTTCATCTATGACAAGGATGGGCTACGTTGAGCATTCTAGATGGGTACGGCTTTGTTATAGATTGGACGGCTGGTCCGAAAGGTAGATGTCTGGCTAGATCCCGGTTCGCGATAGCTAGATGTTGCACTAGGTTATACCGATGACTGCTGTACTAGAGAGTGCTGTACAAGAAGGACATTATATTGTTGCACGGAAACAAATCTTTATGCACTACCACGTTTAGACGACGATCCGTGGAGTATGCAGGAGTCTTGCGGTGGAGGTCATGAATAACGATCCGGCTCGCGAAGCACTCGTAGGAATCGCAAGGCACATGATCGCGTAGTACCGAAGTGAACGCGACCTGCTGAATTACCGGAAAAGTTGTCCTGGAAAACGCAAACTTGTGCTTACGCGTTGTAGAATGCGGAAGTCTGACTTGCGAGGTGGTATGAATATGTTCTGCGTTTCATTCATCGAGATTGAGAGAAAAAGGGAACACATCATCCTGTTCAGCATTGAGGATCATCGATAAATATACTACTACACCGTGTAAGAAGAAAACGTCACTGACAAGGGTATCCAAGATCTACAGACAGCATTAAAATCCCTCCTTCCCAAGGTCCCACTCTCTCACAGAGCCCCTCTTCTTGTACTCAATGTTCATGATCTCCATCCCGCCCTCCGACCAGCGAGACGCCACCTCATCGTCGCCTTTCTTCTTCTTCTTGTCTTTGTCCTTTCCAACGCCCCACCGCTCAAGCATCTTTTTTTCCGCCTTGTACTCACGGCGTTGGCGAATCACCTCCAGCATGGCGTCCCAGCCGGCAAAGTCGGCGTCGTCGATGAGACCGGTGGCGGGTACTTTCGGGACGGGAAGCGGGGCCACGTCTAGGCGTGGGTCGTACGAGGATTCAAAGTATTTGTCCATCTTGGAAGGTAGGTGGTGCGGAGGCAGGGGAGGAGGAGACGATGGTGGCTCGGGTGGTGATCGGGATGGACTTGCTGACGAGCGCAGGGTGTGAGAGGATGATGAGCCGGCTTTAGGCGATTGAGGAACGGGTGACGGCGACCTGGCTTTACGACCAGCGTCTCTCGGGATAGATGGTGTACGGGAACGGGAGCTTCGTCTGCTGAGAGGAGCATCTGCATGATCCTCTGCCTTGCTCTTGCCAATGCGCTTAAGTTGTAGGCGCAACTGCTCTTCTCGGGCCAGCGTCTCGGATAGTGCGCGCTCCAGGTCTTGAGACGAAGGTCTTTCACGCGTACTCGACTCCTCACCGTTGTCGGCAGTAGGAGAAGAGGAGCGCCGACGCTTGTGACGATGCAAGTCTTCACGACGACGAGAACGAGAGCGGGCCTTTTCGCTCGGAGACCGACTTGATAGACGGTATCTCGCCTCATCCGTGCTGTTATGTCTTCGTTTCTGCCTGTGTTCATCATCATCGCGTTCCCGACGAGCACGTTCCGGGGACCTTGACCGGGATCGGCTTCTGTCTCGACTTCGACTTCGTGTCTCCCAGTTCTCGTCATCGCCGTCATCGTACCTCTCTCTATCTCTTGCATGCTTTGAACGCTTCTTCTCCCGCCGTTCTCGGCGTTCAGTAGACTTTGAGCGATGTCGGTGGCGATATTCGCGTTCAGACCTGCTCGACTTCCGCCGCCGTGAACTCTCCGATTTGTCGTCATAGTCATCTCTCCTCTCGCCGCTTCTCTCCCTCCGTCTCCTGTCCCTGGACGCCCCTCTGTCCCAATTGTGCGCCCAATCTGTTCTTCCGCCGCTACCCATGAGTCGTCTCAGGCGTTCCGCCTCGACAGCTTCCTCTGCACGCCGTCGGCGTTCGCGCCGCTCTTGCTCTTCCCTTTCAATCCGGACCTCCTGCGCCGCAAGGGCTTGCGCTCTAAGAATGGTCTTGTTGTGATCGTCGGTGCTGCGGATGATTGACGAAAGAAAACGCTTGTTCGTCTTCGGAGCATTGCTATCTGAACTATAGAGCAGTTGCGTGAGACAACCGGATGCATGTACGGAGCCTCGTTACTCACCATTCACTCTGGAGGTAAGCTCGTATGCCGTCCTTGCCATAGCGCTCTGCCTTCTGCTTGGCTTCCTTGAGGATCAGATCGGCGACATGGCGGTCGAGGTCTTCGTCGGTCACGGTGCCCGACGACGCTGTGCCCATCTGCGCCCGCACCAGGTTGGAGACCACCGACGAGAGAGACGACTTCGACATGGCGATGGAGGTGACTGGTGCTCAACGCCACTGGAGAGCGCGTCAGAGGAAGAGTGTTGCTGCTTGTTTGACTTGTGGCGCATGGTACGAGAAAGGAAGGTCTTCGCCGCCGCCGTGCGAAACTCACAAAAAGTATACCAACTCGGTTGACTAGCCTTTCTGCATCTCCATTCAATCCCTACATGGTACACGCTGCTACAGATGCGAATTCAAAGCCTATCTTCACTGGAATAACTTGATTGCACACGTCGCAAAGGCTGGCATCAGATCAAAAAGTGCCGGAAAAGCGACGTCATCAATCCTGGCTTTCGAATATAGCTCGAACGTGCGCGGTCTGATCACTCCCCTGTTCTGCATCCACCATGTCTTCAGAGCCCATTTTCAGGGTCGCACTGCGTGGCCAGACCATCATCACCATCCCGCGATGGAACAAGGGCACAGCGTTCACCATGGAGGAGCGGAAAGCGTTTGGGCTCACAGGCCGCTTGCCCTACCGCGTCAACACGCTCGACGAGCAATGTGATAGGGCATATGATCAGCTTGAGGCTCGTCCGGAGCCGCTCAGGAAGAATACGTTCCTACAGAGTCTTAAGGATCAGAACTGGGTGCTGTACTATGCGTTAATCTCTAGGCATCTCGAGGAGTTGACGCCAATCATATACACGCCGACGGAGGTATGTGTGTGAAGGACGAAAGAGGCGTAGGACTGCTAGATTGAATACGTGATCCCCAGGCTGAGGCTATCTCGAACTACTCTCACCTGTTCCGGAGAAGCGAAGGGCTGTACCTTACGTTTCCTCAGCAAGATGTTATGGAGCAAGATTTCCTTGAGCAAACAAGAGGACGAGATATCGATCTCATCGTCTGTTCGGACGCAGAGCAGATCCTGGGTATTGGGGATCAGGGCGTCGGGGTGAGTTCTGTGGCCAATGCTGATCTTGTTGATTAGAGTCTCACCTATCACTCGCGTACCGATATCTTAGGGAATTGGGGTAAGTTTCTCTCATGGTAACTGCGCGCACTATCCATAATGACTTGGCGCATAGATCGCCACGGCAAAGGCTGCCATCTACACGTGAGCTACAGAGGAAATTTGTTCCAAGCGGTCTGCTGAGCTCTCGGTTACAGCTTACTCGCTGGAGTGAATCCTTCCAAGACTCTGAGCGTAACGCTTGACGTTGGTACAGATAACGAGGAGTTACTGAATGATCAGCTGTATGTGGTGAGGCGCGTTGCTTTCTCCATTCATCTTCGATTCCTGAATATCGAAGGGATGGCCTCATAAACGCGTTCGAGGCGAGGAGTATGACCAATTCATCGATAAGTGAGTGATCAAAATCGTCAAATGCCTGTGATCTGAGGCTCTATCGTTTTACAGGTTCGTGCAGCTGGTGCGAAAGCACCATCCGCACTGCCTACTTCATTTCGAAGATTTCGGCGTGAACAATGCGAAACGTCTCCTCGATATCTACCGAGATAAGCACGCAGTTTTCAACGATGACGTGTACGTGCTACTTTGGATCGTCATATCATTTGATTGCTTCACACGAAGCGTCATCACAGGCAGGGGACAGGCGCAGTAACACTAGCGACCGTCATGGCGGCTGCTGGCGTGACGGAATCCACGCTCGCAGACCAGCGAATTGTGATCTATGGCGCAGGAACTGCAGGTCTTGGCATCGCGCGTCAGTTGCGCGATGGCATGGTCACGCTCGACAACATCTCGATCTCCGACGCGAACAAGCGGTTCTATATGCTCGATCGCTTCGGGCTGATCAAGGAATCTCTCGGGCCAGGCAAGATCCGCCAAGGTCTGCAGGAGTTCGTACGACCTGATGATGAGTGGGAGGGTGCGGAGACGAACGATAAAGGGGAGATCGGTTTGTTGGAGGTGGTCCGGAGAGTGAAGCCCACGGTGCTGATCGGGTGCTCGACGCAGGCGGGGGCGTTCACGGAGGAAGTGGTGAAGGAGATGGAGAAAGGCACGGAGCGGCCGATCATTCTTCCGCTGTCGAATCCGAGCAAGCTGCATGAATGCACGCCGCAGAACGCAAACGATTGGACGAATGGGAAGGCGCTACTTGCGACGGGCAGTCCGTTCCCGCCGTGCAAGATGCCCAATGGAAAGGAATATATGTGAGGGCAAGCCTCAATATGTCATGGACGTGTTTGCTGAACAGAATGATTTTCAGAGTTGCGGAATGCAACAGTGAGTAGTATGAAGTCTCATCCTTCGCTTTGACCCTAATCGGCGCTCTCTAGATGCCTTAATCTACCCAGGCCTCGGATTCGGCGCTATCGCATCCAAGTCTCGCAGTTTGACCGACACCATGATCATCGCCGGGACGCGTCGCCTCGCTGAACTTGCACCCGCCCTGAAGGACCCCGACGACGCGCTCCTCCCTGACTTTGGTAACTCGCCGGCTGTGAATCTCGAGGTGGCCGTTGCAGTGGCACAGCAAGCTATAGAAGAAGGCACAGCCGGTGTGGACTGGAAGAAGGAGGAGGTCAGGGAGAAGGTAAAAGAGATGCAGTGGAAGCCGATCTATGGACAGTACGTGTATGATGAAGACGGCGAGCGTTAAGGTTATGTAGTTTTCATTGTATGCTCTTGTATCATTTCTGTTTTGTCCTCAGCTCTGCAGCACTTTGAATCAGGTTGTATGATTGCTATATAACGGCAAGGAACTTGCTAGCTTGTGGCCGCGGGGCCGCGGTGCAGTCCCGTGACCACGACGCCGTCAATCCATTCATCCGCGGTTGACATTGTCCTGATCAGCTGTCTCTAGCAACCATCGCTGTTCTGAACGCCAATGCTACCAGATGCTACCATTCATTGGTGCTTATGCTCCTCTCTAGCTGCGCATGCGAGCTCCGTGCAACTTGGTCCATCTCTCAAAAAGCTGACGTTTCAAATACTTTTTTCCGTCGCGGGAACCGCATTTGTCTTCCTCCTGGGCAGCTCGACAATGTTGTGCTTCAATAGGTCAACTGTTCGTACAATGACCACCACATATTGACCCGAAGCGTGGTAAGAGCATGGGATATACAAACCGCATTTTTCGCAGTCTCGACCTGGCAGTAACTTGGCAACCGTGTCAGATCTGTATTGTTCTCCCGAGAGAAATCGTAGGCTTTCTGTTCCCCAGCTTGCTCACACTGGATCTGCGCTCGATAGACGTCGGATGTAAGGCAACATACATGCCTCAAGTCTATTGGACAGGAACAGATTGTGTCAGGCGAGGCTCTAAAATGAATGTACATGTGGGCGGCGACAGGGCGGTCTTTTATGGGGTCAAAAATATCTCTCTTGCAATGCTTAGCGCCGAGCCGGAATGTGCCTTGCGCAGCACGCAACGCCCAATACGATCGTTGTTTGACAACAATCAAGTCTTCCTGTGCGGAATGCCCACACCATGCGGTCCACGTTCATACTTTTTCCCGGAGGTATAAAGAGCGCAGCATGCGGAGTGCAGGCCTCATCAGTCGATCTGTCTCTCCTTTCTCCCTGCCACCATGGCTCTTCGTTCATTCTTTCTCATGACCCTCGTCTTCGCGCTGGCCGTGGTGGCGACGCCCATTCGGATCCGCAACAATCGCATAACGCTGCCCATGGTCAAACGGGCTAACTCGACGAGCATGACTTCAATAGTTCTGCGCGATCAGGCTCGCGCTCTGAACTTCAAGGGTCGGACGTCTAAGAATCAGCGCCGCACGAACGGCACCACCGGTGACATTGCTGCAACCAACCAGGCTGAGGATTATGTTGTCAGCGTGCGTACGGTATCGGTAGTTTCATCTGCATTTATGGTGACCGCGAGTCTTTTCTAGGTTGGCATTGGCTCCCCCCCGACATACTGTAGCTATCATGCCCTGTGCATGATTTGACAGCTACTTATACCTAATGTACAGATACGCTCTTGGTCGATACTGGTTCTTCTAACACGTGGGTTGGCGCCGCCAAAGCGTACGTGCAAACAACCACTTCCGTTAACACCGGCGATAGTGTGGTAAGTGCACGGCTGATAAGCATATTCGATTTTTCATCAATTTATCGAACCAGACTGTCACGTATGGTTCTGGGGCGTTCACCGGTACTGAGTTCGAGGACACGGTCACGCTTGGTGATTTGACGATCGCCGGACAATCGATCGGCGTTGCCAGTGAAGCTGAAGGATTCTCTGGTGTTGATGGTATCATTGGGTACGAGCAATGATCTCACAGCTCATCTGATAGCTGACCTGATCAATTGGTAGGCTTGGTCCGCAGGATTTGACCGCCGGTACTGTTAGCTCGGGAAACGCGGATACTGCCACTGGCGGTGGCCACAGCAGGCATAATAATAAGGATGCCTCCCGCAAGAACGGACGATCAAGCTTCACAACGAGCGAGACGAGCGATGAGGTCCCGACCGGTGAACACGGTCGTTACTCGTCTTGCAGGAAGCTTTGTTGACGCATGGGATCTTAGTTACGGATAATCTCTTCTCGCAAGGCACTATCGCTGAGAACGTTGTCGGCATCTTCTTCGCGCCCACCACCTCGGATAACGACACGAACGGCGAGCTTACATTCGGTGGGGTCGACGATTCGAAGACCACTAGCGACGTCACTTACACGTAGGCGTTACACGATCCTTTCCACTAATCACGAATGATCGACATCTTCCACTCAGGTCTATCACAACGACATCTCCTGCAAGCGAGTACTGGGGCATAGATCAGTCCATTACGTATGGATCCTCGGGAACGTCCATCCTTGCGTCGACTGCTGGCATCGTTGACACCGGAACTACTCTCATTCTGCTATCTACCGGTGAGCCTGATGGTCTCAAATTCAGGGATTATCCTGACACATGTTGCTGCGTAGATGGATACAGTGCATACATGGAGGCCACTGGTGCTACAGAGGATGAGACAACCGGCTTGTTGACGATCTCCAGCACAGATTACGACAATCTTCAGAGCCTGTTCTTCAACATTGGCGGGGTATGTCTTCGTTTCGCTGTTTCTTGAGGGTGGTTATTCACTCTCGCCGTTTAATAACATATCTAGACCTCCTTCGAGCTGACTGCTAACGCTCAGACATGGCCTGTGAGTCTCGCATACGTCGATGCCTTCACTCAGCGTACTAACGCTGGCACCTTTCATCATAGCGTTCTCTGAACACCGCCATCGGTGGCAGCGCCGACGACATCTACCTCGTCATCAGCTCAACTGGCACACCGTCCGGCGAGGGTCTCGACTTCATCAACGGCTACACCTTCCTGGAGCGCTTCTACTCCGTCTTCGACACCACCAACTCGCGCGTCGGCTTTGCAACGACCGCGGACACCAATTCGACGTCCAACTGACTGCTGGGACAGCAGATGGCAGGTACTTGCAGGGGCGAGGGACCATGAGACGAGCACTGGAGGCTCGATTTGCGCATTCGTCTTGCTGTGTGTTGTACTGCTCTATCTGTGTCGCTGATCGGTCAATCCAGGACTGTTGTAACTTCCTGTTTTCGTGTTTGTGATTGCGTGCAAGACGTGAGTGGCGCTGCGCCTGCCGTCTTGATGCATTGATGCGTCATGCCAGCAGAGCCAGTAGCACTTCCTCGAGCGAGACGATGTCGGCTGGCTTTTAGTTGCAGGAACTGGTGCACGCTTGGCAAGACGGCTTCATGCTCTGTAGGCCACGTTCTGTGCACGAATGAATGGTGTAGAATCTCGACCCGTGTCTGGTCTAACAATAAAGCAATGTATTTGCGTATCAATACCAACGACTTCATGAACAACTATTACATGCAACCTGTCATGGTGACACCGGCAACGTCATGAAGGGCGAGATATCACCTGGAAACCCTCAGTTATGCATGTTTGCAGACACAGATCGTTCATCGCAACCACCGTCGCTTCCTTTATACGTTCGGGCAACGTGCGCCCCGAGTAAGCGCGTATCTTCAAGAACGGTTCATCTCCATCTTTAGTGCTATCACTGGACTCATCTCGATGGCTGTCCAGGTCAATTTCGTTCCACTCGTCGGACGACGTTTTGCCCGACACGTCAGAGCCTCGAGGCCGGCATTGGCGGGGCGTCGCTCCTTCTTCCTGGGACGACCTCTCTAAGCACTTTCATTGCGTCGACCTCAGCTGCAATAAATTGAGTAACAGTTGTGCATCCACTGGCGATTTGGTCAAAATAGGATGGGAACCCGGATTCTGCGTGGTTGAGGACTCATCTCGAACCTGACAGGGCGATTTTGAAAGCGCCCAATATCAAGAAACTCAAAAGCCACGAAGCCTTGTTCCACGCGCGCATAAATCGACCGGAAAAAAAAACGCAAGTCGTCCAGGCGATATTCAAAGGTACTGTAAATAATGACACCAAGGATATAATACTCCGTCTTCAACTTTAACAACAGGTATTAATGTCCAGTAAGTACGTTTCTCCAATGACTTCCTGCAAGCGATACCGGGGACTACGAGTATGCACTGTGATGTATCCGGCCGCAAAGTTCTCCCAGGCATCCCTGGCTAGCCCTTCGCCCAGGATGTTGCGGATGCGCTTGACGGCATCGGCCACGTCACAAACGACGTCAGCGAGCGTTTCTTCCGTCGTCTTGCCAGTCACAGAAGCTCGTTCATGGATATAATTTCTCGTCTCGCCCGCTAGCTCCTCCTTGTAGAAAGAGAGGATGTCACTGAAAGTCGGAATTAATCAGTACCACAAATTCGCAAAACTCTGGCTGAACGCAATTCACTTGACATAGCTCACGTAGAGCATTGTATCGCTAACGAAGAAACGTTAATTGGCACGTATAACACTGTGTTGAGCGATTACGACTCACGGAATGGCTCGAGTGTATGCATTGATGTCAGGAAAGGTCGTTTTGTCCCATATAAAACAGGCGTATGCTTCTGTGGTCGCACTCATACTCCGCTTGTATTCCACGAACGGAAGCGCACACGATCCCAGCGACGCTTGTGCGAAGTCGTTCTCCGCGATGGACGCGTTGATGAAGCGGAGTGCAGATGTGCAAATTGTGTTGGCTGTGAACATTGGATAATGCGCCCACATATTGCGAAGAAGCTCAGCAAATACACCAAGAACTGACTCCTCTTTCTGGACGGTTCCGACGCACATGAGTTGATGGAACTCGCGCGAGGGTAGGGACTCGAATACGGACGGGTCGTCCAATGCGCCGATCAAGATCGTAAAGAGGGTGATCTGTAGCTTGGTGTCAAGACTTGCGATATGGCTGTAGGCGGTCGTGGTGAGAACGAGGGCACTGGCGACCAGCGGTTCGATGATGTTTCCCTGCCCCCATTGTCGCACGACTGCCTTTACTTCGGCCTCGAGCTCAAGATCGCGATTATATTCGGGGAAGTGTACCCCGAGCTTGTTTAAGAGATCGAAAATGGCCTTCTGAGATGTAGCGACTGTAGCCTGGCGAAGTCAACGACTTGGGTTTCAGCATACCTACCAGTGCAAGATCCGAGCTATCACGCTAACCTTGTATAGAGCTGCGCTGGAGCATGAATGCGAGCTCATATTTGTGCTGAAGAGGGAGGAGTTAGTGCAAGCTCTGCACGTTAAGTTGCGCGCATACTGTTGGATTTCGCAGGTAGTAGCCATGGATGGGCTGAGAACGATCTCGAGGCTTAGGCTGGGTGAAGGATGCCCTTGCAATTTATAGGATGTAAGCCGGATCTCGTTGGCGATGACACACTTTTCCACAACTAGTAGACTCGCGCAAACATGCGACGGCCATTTCGCTGTTAACAGTGATGCTGTGATCCCAAGCCTCGAACGTGCGGATGATCGGCGAATAGAGTTCTTGTACGGTCAGTAATAAAGGTTGACCAGGCACCGGAGCGTCAAATAAAGGAAGCAGTCATACTATGAGGATACCGGAGTCTTGCCGTGACAGTCAAGCTGTTATGCGGACGATTGAGTAGAAGATGCAGGGATTGGATATCGACCGATTGTCATCGATATCTGTTTTTGGTCTGCTACGGAGACTATGCAGGGATGGCCGAGACATGTCTTCACAGAGCACGTAATCAGAAACAGACAGGTGAAACGCGGCTGAGGAAGCACCGACCTGTCTCTGCCATCGCGAGCTGAACGCGACGTCGGAGGTAGTCCAGCGTGGTCGCCGCTTTTCCAATTGCAGCGCATTCTTGTCACCATCAGGAACACTCAAATCCGGCTTAGGACACTTTTATCCGTAGTAAGCTCGGGAAAGTCTCAGGACCTTCTTGTTTTGAACTTTGTTCAGGGTTGGAAGCTTCTTATTGTGCACTTATTCGCTTGTACAAGCCAATACCAGCAACAAGTCCGAGTCAAAAAGGAGGTTCTCGAGCCACAAGTCGATTTGAGTTTTCCTGATGACTGAATGTTAGGCGAGGGCTAAGAACTGGGGTCCAAGGAACGACTGTCTTCCTGTACGAAGGCTGATTTATGAGTCTAACTGAACGTTAATTTGCTGTCTCAAGCAGGTCGCGGAGGCCAAACCGGAAACATTCAAAAGGCGGGGTCCATCCATGCCTGCCTGCCAATTCTCAGGCTACCTCAGTGTTCTTGTAGGGTGGAGCTGATCGTCATCGCGATGAACGATACGTTGCCGATTGTCTGCGCCTTGCTTGCTGCATTAGCTGGCTTGGCTCTCGTCCGATGGAGGTTCGACCCAGTAAGCATCTTGTCTGTATCTCAAATTGCCACACTTCCTGATGTCTAGTCCACACTGGCATCTAGCTTTATTCCATTCCAACAGTCGGCCCATCTGCACCTTTTCTCTCATACCTGGGAGCATACAGATACTACCGACATGCCCCCGAGGTTCTACAAGAAGGTTACAGCAGGGTGTGTCCTGAACCATTCTGCTATATAGGCCGATATACATAGTCGTCCATCTAATCGCGTCGCATTGGTGTCCAGTACAAGGTGTTTAAGGTCGCCATGGTTGATCGTTGGCTCGTCGTCGTCAGTGGTTCGGACATGAACGAGGAGTTGTGCAAAGTCCCAGATTCACACATGAATTTCGAGGAAGCGCTCCGTGAGGTCCGTTGCTTGTCTTCCTCTATATCCAGAGTTGGTCATCGGCTTCTGACGGACACTCATGTCCCCGCTAGTTCATCCAAACTAAGTATACCATCGCACCGGATGCGGAAAAGTATCCAATATACATGGCCGCCATTCGTGGTCCGCTAACCCGCAATCTGGGAGTTGTGTTTGCGGACCTCGCGGATGAAGTTCAGACCGCATTCAAAGAGGTGCTACCTGTCCAAGGGGATGGCGAGTGTTTGTGTTCACCAGAATCTGCCAAGACGTTTTACGAACCGTGTATGAATGTAGAATGGGTCGCTGTTCCCGTCATTCGTTCCATGGCCAAAATCGTGGCTCATGCGACAAATCGCGTGTTTGTTGGTCTTCCGTTTTGTAAGTCTCCTTTTCTGAGCCTGTGGTCGTCACCCTCATTCGCGAGCTTGGCCGATTATACCGCGTAGGCAGGAACGAGGAATACCTCAACACCGTAGTCAACTTCACATTCGATGTCGTCAAAGGACGAATTATTCTCTCCTATGTCCCTCAGCTGTTCAAAGGGTACGTCCTTATGTATGGATACCAACTGATGATAAAATACATTGACCCGCTTATTGTCCAGCATCGTAGGCAGTATGCTTCCGTGGTCCAAAATAGCGATTCGCAAAGTAGGAATCTTCATAAAGCCGATCGTGGAGGAACGCCTGCGCAATTTGCGAGAGTATGGAGACGGATGGGCCGACAAACCTGTACGTCATCAGCTCGCACCCCGAGTCAGGCTTGCTTCGGCCTCACACCGCGACGGCTGTAGAACGACTATCTCATGTGGTTGATGGACGAAGCAAAGAAAACGGGCGGGTCGCCCGATGTCGTCGTCTCGGCGGTGCTGGCCTCCAACTTCGCGGCTGTCCACACCTCCAGCAATGTGCGCCTACAGTAATGCCGCAATCGAATCGCCGCTAATAAGCTATCATTATCAGAGCATTACCCACGCCATTTACCACTTAGCTGCGAACCCAGAATATATGCAGCCGATGAGAGAGGAAATTGAGGCAGTCATCAAGGAACAGGGATGGACGAAAGTCGCCGTCGGCAAGATGTGGAAACTAGACAGCTTCATGCGGGAGTCACAGCGGATCAACGGTATAGTCTCCAGTGAGTCCACCTTCCACCGCGATCATTCACAGTGGGTGCCAACCGATTGTTTCCTTTTCCTTCAGTCGCCGTGATGCGTAAAGTCCTCCAAGACTACACCCTCTCTGATGGGACCTATCTTCCCGCGGGCACTCTCGTCGCCGGGGCAGCTCTCGCTACCCACTATGATGAGAAGCACTATAAACGCGCAGACGTATTCGAGCCATTCCGATTCTCCGATATGCGCGCGGAGGAGAGTGAGCGGACAAAGCATCAGTTTGCCAGCACCTCCCCTACATACATTCCCTTCGGCCATGGGAAGCATGCCTGGTACGTCTATGTCCAATTCTGACTGCTTTTGGACCGTTCGCTGATAGATTATGATTGATTATGCAGCCCGGGACGGTTTTTTGCAGCAAACAAGCTGAAGCTTATGATGGCACACATCATTCTCAACTATGATGTGAAGTTGGAAGGAACGACGACACGGCCAGCTAACTGGACGTGTTGGCATGACAACTTGCCCGCGTGCGATGCGAAGGTGTTGTTCAGGAAGCGACAAGCCGTCATTGCAGCTGAATCACAGAGATGAGCGGAAGGAGCTGCGAATACTATCATTTCAGGTGCTGTCAATCAGACCGCGTTTGTGTAGATCTTGATAGTTGAAAGTGGTGACGCAATTGAAGAAGCTGGATATCAGCTTAATGAAATGATATGGAGGGGATGTAGCTTAGCAGGAAGTTCCAGGAAGCTGAAGGGAACGTGTATCTAGGCTTGTGAGCATTGGGAGGGTCGTCGCAATGGCATATCGTTGTCGTCGAGGCTATCGCAGAGTATCCTTGCATTGTCCGAGTCGGCGATGAGTACAGTCATATTGCCACGAGAGATAAATGGAGTGCACTATTATTGTGCTGCTTAAAGACTGAGTCACGCCAAGTTGAACGGGTGGCATTTTGATCACTGCGCTACGAATGAACAGAACATCGAGCAAGTTTACAATGCGACTTGTGCTTCCCATTGCCAGCATGGATCATGTATGAGTTGTGCAGAAGTCTTCCTGCAAATCTTTTCAAGTAATTCAGATCCAGTGCCAGCCAGCGCTGCGACTCGCGAGAGGGGGGCCACCGGCGCCACCGTGTCCGCCTTCGGGATTTGCCGACCTATTTTGAATATGGTGCGGACACCTTACAATCTGCGGCTATGCTGTAAACTTGATTTGGGACGTGCAACGGACTGACTGCTCCTACCAATTCGCGGACTTTTGTCTATGTCTCGGGCAGCGTCCAGCATTTCGGCAGCGGGATGCAGCTTTTGGCCTGGCGAATCCCCCCTTGCCATTTATTCTATACTGAGCATATGCTTCGTGCCAGCTTAGCATAATATTTATATTCTCCTCGGATATCGCGATCGATAAAGTATGTCAAGATGCAAATGCGGGTCACAGTCACCAGAGCCGGAACTAATGAAAACGATCGCGTAGCTTGTACGATGACTACTGCACCTGCGTCAACTCGTAGGCCTCACAGTCCTCACTAATATTCTGCTCGTCCTCCGTGTCATCCTCGATGTCCTCAAAACCAAGAGACGTGTCCTGGAGCTCGGCGCCAAAGTTGCCAACCAGGCGAGAGGGAAGGTCCGGCGTGTCCAGGGTGCTGTTAGAAATCGTATCCAAGCCCACGCTGCCGAGAGACACCTGGCGTAGATTGAGGATGAAGCGCGACACCAGGATTGACGTTATTCTGATTGACTCGGTAAGCATGCATTGAGCTGAATTGGGTATGATCGGTCGCTTACGGTAGCAGAAAACTTGCGACGGAGGTTGGGTACTGATCCTGCATGCAATTCAATTCAAAGTAGCCATGCACTCGTACGGGTAGACCCACCGCTGTTAACTGGGATTGGATATTGAAGATGTTGAGAAATAAAAGGGCCCTAACGAACGGTGGAAGAACAGAGTCATGACAAGGCACTGCGACAGAGTCCGACGTACATGAAGTGGAGCGTGCCTTGAATTGGCTGCTTGTCAGGCATAGCAAGTACCAAGAGCGCAACACATACTCACCGTCTCTCATCAGCATCGTCGCGATCGATCCTTTAAACCGTAGCTTCCGCACTTCTATTGCGAGTCGGAATGTTTTGTACCAAGTGACAAGGACCACGATCAGGTCAGATACAGCCAGGCAGACGGCCGGGAGGAAGGCTGCAGGAATCATGCGTGTCAGAGCAACAACTCATCGGTCTTCCAACTCACATCTACACAGAGGAAGGTCAGTCCTAGGGGGCCGACGTCGGAGGTGGACGTGGTACTTACATGTTCAATATCGCCCTGGACTCGTGGCGGTTCCATTCACAGACTGGATAGCTGCCTACGTGAGTGACGAACGCGTATGACATTTCTGCATATCCAAACTGCGCAGAGGTGCTTAACAGACATATGATGGCGGAGAACATATGTACTCACGATGTAGTAGCCGCCGAGTTGAGCTAGCCCCAGTAGCAATACTAGCAATGCAGGGACGACCTGGTGTCCGCTAATAGCATATGTGCGGAACGCGGCAAAGCCTAACGATTTGTCAATCAATCTCTTCATGAAATTTGAGGTCGAACGATGTCTGACTTGCTGTCACAGCCTGAAGAACAACAGTCGTCACCTCGTTCAATACGGTGACAGCATTGCAGCTTCGACAATCTATTAACTGCGTTGAACATACGGTGTGGTCGTCGCCGCTCACCTCTGTGCATGCGTAGATCGTGAGTGCTCGATTCACTCGCAGCATGACACGACATGACTTACCAGTGGAGTATGCCACCAGATGACATTCAGTGCGTTACTAACGCCTTGTACGATGAGCAGATAACGGTTGATGGCAAAGATGACCGTGACAGTGGTCAACCTGGCTCCCCAGATGACGTGGACCTCTTGAGGAAAAGTCACAATGTACTCATAGAAGGTGAGGGCTGAACATGTGCAGTCTGTAAGTCAAGTTCGATCGCTTAGAATGGTCCGACTCGGGGGCATACCAGCAACTGCGAGATTGCAGTAGTTGATGGTGTATCTGTGACAGTGATCACAAACTCGTCGGTTGAACGCCTCGGAAAGTATCATCGTCCTCACTCATCCTGTAAATAATCCACTTCCTGAGCCAATATGCTTGCAGCTGACGCGTCCGACATTGTAGAGGTATCAACGTCGGTGATAACGGTCAATGCAAAACAGAACAGTTCTCGGAGGGATTTTAAGGATGCTCATCGGTGCGCAGCTCATCGTTATATACTGCCTGATTGACCGCACATGAATGCAGAGGGTAAGGTTCAGATGGAAGCTTACGGATAGCACATGTATCGAAGATTGTCCAAAAACAACTACAATAGACAGCGCCAAGTAAAGAGGCGGCGGCAGCGGCGAAGCGCGGAGAATGCCCAAAATACCATCTGTCAAAAACCGTGCCAAGAGCAGTGCGATGGCAACCCAGGCGCCACCTAACCCGCCGCTCCAATCCTGCTCGACCCACTGGCATATTGCGGGCTAGCATCAACGTTGAAGTTCTCGATCACGGTCACCAGCGCTGATCATGATGCGAAGCGCGGAGGCAAGATATAGTGAGGATCGGTATTAATCAAGAAGCGGCAGTTTCACAAGAACTCCGTCATTGTCGGCTCCAGCTGCACGTATGCAAACGAGGGAAACGACTGTCTGCACTTGCTGGATCTCGTACGTGTTGCGTGGATTTCTGCTAGGGCGGCTGACCGTGCGGTGCTCTGATGTATGCGGTGCTCTGGTATGATAGGTCTCGGATGGTGGCGTGCACTCGCACAACGAACCAGCTGTGCGCGCTGCTCGAGACCGCGAAAGAGGTCGGCGTCCCGAGCGTCTACGTCCACTTCTTCATCGATTGCGCGGCACATCGCGCCCCGCTCGGCCGGAGGATACGTCAAGGAGCTCCTCGCATTCATCGAGAAGGAGAAGCACGGTCAGATCGCGACTGCTGTGGGTCGCTACTATGCAATGGACCGCGACAAGCGTCAGTGGGAGCGCATCAAGATTGCCGTGGATGACCTCGTGAAAGGCTTGGGCCAGAAGGGCAGGACGTCGTGAAAACGATTAAGGGACGATACGCGAAGGATGAGATGGACTCGGAATTCTTGAAGCTATTATCGTGAACGGCAATGAGGGCCGCATCAAGGATGGCGACACGCTCTTATTCTTCAACCACCGCTCTGAACGGATGCAGGTCGCCATGCTTGGCCTCCCAGACAAGCCCGTTGAGGTTGATGTACCGAAAGACCTGGTATGTAGGGTTTTTCGCATATGATTGAGCCCTCATTTTGGCCGCAGCTTTCTAGCATATCAACACCTATGCCACAATGCAACGCCGAGTTCCCCCTCCCGGTTGCTTTTCCGCCGCAATCGATGACGAATATCCTCGCAGGATGGCTCGCGAATCAGGGCATTAAGCAGGCACACGTAGCCGGTGTGTACATCGTGTTTTGTCCTGCTAACACGTCTTCGACCATGCCCAGAAACCCAGAAGAATGCACCCGTCACGTTCTTTTTCAACGGCGGTTTTGAGAAACAGTATTATAACGAGGAGAGGCATATGATCTCCTCGCCTAAGGTCACGACGTACGACGAGGATCCCAAGATGAGCGTCCAAGCCGTTACGAACAAGGTTGCGGAGGTCATACGCAAGGGCGACAAGGAGTTCGTGATTCGTGATGTGCAACTTTGCACCGCCGCATACGGGTGGCCACACGAGCGTGTACGAGGCAGCCGTGGAGGCCATCTCCACAACGGACAAGGCCGTCACGATGGGGCCATACAAGGCCTGTGAGGAGGCGGGCTACATCCTGCTCATCACGGCGGAAGATGGAAACGCGGAGCAGATGATCAACCCCGAGACGGGTGCGACGCACATGGCATGCACGACGAACCTGGTGTCGTTAATCATGACGGGCGGCCCGAAGAAATTCGACTTCACTGTCGACAAGAAGGACGGGGAGGATGAGGAAGGTGCTGTGCGATGTGGCGCCGACGGTGCTTGACATTATGTTGGATGCATATGTGACTAGGATCTCTTCGCTACTCTGACGACGTTTTGAGTGCCTCAGGGATTGCCTAAGCCCAAAGCCGAGTTTGATTATATGCCAGTGTAGATTTTGGGACTTACTAGTATTCGACTGCAGAGATGATAGGGCGCTCGTTGCTCGCGCACGATGAGAACAAGGGGGAAGCAAATTAGAAGGACTCTAGAACGTGGACTTGATATAATTGTAAGAAATAGACGAAGGGATTTGAAGTACTAACTCTGCGAATAGACGAAGCGATACTGCTTGCTTTGCCGGGCTTGCATGCGGGCCGGATGGCTTGAGAAATCTGTTAGGAGCCTTGGAACCCTGGTAAAGGAATACAGACTTGTAGATGTTATTTTTGCGTTGGTCGGCTTGCCTGCCCTCCTCAACGTCAACCGTCGTCGATTCATCGCCCTGGTCATAGACTTTCATGCTCACGGCTGCTGCCGAACTGTGCCTGAATATCTCAAACTCCGCAACGCCTGATGGCATTTCCAGCCACCGACGTGTCTCCACTGTTTGTGAGACTGCGATGCTTTATCAATTCGCCGACTTTTGTCTATATCGCGGACAGCATTCAGCATTGCGGCAGCGGGATGCAGCTTTGGCCTGGTGAATCTCCCCCTTGCTATTTATGCTATATTGAGCGCATGCTTCGTGCCAGCTTAGCATAACATTTTGCTCGGATATCGCGATAGATCGCGACCGATAAATTATGTCAAGGTGCAAATTGGGGCTACAGCCAGAGTCGGCAATGTCGGAAACGATTGCAGAGCTTGTACGATGACTACTGCCCCTGCGCCAACTCGTAGGCCTCACAGTCCTCGCTTCCATTCTGCTCGTCCTCCATGCTATCCTCGACATCCTCAAAAACAAGAGACGTGTCCTGGAGCTCGGAGCCAAAGTTGCCAACCAGGCGAGAGGGAAGGTCTGGTGTGTCCACGGTGCTGTGAGAAATCGTATTCAAGCCCGCGCTGCCGAGAGACACCTGGCGTAGATTGAGGATGAAGCGTGACACCAGGACTGATGTCATTCTGATTGACTCGGTCAGCATGAGTTGAGCTGAATTGGGTATGGTCGGTCGCTTACGGTAGCAGGAAAATTGCGGCGCAGCCTGAATACCGACTCTGCTTTCACTTCAATTTAAAGTAGCCATGCACTCGTACGGGTAGACCTACCCCTGAAAACTGGGATTGGATATTGAAGATGTTGAGAAGTAAAAGGGCCCTAACGAACGGTGGAAGAACAGAGTCATGACAAGGCGCTGCGACAGAGTCCGACGTACATGAAGTGGAGCGTGCCTTGAATTCGCTGCTTGTAAGGTGTCACATGTATCCAGAGAGCAACACATACTCACCATCTCTCATCAGCATCGTCGCAATCGATCCTTTAAACCGTAACTTCCGCACTTCTATGGCGAGTCGAAATGTTTTGTACCAAGTCACAAGGACCACGATCAGGTCAGATACAGCCGGGCAGACGACCGAAGCGATGGCTGCAGGAATTATGCGTGTCAGAAAAATAACTCATCAGTCTTCAACTCACGTCTACACAGAGCAAGGTCAGACCTAGAAGGGCCGACGTCGCAGAAGTAGACGTGGCACTTACCCATATATCGTGACGTATGTAAGGGTTTTATAGTCACACACAGGATAGCTGCCTATGTAATCGACGAGCGTGTCTTGGACTTCTGTATATGCAACCTGCCCAGTGGTGCTCAACACACATATGGTGGCAGAGAACATATATACTCACGACGTTGTCGCCGACTTGAGCTACCCCCAGTAGCAATACCAGCAATGCAGGGACGACCTGGTGTCCGCTAATAGCATATGTGCGGAATGCGGAAAAGCCTAACGATTTACTAGTCAATCTCCTCATGAAATCTGAGGTCAAACAATCTCTGACTTGCTGTCACAGCCTGAAGAACAACACTTGTCACCTTGTTCAATATGTTGACAGCATCGCAGCTGCGACAATTAATCAATTGCGCTGAACATACGGTGCGGTCGTCGCCGCTCACCTCTATGCGTGCATAGATGGTGAGTGCTCGATTCTCTCGCAGCACGACATGACATGACTTACCAGTGGAGTATGCCACCAGACGACATTCAGTGCCAAACTAATGCCTTCCACCATGAGCATATAACGGTTAATAGCAAAGATGACCGTGACAGTGGTCAGCCTGGCTCCCCAGATGACATGAACCTCTTGAGAAAAAGTCACGATGTACTCGTAGAAGATGAGGGCTGAACATATCCAGTCTGTTAGTCAAGCTCGATCGTTTATAATGGTCCGACCCGGGGCGTACCAGCAGCTGCGAGATAGCAGTAGTTGTTGATGTATCTGTGACAGTGATCATAAATGCGTCGGTTGAACACCTCGGGAAGTATCATCTTCCTCACATTTGCTGAAAGTCAACCACTTCTTCCTGAGCCAGTAGGCTTGCGACAGACACGTTCGACATTGTAGAGGTATCAACGTCGGTGGCAACGGCCAATATAAGACAGAACAGTTCTCGGAGAGACTTTAAATATGCCCCTCAGGCTTGGCGCGCGACTCATCGTTATATACTGCCTGAATGACCAGACATCAACACAGAGGGTAAGGTTCAGATGGGGGCTTACGGATAGCGCAGGTATTGGATATTACTGAAAAGACCATCTCTCAAACAGAACAGCCATGCCAGATTATGATACATCTGGTTCTGTCAAGTGGAGTCCGGGTGCCGAGGAGTGTCGAGTCTAACTCGCAAGTCTCAAGTTGCGTATCGCAAGTCGCAACTCGCCGGCTCAGGACTCCACCCGCCGAGAGGCGCCAGTCAATCGAGCGATCGGCAACGGCTCACTGGCTTCCTCTACAATAATTAGTCATTTTCCTTGTCCAGTGCACAGGATGGCTCCAGGCTTTACGTAGAGGAATATGAAGGCAATCTTTATGCTACAACAAGATGCAAAGATTGTTGGGAGCGGCCGACTGACAGCACTTCCGGCGGTGAAACACGCACAACTCCAATGATTGGAGTGATACTCTTATCGAACATGACACTTGATGTGGATTTATTTTTGACGGTGGCGTGTCGAGACCTCAGAAGTATGTACAGTGACAAAGAGGTCCATTCGTCATTCACAACGACGAGCTCGACTTTTCAAAGTATGACATGCCTCAGGCCCGGTGAGACTTCAATCATTCTCCAAAATTTCTGCTGATGCTGAACTATTCACGAACATTTTCTCAGTACAAAATCAGGCATGTAACATTGCCTCCGTCACTGCGCTCGATGGCGTGGGCGATAAGCGCGAGGTTCCACTATGTCGCCCGAGGACGGCCGGACCTGGCGCCGTTCAGTTCTAAGCTCTCAAGACTCTCGAACACGTGGTAACGGGCGCCGCGTATTGAGGCTGAGCAACATACCAATTCTGAACCGCGCATAACAATGTTCCGTATATAATTCTGGTGACGGCGGTGGAAATCCTGAGGACCCCTTGGGTGTCGCATTGCCAATCCTCACGCGATGTTGTATGTTCTCAGATGCCTCGAGGCTCGAAGCCTTGAACGCCTTCTATTAGATGCCAAATAATTGTGACTCAAAGCACTCTTCGCGATCTGCCCGCGCAATATGTCTCCCTTCCGTCCCCCTCAGACTAAGTCGTCATCCGGTGAGTGACGTCTAGCTGAATGTGTTTGATATAGGAATTATGCTGATTACGCCCCTTAAGCCTATACAAGGTCGAACGCGAGCTCGTCTCTGACCTCTTATCCTGAATCTCCGTTCCGACAAGAGCGACAGCCGCTCGTGCACTAGCGCAACTCGTCTACTAGCCCCACGAACTACGTAGCCATTTTTCTCTCTGCATAGGCTAACGGGATCACAAGCACTACACCGCAGCAGCATACCGTGGGCGAACATGTGCCAGAATTCCTCTGTTATGTTGTACGCTTTGCATCTTTTTCAGCGATTATGGGCTTCTTCATATGGGCCATTCATAACTACGGTTTATGGATCGTGTTAGGATGTGTCCTTGCCCTTCACATATTTGTATCGTTTATTGTCGTATGCGGCTTCAAGATGCCCGTGGCGTTCTTGCTTGCATTTGGCCCGTCCGCATGGGCCCTCTACAAGGTGTATTTTACAGCATCGTTATTTGTGTAGTCGTACTTCACATCTTTAGTACCGGCTTCTCGACGTACACACTGGGGACAGCAAAGATCCTGTATGCGTATTGGACAACATCGTGGGTGATTGGTTAAATAAGCTGTGTTGCATTTACCCGATTCCGAGTTGCAGATCGTTCGCTGTGGTGTCTAGATTTTATAGCTCTCCACGCAAGTTCGCGGAGGGGTAAACCTGGCCGTCGGAGTTGCAGATGGTTTTCGCATCCGCGAACTTGGCTCAGGCTGAAGATTGTATGAAGGCCTATGACTAACATGATTCATGAATGCATGAAGCTTTGAAGCTTGAGACGGTTGTAAAGTTGTCCTAGAATTAACCGGTGACCCTTTCACGTTGACCTTTGCTCACTACAGCCGGTCAGACGGTGTAATCTGAATTGGCGTCGATAGCAAATCAGTCCAGGTCGCCATAGTACGCCCTCAGCAATGTTCTGCCTTAGATGACGCATCCCATTATTTATGTCAAACACTTACTTCCGAGCCGCATAAATACTGGACGCCCACATACGTCTTGCATCTGATAGACGCCAACGTCCCTGCAGTCGCTCCTAACATCGACTCGCCCGGCATACCCGCCATGCACCCTCCTGACCCAAAAACAGCGACTCAGACGATCTGCAAGAATATCGCAAATGGGGAGTGCGAGCACGACGCAGGATCGTATGCCTATCGGCAACTGCAGAGTTGCCAATTCAGCCATAGTACGATCATTGAACCTCCATAGCTCCAGCGAGCACGACCCTGCAGGGCTCCTCCCTGAGCTAGCATCGGCATTGACTTCAGCTAGGCCCCTCAAGAGGGCGGCGAATTTCTGTGATAGTGCTTCATATAATGCATGGAGGTTCGAAGGCAGAACCTTGTTGCTATTCATAAGCCGGAATTGCATGCGCTCAGATATGCTGCACTGGCAGGTCGCAGTTATCCGGCACAAGACGCCCTCGTAGGCAGCGATCGCTTCGCAAGCCGCACTGAAATTTGCTTTTAGCATGAATAAACGGCGCATATATGCAACCGAGACTCACGATTCGGAGTTGGATGACATCGAACACGCGCCAGTAGAGACAGACGAGCTTTATGATTTGCCGTCGTCATTGCCGTTTATTCCATCTGTCCCTTTCGCACCATCTGCTGCTTCCTCCTTCGTCTCACCAACCCACTCCTTCTATCTTTCCAAAGTAACCCGCAGCTCCTTTTCCATCGGAATCTCTTTGTCTTTCATCACAACGCCATACACCTCCACCAGAGCCCGCCTCAAGAATGGCACGAACACCTCCACATAGGCCGTCCCCGCTGCCCTCACCACCTCCAAATGCTTCTGTTCCTCTTCCCCACCGCCATTTAAATATTGTTCTGCCGCCGACAGCTTCTCTCATCAAGTGCAGGCAAATTTGTGAGCCCCTCCGCGAGGCAGTGCTCTAGTGTTCGCAACAGGTCGTCGAGCACTTCTACGAGAGCAAGCGTACGGAGGCTGTTGAGGCCTGTAGGAATGCATTTTGGCAGATTGTGCTAGAGCAGGGTACGAGACAAGTGTGGGCGGATGATCGTCCGGTGGGCCAGATATGACCGTATTCAATTTCGCCTTCGTAGGAAGCGGCGGAGAGGCAAGTGATGTCGAGGCCACGAAAACTGAGAAGGTCTGGCAGCAGATATTGCTAAGTTGGCTTGAGACCCGTTCGTACCGCTCTCCCTGCATGACCCAACCTTTCAGACCGGCATTTAATGGCCTCCTCAATTTCCTTTTCGGCACCACTCCACTCCACACCGCGTCAATGAAAATCAGCGCGAGCAGCGCCCTGAGATCCACCCCCACACGCGCGAAAGAGTTGGCACAGTAAACCAACTGTGTAAGCAGCGAGGTAGGTAAGGACGGATCAGGGATATGCGGAGGTCCTCGGAGCAGAGACAGCAAGTTCTGCAACCGGAGCATCGTAAATGTCGTCAACAGCATGCGCAATTGTGACTGGATTTCTGGCGACATTGAGTGCGCCCGATCCAGGAAGACGGCTGTGCACTGTTTGATAAAACCGTACATGTCCTCTCGCCACAGATTCACGTACCTCTTTAGATATCTCGCGCCTCCGTCTCGTGCTCTCTGCCGCCTTCTTCGCAATCTCGATAGTCTTGAAGGGGATCTCAAGGTACGCGCCTCATCCGGTGAGAAACATAAGCGCGAGCTCAGGCTCTATGACAACATCCATCTTGTGGAGGAAGCCAACCACGCAGAAGAGCGGGCGGAGCTTGGCCTGCTCGCTGTGCATGCGTAGAAGCTGGCCGAGCATCGCCTCCACACGCGCATCGCATTCGGCCTTGACGCACTGCACGAGCGGGTTGGAGGGGAAACACCTAGAGATGGAATTGGAGCGGTGTGCGAGAAGGAGAACATCGGCATAGTTGTGATTCCTGACAGAGAAATCGAGCATCGTAGAGCTTGCCATCATGCTCGAGGACGAGTGCGGCTTTGCGTCGCTCCTTCGCGTGTGTCTTGCGCGAAGGAACGCACAGAAGTCTTGAGGGCTGGAGGGGATGAGATGGGAGCATCGAGGAGGAGGATGGCGATGACAGAGAGGACATTCGTGAGCTGTGTCGATTATGATGATAATTCGGTCGGCTGAGCTTGCAATTCAGCAAGAGGAGGAGAGGTGAATTTCGCGAGATAGCTCACTGCATCATGCAATGCCAAGGTCGACGATGAAGATCCACCAGTAGAAGACGAAGCTAGCAGTTCGGAAAGGGCAGGTATATCAGCGAGACTGGTATCTGCAGGTAGCAAGCTCGACCACTCAGTACACTCAGTACGTCCGCCTTGATAGAGCAATCTGACGGAGAGTCAAAGCACCGCGGTCAATATGCTCTGCTATATTTTCGAGCAGAGACCGGCTATAATGTTCGCAAGTCTTGGGTATTCAGTTGAGCTCGAGCTGGCAGACCTGAGTTCGGTCGTCCTTCAGGTAAAGCTCTTCATGCACATGGAAGTTGAGGGACGAGCGTGTACAGCGCCAAACAGCACGGGCGCCTTCTCGAGTTCCCTGCTCACCTCTTGTCCATCACCCAACGGCCCCGCTACATTCAGCTCATATGCGACACCTGCCGGCTCCGTTGGACGTCATTTGAGTTGATTTCTCATGAATGGCTCTTGTTATCCGTGCCGCACGATCACTTTCTAACAGTTGCGAAGAGTACTACGGAGCAACCTGTCAAGTACGAGCAACGTCGAGGATTGATACTGCTCCTTCAAGGATGGACGTCGCAGCTGCTTCTATCCGCCAAATCCTAAGGTACAGACATCAAGGAATGTAATACGTAGAATCGCGATCATAAGTCGTGCGTCGCAGCGCAGCAATGACGGTATGTCATTATCTTGTTTTGCCAATAGTCTCCCGCTAAGGCACGACGAGGATCTGTCTAGAGAGGCATGATCCCGTGGGACATAGCCAGTTGTTCATCCATGGCGTCGAATACCGAATGCACTAGACGGCAAACTTGGGAAATGGTCTGCCTTAGTTGCGGGAACGGCGGATCATCCTGTCTGTTCTGCTTGGGCTGCTCGCACCTTGGCCGACGGCCTGAGAGATCGACGCTTTACCGCAATGGACTAAACATCTGCTAGATTTCAGACGTGCAACAGATTGATCGCTGCTACCAATTCACCGACTTTGGTCTATGTCTCGGATAACATTCAGCGTTGTGGCGGCGAGATACAGCTTGTGACCCAGTGAATCTCCCTCTTGCTGTTTATGCTATAATGAATGTATGCTTTGTGCCAGCTTAGCATAACAATTTGCTCGGATATCACGATCGCTGAATTATGTCAAGGTGCAAATACGGGTTACAGTCAGAACCGGCACTTCTAAAACGATCGCATATAGCTTGTATGATGACTACTGCACCTGTGCTAACTCGTAGGTCTCACAGCCCTCAGTGATACCCTGCTCGTCTTCCATGTTATCCTCGATATCCTCGAAAACAAGAGACGTGTTCTGGAGCTCGGCGCCAATGTTGCCAAGCAGGCGAGAGGGAAGGTCTGGCGTGTTCAGAGTGCTGTGAGAAATCGTATTCAAGCCCACGCTGCCGAGGGACACTTGGCATAGGTTGAGGATGAAGCGCGACACAAGGATTGACGTCATTCTGATTGACTCGATATGCATGAGTTGAGCTGAATTGGGTATGGTCAGTCGCTTACGGTACCAGGAAAATTGAGGCGGAGGCTGAGTACCGATTCTGCTTTCACTTCAATTTAAAGTAGCCATGCACTCGTATGGGTAGACCTACCCCTGTAAACACATATTGGATATTGAAGATGTTGAGAAGTAAAAGGGCCCTAACGAACGGTGGAAGAACAGAGTCGAGACAAGGCGCTGCGACAGAGTCTGACATACATGAAGTGAAGCGTGCCTTGAATTGGCTGCTTGTAAGGCATTGCATGTTCCAATAGAGCAACACATACTCACCATCTCTCAGTAGCATCGTCGCTATCGATCCTTTTATCCGTAGCTTCCGCACTTCTACCGCGAGTCGGAATGTTTTGTACCAAGTGACAAGGACCACGATCAGGTCGGCGATAGCTGGGCAAATGACCGTGGCCAAGTCTGCAGGAATTATGCGTGTCAGAGCAACAATTCATCGGTGACCTTCAAACTCACATCTAAGCAAAGGAGGGTCATCCGTAGGAGTGCCGATGTCGGAGAGGTGGACGTGGCACTCACACGTTCTGCATCGCGTTGGACCCTAATTGATCGTATGCACAGACTGGATAGCTGCCAACGTTAATGACAAACATCTGTGACCTTTTTACATATGCAGACTGCGCAGAGGTGCTTAACAGACATGTAATGGCGGAGAACATATGGACTCACAATGTAGTATCCACTGACTTGAGCTAGCCCCAGTAGCAATACCAGCAATGCAGGGACGACCTGGGGTCTGCTAATAGCATATGTGCGGAATGCGGCAAAGCCTAACCATTTACCAATCAGTCTCTTCATAAAATTTGAGGTCAAACAATCTCTGACTTGCTATCTCAGCCTGAAGAACAGCACTCGTCACCTCGTTCAATAGGTGGACAGCCTTGCAGCTGCGACAATTTATTAACTGCATTGAACATACGGTGCGGTCGTCGCCGCTCACCTCTGTGTGCGCGTAGATTGTGAGTGCTCGATTCACTCACAGCACGACACGGCATGACTCACCAGTGGAGCATGCCACAACTTGAAGACGGAACTCAGTGCGAACATAACGCCTTGTACCATGAGCATATATCGGTTGATGGCAAAGATGATCGTGACGGTGGTCAACCTGGCTCCCCATATAACATGAACCTCTTGAGGAAAAGTCACAATGTACTCGTAGAAGATGAGGGCTGCAAATATCCAATCTGTTAGTCGAGCTCGATCGTTTATAGTGGTCCGACCCGGGGGCATACCAGCAGCTGCGAAATCGCAGTAATTATTGATGTATCTGTGACGGTGATCACAAACGCATCGGTTGAATGCCCCGGGAAGTATCATCTTCCTCACATCTGTTGAAAGTCGACCACTTCTTCCTGAGCCAATATGCTTGCGACAGACGCGTTCGACATTGTAGAGCTATCAATGTTGGTGACAATGGTCAACGCAGAACAGAACAGTTATCAGGGACTTGAGGATGCCCATCGGCACGCGACTCATCATTATATAATGTCATATTGACTGGACATGAATGCAGAGGGTAAGGTTCAGATGGGAGCTTACGGATAGCACAGATATTGGATATTGCTGGAAAGACCATCTCTCAAATAGAACAGCCATGTCAGATTATGATACGTCTGGTTCTGTCAAGTGGAGCTCGGTGGTCGAGGAGGGTCGGGTCTATTTCCCAAGTCTCAAGTTGCGCATCGTTGGCAAGTCGCAAGCTCAGACCCGAGAGGTGCGAGTCAACTGAATGATCAGCAATGGCTCAGATTCCTCCAGACCCTATGCAGAGGAAGATTAAGGCAAATTGTATGCTACAACGAGATGCAAAGATTGTTGGGAGCGGCCGAGCGACAGCACTTCCGGTGAAACACAGTGGCTCAACGCGCCGACCAGCGCCAAGCGAGGGCTGAAACAGGGCCCCCGATGGCACCTGGTTGACATCGGAATGATACTCTTGTCAAACATGACACTTGACGTGGATTAATTTTTGATGGTGGCGTGTCGACACCTCAGAAGTATGTACAGTGACAAACAGGTCCAGTCGTCATTCACAGCGACAAGCTCGACTTTTCAAAGTATGACATGCCTTGGGCCCGGTGAGACTTTAATCATTCTCCAAACTTTCTGCTAATGCTGAACTATTCATGAACATTTGCTCAATACGTGATCAGGCATGTTAGTAACACCGCCTCCGTCACTGCGCTCGATGGCGTGGGCGATGAGCGCGAGGTTCCACTATGCCACTCGAGGACGGCCGGACCTGGCGCCGTTCAGCTCAAGCTCTCAAGCACGTAATACCGGGCGTCGCGTACTGAGGCTGAGCAACATACCAATTCTGAACCGCTCAATAACAATGTTGCGTGTATGATTCTGGTGACGGCGGTGGAAATCCTGATCAAGGACCCCTTGGGTGTCGCATTGCCAATCCTCACTGCGCGATGTTGTATGTTCTCACATGCCACTTCGAGGCTCGAATTCAGCCTTGAACGCCTTCTATTAGATGCCAAATAACTGTAACCCAAAGCGCTCTTCGCAGTTTTCCCGCGCAATATGTCTCCCCTGGACTCAGAAACCATGACTCGTACAATCTGCCCACACATTGCATTTTATGGGAGAGGTGGTGACACTACAGGAACGCACGACTACCGGAAGCTCTGCGCATCACGGTATAGCCACACAATCATGGATGTCGCACAGTTGGAAGCTCTTGTGGATGCCGCGAATCTCATCGTTGGTGTCCCCGCGTACAATTCCAGTGGTTGGCGGCTCTTGCTCACGGAGCGCACCAACGGCTGTCATTAAGCCGCCACTACTCGTACGATCACGGTCGAGGACTTCCTCATCAATGTCACCACCAAGAGTCTTGAAAACAAAAGGGCGGCTGCCGCTGATATGATTAACTCTCCGCGGATGGCCAGAAGGGTCTATCTCTAATCTCCAGCTTTGAACATTATATCGGTATTGATGATTCCGAATTGACAGGGGGACACGTATTGGACTCTGTGTAGGAACAACAGCGATGGGCTGTGCCCCAACGGCAGCCGCTGTCCGAATGATCATTCACGTATGCAACGCATCGCTGGTAACACGCATCACAGGGATGTCCGTCGTCTATGTTTCAATCACATATGTCAATCACGGTTCCTGGCATGTCGTCACGAAGGTTAGAGCGCATCAAGACGACACAGGCCCTTTAAATGCTCCCACGATGCTACCCGTCCCCTTATTTACTGCGGACCAGAGCCTTGACAGGGCGTTGCGGAAGATCGAGTCGAAAATGGCGCGGCGTGATGACCCTGCTTTGAGTAGAACTGCAGTGTGTTTTCAGGACTCAGAAGGTCTCATCCCATATTCAGTTTTCTCCCCAGCCTGCTCAAGTTCCCAGCGAACGTCCGCCGCCATATTTTGCTGTTCAAGCGCCAGCTCCCGCTGACGAAAATTATGGAACATCGGGTGAGTGATGTCGGCGTGGAGTGTGATTGGTCACTCATATGTCTGACTCAGCTATATCCTCGAGCATGTCTGTTGCGACGCAGCATGGCAGAGCCTCATCAGTTATACAGCTTATAGATATCCCGCAGTATGGTGCGCAACGGTTCCGTTCGACTCCGACTCCGCCGTCTCCCGGTGAGCGACATTGAGTTGAACGCACGTAACGCGGGAATCATGCTACTTATGCGTCTCAAGCCTATACGAGGTCGAACACGAGCTCGCTGCCGAGCAAGTAGCCTGAATCCCCGTTCCAATAAGTGCGACAGCCGCTCGTGCACTCGAGCAACTTGTCTACTAGCACCACGAAATATGGTAGCCATTTTTCGCTCTGCATGCGCAAGTAGGCTAACAGAATGATGGGCACTACATTGCAGCAGCAAGCGGTGTGCGAACATGTGTCGGAATTCTGCGGTTACCTTGCAGGCTTGGGTTTTTTGTCTGGGCCATCTACAACTATGGTCTATAGATCGTGTTAGGATGTGTCCTTGCCTTTCAAATGCTTGTATCTGTTATCGTCGAATACGGCTTCAAAGTCACCGTTGCATTTTTGCTTGTATTCGGCTCGTCGGCGTGCGACATCTACAACATGTACTTTACAGGATCGTTGTTTGTTTAGTCGTACTTCAGATCTTTAATACCGGCTTCTTGACGTTTACACCCGGGATAGCAAGGATCATGTATTAGTATTGTACAATAACGGGTGATCGCGTCAATGAGCTGTGTAACATGATTTGTTCATATATCCAATTCCGAGTTGCAGGCGGTTCGCTGTGGCGATTAAATTTCATAGCTCTCGCCGTCGCGGAGTCGTAAATTTAGCCATCAAGAGTTGCCGATGGTTTTTGCTTCCGCGAATTTGCTCAGCTGTGAGTAACATGATTCACGATGCATGGAGCAGTGAAGTTTGAAGCTTGAAGTCAAGGATGTTGTAAAGTTGTCCTAGAATTGACTTCTTCTCGTTGACCTTTGCTCGCTACAGCCGGTCAGACGGGTCCAATCTGACGAACCAGTGCAGACCGCCCTAGTATGCCCTCAGCAATGTTCTGCCTTCGATGACGCACCGCGATACGTATATGTCAAGGACTTACTTCTGAGCCACATAAATACTGGACGTCCGCGCATGCCTTGCATCTGATTAGTAGACGCCAACGTCCCTACAGTCGCTCCTAACATCGACTCGCCCGGCATACCCGCCATGCACCCCCCCTGACCCAGAAACAGCAACTCGGACGATCTGCAAGGGTATCGCAAATGGGGAGTACGAGCACGACGCAGGACCGTATGCCTATCGGCAACTGCAGAGTCACCGATTCAGCCATAGTACAATCATTGCAACTCCATAGCTCCAGCGAGTATGACCCTGCAGGCTCCTCCCTGCGTGAGCATCGGCACTGACCTCAGCTAGGCCCTCATAAGCCGGAATCGCGTGCACTCGGATATGCTACAGGTCGCAGTTATCTGGCACAAAATGTCTTCGTAGGCAGCGATCGCTTCGTCAGCTGCACTATGTTTTCTTTTAGCATGAATAAACGGCGCATATATGCAGCCAAGACTCACGATTCGGAGTTGTATGACATCGAGCACGCGCCAGTAGACAGACGAGCTTATGATACGCCGTCGTCATTGCCATCCACACCATCTGTCCCTTCCACACCATCTGCTACTTCCTCCCTCTTCTCACCAACCCACTCCTTCCGTTCTTCCAAAGCATCCCGCAGCTCCTTTTCCATCGGAATCTTTTTGTCTTTCATCACAACGCCATACACACCCTCCACCAGAGCCCGCCTCAAGAATGGCACGAGCACCACATAGACCGTCCCCGCTGCGCTCGTCGCTTCTAAATCCTTCTGTTCCTGTTCCTCACCGCCCGTTGGATATTGTTCCGCCCCCGACAGCTTCCCTCGTGCAAGTGGAAGAAGATTTGCGAGCCCCTCCGTGAGGGAGCGCTCTAGTGTTCGCAGAAGGTCGTCAAGCACTTCTACGGGAGCATGCATATGGAGACCTTTGAGAGGTGTAAGGAATGCATTTGTGTAGGTTGCCAGAGCAGGGTACGAGACAAGTATGGGCGGAGGAACGTTTGGTGAGCCAGATGTGACCGTATTCAATTGCGCCTTCGTAGGAAGCGGCGGAGAGGCAAGTGAGGTCGAGGCCACGAGAAACTGAGAAGGCCTGGCAGTAGACGTTATTAAGTTGGCTCTAGACCCATTCGTACCGCTCTCTGTACAGGACCTCGACCTCTCAGACCGGCCTTTGGTGGCCTCCTCAAATTCCTTTCTAACACACCTCCGCACCGCTTCAACGAAGATGGGCATGAGCAGGGCCCTGAAATCCATCCCCACATGCGCGAAAGAGTTGGCACAGGAAGTCAAGTGTGTAAGCAGCGATTAAAGTAGGGGAGGGATCAGGGATATGCGGAAGCATCTCTCGAGAAGAGACAGCAAGTTCTGCAACCGGAGCGTCGTAAATGTCGTCAGGAGCATGCGCAATTGTGACTGGATTTCTGGCGACATTGAGTGCGCCCGATACAGAGAGACGGCTGTGCACTGTTTGATGACACCGTACATGCCCTCTCGCCACAGGTCCACGTACCTCTTTAGATATCTCGCGCCTCCGTCTCGTGCTCTCTGTCGCCTTCTTCGCGATCTCGATAGTCTTGAACGGGCTCTCAAGGTATGCACCTCATCCGGTGAGAAACACAAGCGCGAGCTCAGGCTCGGTGAGCACATCCATCTTGTGGAGGAAGCCAACCACGCGGAAGAGCGGGGGGAGCTTGGCCTGCTCGCTGTGCATAGAAGCTGGCTGAGCATCGCCTCCACACGCGCGTTGCATTCGGCCTTGACGCACTGCACGAGCGGGTTAGCAACTTGGAGGGAAAACGCTAGGAGAGGGAATTGGAGCGGAGTGCGAGAAGGAGCACATCGGCATAGTTGTGGTTCCTGACGCAGAAATCGAGCAAGAGGAGTAGGGACAGCACGGCGTAGAGCTTGCCATCATGCTCGAGAACGAGTGCGGCTTTGCGTCGCTCCTTTTTCATTTCGCGTGTGTCTTTCGCGATGGAACGTGCAGAGTTCTCGAAGGCTGGGAGGTATGAGATGAGAGCATCCAAGGATGAGGATAGCGATGACAGAGAAGATGTTCGTGAGCTGTGCCAATGATGATGATAATTCGGTCGGCTGAGCTTCCAAGTCAGCGAGAGGAAGAGAGGTGAGCTCTGCGAGGTAGCTCGCTGCATCACGCGATGCCTAGGTCGAGGACGAAGATGCATCAATTTAAGACGAAGCTAGCAGTTGAGGCCTGAGTCCCTCAAGCGCCAAACTGCACGGGCGCCTTCTCGAGTTCCCCACTCACCTCTTGCATCTAACGTCTCGCTGACTCCTGAACGCTACATTCAGCTCATATGCGACACCTATCAACTCCGTTGCACGTCATTTGATGTGGCTTTTTATCATGAACGGCTCTTGTTATCCGTGCCGCACGATCTCTTTCTTACAGTTGCGAAGACTACTACAGAGCAACTTGTCAAGTACGAGCAACGTCGAGGATTGATATTGCTCCTTCAAGCATGGACGTCATAGCTGCTTCTATCCACCAAATCCTAAGGTACAAACATCAAGGAATGTAATACGTAGAATCGCGATCGTAAGTCGTGCGTCGCAGCGCAGCAACGACTGTATGTCATTATCTTGTTTTGCCAATAGTCTCCCGCTAAGGCACGACGAGGATCCGTCTAGAGAGGCATGCATCTCCTGTGGGACATAGTCAGTTGTCCATCGGCGTCGAATACCGAATGCACTAGATGGCAAACTTGGGAACTGGTCTGCCTTAGTTGCGGGAACGGCGGATCATCCTGTCTGTTCTGCTTTGGCTGCTCGCACCTTGGCCGACGGCCTGAGTGATCGACGCTTTGCCGCAATGGTCTAAACATCTGCTAGATTTTGGACGTGCAACGGATTGATTGCTGCTACCAATCCACCGACTTTTGTCTATGTCTCGGACAACATTCAGCATTGTGGCGGCAGGATGCAGCGTTTGACTTGGTGAATCTCCCTCTTACGGTTTATGCTATAATGAATGTATGCTTTATGCCAGCTAAGCATAACAATTTGCTCGGATATCGCGATCGGTGAATTATGTCAAGGTGCAAATGCGGGTTACAGTCAGAGCCGGCATCGCTGAGAACGATCGCGTAGCTTGTACGATGACTACTACATCTCCGCCAACTCGTGGACCTCACAGCCCTCAGTGATACCCTGCTCGTCCTCCATGTTATCCTCTATATCAAAACCAAGAGACGTGTCCTGGAGCTCGGCGCCAAAGTTGCCAACCAGGCGAGAGGGAAGGTCCAGTGTGTCCAGGGTGCTGTGAGAAATCGTATCCAAGTCCACGCTGCCGTAGGACACCTGGCGTAGGTTGAGGATGAAGCGTGATATCAGGATTGATGAGATTCTAATTGACTCGGTAAGCATGAGTTGAGCTGAATTGAATTTGGTCGGTCGCTTACGGTAGCAGGAAATTACTGGCGTAGCCTGAGTACTGACTCTGCTTTCACTTCAATTTACAGTAGCCATGCACTCGTATGGGTAGACCTACCCCTGTAAACACATATTGGATATTGAAGATGTTGAGAAGTAAAAGGGCCCTAACGAACGGTGGAAGAACAGAGTCAAGACAAGGCGCTGCGACAGAGTCTGACATACATGAAGTGAAGTGTGCCTTGAATTGGCTGCTTGTAAGGCATTGCATGTTCCAAGAGAGCCCCACATACTCACCGTCTCTCATCAGCATCGTCGCGATTGACCCTTTTATCCGTAGCTTCCGCATTTCTACCGCGAGTCGGAATGTTTTGTACCAAGTGACAAGGACCACGATCAGGTCAGCGACAGCTGAGCAAATGGCCGCGGCCAAGGCTGCAGGAATCGTGCGTGTCAGACCAACAACTCATCGGTGACCTTCAAACTCACACCTAAGCAAAGGAGGTTATCCGTAGAAGTGCCGACGTCGGAAAGGTGGCACTTACATGTTCAGTGCCGCGTTGGAGATGCGGCCGTTCCGTTTCCATTCACAGACTGGATAACTGCCTATGTAAGCGACGAATGGGACTGACAGTTGTGCATATACAAACTGCGCAGAGGTGCTTAACAGACATATGACGGCGGAGAACATATGGACTCACGATGTAATAGCCGCCGACTTGAATAAGCCCCAGTAGCAATACTAGCAATGCAGGGACGACCTGGTGTCCGCTTATAGCATATGTGCGGAAGGCGGCAAAGCCTAATCATCTACCAATCAATCTCTTCATGAATTTGAGGTCAAACAATCTCTGACTTGCTGTCACAGCCTGAAGAACAACACCCGTCACCGCATTGAATAGGTTGACAGCATTGCAGCTGCGACAATCCATCAACTGCATTGAACAAACGGTGTGGTCGTCGCCGCTCACCTCTGTGTGCACGTAGATTGTGAGTGCTCGATTCACTCGCTTGACGACACGGCATGACTTACCAGTGGAGTATGCCACAAGACGGCATACAGTGCCGAACTGATGCCTTGTACCATGAGCATATATCGGTTGATGGCAAAAATGACCGTAACAGTGGTCAACCTGGCTCCCCATATGACGTGAACCTCTTGAGGAAAAGTCACAATGTACTCGTAGAAGATGAGGGCTGGAAATATGCAGTCTGTTAGTTGAGCTCGATCGCTTATAGCGGTCCGACCCGGGGGCATACCAGCAGCTGCGAGAGAGCCGTAGTTAGAGGAGTATCTGTGATAGTGATCGCAAACTGGTCAGTTGGATGTCTCGGGAAGTATCGTCGTCCTCACTGGTCCTGTAATTTGTCCACGTCCTGAGTCCACATGCTTGCAGCTGACGCGTTCGACATTGTAGAGGTACCAACGTCGGTGACAACGGTTAATGCAAAACGGAATTGTGGGAGTCGGAGAGACTTACAATGCCCATCGGCGCGCGACTCACCTTTATATGATGGGGCATGGAGGCAGAGAGTAAGGTTCAGATGGGGGCTTACGTATAGCACAGTATTGAAGATTGCTGAAAAGACCATTGTCTCACATGACATGTCTGGATCTGTTCACTGGAGGCCACATTCCATGCGCCCGTATCTACTTGATCAGATACTAATCAATGTCTTGAATACAAGGCACACATAGTTACTATAGCCATGAGATCTTCGCATGCTCTTTGCTCTTTCATACTGATCCAGACACGGCAGACATGATGCAAAGCATCGGCGGACCGCACAGGCGGGCACGCCTCTCCACGGGCCAGCCAACCCCAAAGCCAACGTTGCCACCAGGTGCTGGCCAGATGCCACGCAGATCCTCAATAAACACCTTCCGGGCGGCGGACATCAAGACTTCGTGTCCATGTCGGGCCTCGCCAACCCTCTCCCGACCCACGCCACATCGCCACGCTCCATTGCGCCTGGTGTCCACCTCAACATGACTCGGCCTTGCAAGTCGCCTGAGTCAGTGTGGTATTTCTCCATTTTTGTAGTTACATTCGCTGTCGCTACCACCTCATCTTTTCAGTTGACCTACGCGATTTGGGCCTTCCGCCCTCCATAGTGCACCGTGTCCCCCTTTTGGGCATCCCTGCGCGCAACATTTGTCGCCCCGTCCTTGTTGTCACTGCCCACTCGTTATTCTGCCCACTAAACCCCGCACGGCCTGCTTCCTTGGGGAGCCTTCTTTCTTCCCCCCCCCTTCCGTTACCCGTGTAACGTTTGACCCACTCTTCCTGACGCCGGGACTGGCCAACCGCGATCTGTAAATCCAGTCTGTGGTAAATCTTCCAACAAAAGATGTTGTCACATGTTTTGAAGCGTCCCCTTCCATTAGATGCCAAATCACTCTGACTTAGAGCACGCTCTCCGCAATCCACCCACGCAATATGTTCCTTCCTGACTCAGGCACCGCTACTCGCATGATCTGCCCACACACTGCATATTGCGGGAGATGTGGTGCCAGCACAGGAACGCACGCTCGCGGGAAGCTCTGCGCATCGCGGTATGTCATACGATCATGGATGTCCGAGTCGCGCGATTGAAAGTTCTTGTGGATGCCACGGATCATGCTGCGTCAGCCGCGAGCTTCTGCTAGAATACATTGCCGGAAGGGACGTCTTTATGTCCCCGCGTGCAATCCCAGTGGTTAGCGGCTCGTGCTCACAGAGCGCGTCAACTTCGGCGATTATGTGGCCGCCGCTACTCATACGATCATGGTCGAGGGCTTCCTCATCAATATCGCTACCAAGAGTCTTGAGGACAAGGTGGTTGCCGCTAGCATGCCTAACTCTCCGCGGATGGCCAGAAGGATATGTCTTCAATCTCCGGCTTTGAACATTATATCGGCACTGATGACATTGCATTGACAGGGGAACACGTATCGGACTCTGTGTAGGAACAACAGAGACGGGCTGTGCCTCAACCGCAGCCTTTGTCCGAATGATCATATTTGAGTCGAAGATGGCAAGCGTGACGCCCCCCGCTTTGGGAAGCACAATTGTTTGTTTTTAGTACTCGGAGGACTTCGCCAGCCTGCTCAAGTTCCCGGCGAAAGCCCGCCGCCGTAGCATTCTGCTCTCCAAATGCAAGCTCTCGCTGACGAACAGTATGGAACATCGAGTGAGTGACGTCGGTGTTTAATGCGATTGGCCGCTCATATGTCTGACTCAGCTATTCCTCGAGCATCTCTGTTGCGACGCAGCATGCCAGAGTCTCAAGATCTCAATAGTCATACAGTCAACAGATACGCCGCAGTGTGGAGCGCAACGTTTCCCTTCGCCTTCAAATACTCCGTCACCCGGTGAGCGACGTTAAGTTGAATATGTTAGATGAAGGAATCCACTTTTTCGAAAATTCCATGGACAATGTGTGAGCAACACGTCTAGCAGTTCACCATTTTTCAGACGATCTGCCCATTTCAACGAATTAATGCACATGTTAACAAGTCTGCATGAAGGTTCAATATGTTAATAGCGGTCATTAGAGCTATGTTTGTTTGTCTGTCGTAAGAGAAGAGAGAACCTGTCTATTTCTGATGAGCTCTCATGAGGTGCTCTTCCACATCCACTATTACGCGGAGGCAGAGCCGTCCATGAGATATTCTCTTCCGAGCACATCCTTGAGGTGATATCAAGGGTTGACCATGTAAACACCGATATAGCTCGCCCCAAAATTGCCCCATGCGTCCCTTGCTTCTCCTTCGCCCAGAATACCACGGATACGTTCAACAGCCGCGACGGTGTCACTGACGACAGCCTGAAGTGTCTCCGGAACAGACTTTCTGGTTACAGATGCACGCTCTTGGATGTAGGTATCCGTATCCCCAGCAAGCTCCTCCTTGTAGAGAGACAGTGTATCACTGCGAAGCGAGGCAATCAGTATGCAGCCACATTGTCAGAATCGCTCTCGAATGTGTGGCTCACTTCACGTCGTGACGTAGTTCATATAGAGCATAACATCCCTGAAGAGGAGAAAATCAGTATCGCAAAGAATTCGCACTGTCACGTCAGAGACTTACGAGATGGCCTGCATGAACACTGCGTCGGAGAACCGAGACTTGTCCCAGATGAAGCAAGCGTAGGCTTTCGTTGTGGTGTTCATGCCCACTTATACTCCACAAACTGGAGAGCATAAGGCCACAACGGCAACCCGCTAGAATCTAGAATTTCAATCGGTTGTAAATGAACATGAATGGTCTGTCTGCGCCTCGGCGTAGCGAAATGGTGACCACGTAGAAATGTGAATAGCAGAAAGACGAGAATCCATGAATCGGGTTTTTTACCGTATGTTCTTGATTATACTGCAGCGCCGGGCACTGGAGAAACCATTGGGCGCGAGTGCATAAGCGTCTATCGAGTAAGTTAGAAAGAAACTCTCACTGTTATTTACGACTTGCAGAATGCTGCAAAGTATCAAGAGTGACCGTGCACCAGTTCGATGGGCCGCCCAATGAATCTACAACCAATGCGTGTCAAATTGACATTTGGGTCATTGACATTTGGGCTTACTGCTACAAAGCCTTCTTTCAGAGCCATGGTTTTGACGTCGCGGACTGCTTAGCCACGGAAGAAATCCAGGAATAAGTGCAACACGCTATATAACAGCGTGAGCATAGAAATTACTTCCACCTAGAATTTCAGCAGTCTGTGAGCAGAGGATAGCACTCTGTCCTATCGCGACCGCGAAGATGTGGTAGCCTGTTTCATAGCAAGCGCCACTACCAATACACTTTGCTGACTAAGCCGAGAGTCCAGGAGGGCCACAAAGACTTACCAAATTGTTTTGCATCGCCGCTCTACGCATGCTTAGAATCTGCCTTGTGGCATTTCGACGCCCAAATATCAAGATACCATCGTCTCTGCACATGTCCAGACGTGCTCATTCATCCTCTCCTCCGTCTTCTCCCCGGCTGGCGAAGCGACCAAGGCTTGATTTCGAGCCATTAACATCGGAGGACTACAAGAATGGGATTGTGCTCGCTCCCATGGTCAGATCCGGCGCATGTGCGACCGCTCATCTTACGACATATACCGTGTTTTCTGATCCATGAATACCTTCTTTGCAGTACCGACCCGGTTATACGCATTGAAGCATGGAGCCTCTCTGGTGTGGGGACCGGAGACTATCGACAAAGCTATTTTGCACACGACCCGGGAAGTTGACCGTGAGCGTTGACTATCAGTTCTTGCTTTTGAATCGACCCTCACATCTCAGATTAGCATCGACTGGTGTGATATCTTACGTTGGCAAAACCAAAGCGATCTTCACTACCCATCCCATTGAGAAACCTTACTTGATCTACCAAATCGGCTCGTCCGACCCCGAAACCGCAGTGCAGGCAGCGAAGATGGTCATGCAAGACGTTGCAGGCTTTGACTTGAACTGCGGCTGCCCGAAGCCGTTCTCGACGCACGCCGGGATGGGTGCCGCGTTATTGAGCAATCCAGACCTCCTATGCTCCATCCTCACTTCTCTCCGAGAGGCGATGCCGCCAGAGATCTCCATCTCTGCGAAGATCAGGCTGCTTCCCACCCAGGAGGAGACGTTGAAGTTGGTCGAGCGGATAATCGACACGGGTGTGAGCGCGCTGACGGTCCACTGCCGCACGCGCAGCATGCGCAAGCGCGAACCTGTGCTGATCGAGCGGTTGCGCGAAATTGTGGAGTTCGTCGAGCGACTGGGGCGCGGGGTGGCTGTCATTGAAAATGGCGACTGTGAGGGCTTTGAGGACGCGCTACGCATACGACAAGTGACAGGTGCGTTCCGGACTCCCCGATTACATTTACTGTGTGAATGATCTCGGATACAGGAGCACATTCGGTAATGATTGCCACTGCTGCTGAGGCCAATCCGACTTGCTTCTCTCCAACACCTTTGGTCGACCTTGAGAAGACTTTCATTCCTGCATACATCCGGCTAGTTCGTAGTCAATTCTATACTATCTGTGTTTGATGCTGATCCACGCTCATAGTGCAAACACCTCAATAACCACTGGTCGTCGACCAAGTTCTGCACCTCCCAGTTCAAAGGTCCGCACGTTACCGCGTCGAAAGCGGACCTCAAGGCAATTCGCGATGCCATCCAACATGCGAAGTGCTACGAAGACATGGACGCGCACGCCGTGCCCTGGACAGGCGAAGAAGAGTTCCAGGAGATCGTCAACGTGCTCGAGAGCCGGAGACGACCATATGCGCCACTGCTTCTGCCACCGACGAATAGCACGACTGAGACTTTTGAGACCCAGTCGCAGCAGGACGAGATGCAGATCTCACAGAACACAACACCTGTGGAGGTGGATGATGATCTGAAGACGCCACCAATAGGCACGCCGGACCCGTCGGTACTGCGAGCACCGCTGATGCCGGCGAACGAGCTGCGGATGCCAATGCCCGCTTTCATCACAGGCGAATTGACGACCCCCACTCCGACGCCCAGCGCCTCGCAGTCTACCATGTTCTTAGTATAATGGGCCCTTATCACTGTGTATAGACCATTGTATCGTGTCTCATCTGTAGCATACCTGGTTCGTGTTTCCCATGTCATGCGGATGGTGGAACATTACGAGGATCATCGCAAGGTCAAAACTACATGTATACATGTCGTGAATTTTTGCTCCGGCTCGAGGGCCGTTCACAACACGAAGAGCGCGCCGGCGAAGATGCTACCGAGGACGGTCGCCGCGCTGACGAGCGTCGTGAGGGACACCGCCATGCCCTGCATGCCCACAGCAGCGTTGTGTGTTGCGCTGGTAGAGAGTATCGCCAATTAGTCTCCTTGCCTCTCCGATCCGAGGTAAAATGCTCACCTGGTGGACGGCACGAGGAACGTGTGGCCCGCGAAGGTCGTCGTCACCGGCTGGCTCGTGCCCGACGTTGCGAGCGTGATCGCCGCGCCACCGACGGAGGTGACCTCTACGATGGGCATGCTGCTGATTGCTGTGGGGAGACTGTCAGTGATGCACTGATGACAGGATGCAAGTAGGAATGAGACGTACTGGTGACGGTAGCGTAGACCTTGTCGGTCGAGGTACCGAGCTGCTTGGTGGCGGATTCGTAGATGAGCGTAGCTGAAGATGCAATATTGATTAGGTGGTCGAGTCTCCGAGTGCAAATTGATCTTACCAGACTCGTCGACTACTCCCTCGTGGTCTGTGCGGGCTGATCAGTATCTTTGCATTTGCATCTCGTCTCTGTGACTTACAAGCTGAAGTTGCCTCGCTGTAGGCAGAGTGAACTGTGCATGGCGGGGTGAATACTCATGATAATCACAGTTTTGTCACCTAGACATACCTGCCGAAGTCGCATCACCCCAAACGGAAGAGATGTCATCCAACACTGTAGCACCATCAGCACCAGCCCAGCATCCTAGCACCACCGACGATTACTCACGACCGCGCCGCGCAGGTGCCGCGTTGACGATAACGGCGGGGAGGAGCGCATACACAAACACTTTGGCCAGCATGTCGATAATGTCGTGATCGTGACTCGTAACGTTCACAAAAAATGCAAGGGACAGCACCAGGCTGTTTGTCGTGAAGAGAACGAAAGAGGGAGCTGGACTAGACCCGGAGAAGGCGAATGGGTGAGGTCGAGCTGTTTCGGTTGATGTTGAGGGGATTATATGCGGGCTGGTGCATCGCCTCGGTATGATGCACTCTCGCTAGTGCGTGATCGCTATGGATGAGCAATTTGATGGGTCTCAGCGGTGAAGACATCGCCTCCGGAGCAAAGCACATGACCAGACACGAAGGAGTGTTTGATCAAAGTCGATATATGCGCCTTCATGTTCATGACGAGCGCATCCACATTGGGGTTTCGGTGGCCCGATCGAATATGGCACATTCAGGCCGGTAGGGATCCTGTGCGAAAGATTCTACTATATGCAGGCCGTTAGATTTCGTTGGGAGACAAAGCACACCAAAGCTACTCACCACCCCGGAATCTGGTGCATCATGCTGCGCAGAGCAACGCTTTGATGTCTTGATTGATGGGACGCCCTCGCCAGCTGATACCGTGTTTCACGCACTATGATCCTAACCCATCGGAAACACAGCTGAACGGTGAGCTTCATCACATCACAGCCCGAGCTGCGGCTCCTGATGGCACCCGCATCAGGACCTGCGCCACCATCTCAGTCCACCACAGCCTGTGTCAGCACCGCCAATGTCATTAATTGAAAGCCGCACCCCGGCAATCACAAATGTCAATCGTCCAACCCGTCCAGGAGGCGTTTGACATGTACGACGTTCCCTGCAACTTCCATGCACCCAAACCCGACGTGCGGCGCAAGGAACCAGGGCGCGCGCGTCGGGCAAGCACATGGTGGGCGGCGTGATACGACAATGCGCCTGGCGACCGTGCTGATGGAACGCGTACGTGTCGCCGCTGATGACCGTGGCGCCGCTGCCACCTGCTTGAGTTTATCGGAAGGCGGGTGCTCGGGTCTGCGAGCAGGGAAGTTTGGAATTTTGGAAGCGTGTGGTAAGGCGTCTTTCTGTACTAGGGTTCAGTACGCTCAAATGGCTACGAATTCACCTGGTTGCGCTAAAATGCCGCCTAAACGGCTAACAGTACGCATAGAATATCGCTGCAAAACACCGACGATGGAGAAATTGTTGATGGACGGGGGTGTAAGCCACTGCAGATGTACTGTGGGACAAATACATTGAGCTCGCGGTATTCGCAAGAAAGTCTATACAAATTGCACCGCTTGTCTCCTCTCGCGCATTCTCACATATTAACTCCATGTCTAAGGAATAATGTAAGAATGTGCGCGCAGGCGTGGAGTGTTGCGGCGAAGAACGAAGAATGAAAGAACGAAAGAATGCTCGAAGCCCTCGCGCATAATTCGGAACAAGGATTCCATATGATCGGGCGAACTATACGAGAGATGATGCCGGGCGGAAGCAGAAGACAGATGTGTGATAGGTGATGTGGTAACCGATGATGACGATGACGATGGTGATGAAATGGATGCTGCGTTTGAGACGTGGACGTTTAGCGGCGAGGGCGGCGTTCGTGATTCGATGTCGATGTAAAAAAGGCGCGTGGTCGGTCGTGATCGAATCGTGGATGCAGATAAAATCCGATAGGAAATACAGCGCGCACTTGAGCGGCAGTTAATGGAACAACGTGGATGATATGGGACCGGGGGCTGTGATATTAGGCGAGTGTGAAGGTAGATTGAGGGGCGTTATCCGAGGCGTGGAGGTTCAATGTATTGAAGAGGGAGAAGCTGGAGAACGCGCCCGCCAGTCAAGAACGCCGCGCTATACGAACACGATGCAAGTCAGTCCATTGCAAGAAGGCGCTACAGCGGACCACACCCACCGAGATCGCGCGAAACTCCCTAACGTCTGTGGTCATCCTGAGCGAGACGCCCTGCCGCGCACATGCAATTTTGACAGCGTTTAGCTGCGGATGGCGTTCTCCGCCATGCCACACCTGCAGCGTGACCGCCCTGAGCGTCTCGCTGCGCTTAATCGTCTGCAGCACCGGTGACAGCCCGGTGTCCATATCCAAGCCAAAAGCGACGTGCTCCGTAGTGTCCGGAAGCATTTTGAATACAGATGGCGGGACCCATGCATTTTCGACCCTGAGCTCGCGGAGCGAACTGCATTGAGCGATGGCCGCCAGACCATCAGATCCACTGCACGTCGGGAGCGCGAGAGACTCTAGCTTCGCAGCATGGTAGTGAACAAAATACTCGAGCATCTCGGGCGACGGATCGCGCTCGAACTCGAGCACGCGCAGGGAGTCCCGGGATTTGCGCAGGAGGCACACCATGAAATCGACGGACGGCGTGGTCTGAAAATTGACACGCAACTTCTCGAGCGAGCACTCGAAGGGTGCCGGGTAGGTGAGCGGAATCCTTGGCGGCGTGCCGCTGATAGTGAGGCTCGTCAGGGAGCGCCAGATGGAGAGCAGCTGCTCGAGCGACGAGCTGTTATCCGACCAGTTGCTGAATTGGAGCGAGGCGATACGGGGGCCAGTACGAAGAAGCTCGAGGGTGGATTCGTCGAACGAAGGAGCGGAGCGCTTCATCCGGTTCGCGTCTGGTGCACCAACGACATCCTCACCGGGACCACCCTGGCCGTACAGGGCGAGATTAATGTCGTAAAGATGGGGACAGAGGGTGACCGCACGAGCGAAGGAACTCTGTGACAATGCATTTGGTTGATTGTGGTCCAAGACGACGCGCATATACTGAACGGCATTGCCGAGCATACGTCCGCGAGCAGTGGAACGGTCCACCGCTTGCAGGAAGGAGACACTGGCGGCCTCGCTGCGCAGAGTGACATGGCGGAACAGCAGCTTTTGCGCGATCACTGACCACTCGCCACATACCAGCGAGCAGTTCTTAAACAGCTGAACGTTTGATTCTGGTTCCGCGTCATCGAATGCCATCTCGAGGATGTGCATGACAATCTCGGTAGGAATATGGCATCGCGTTGAACTGGGACGAACACTGGAGTCTCGAGGAGGTTGCACGACGGTAAGATCGGACACTGTATCTTCTCGAGAGGTCTGTACACAGCGCATATGTACGACAGGGACGTCTCGAGGGTGGCATACCGTGAGGCCAAAAGCCAGGTAGTGGAAGCTGAAGAACGTCAAACCCGTCGAAAGCTGCCCGATAACCTTCCCAACCGAGAGGACGGCGAGGACGGCAAGGAGGAGAGCTGAGGGGACAGAGAAATAGATCCATGGCAGAGTCGTTCCTTTACAGAGTTCGCGAACGATGGAGCGGTGTGAAGGGATGCAGGTGGTCTCATTGCACAGAGTAATGTAGCGGAACAGCAACTCTTGCGCAATGACAGACCATTCGTTGCGCGCAAGCGAGCAACTCTTGAATAGATGTACGATGGACTTTGATCCTGCATGGCGCCGCGTTGGAGCGGGACGTACATTTGGATCTTTAGGACACAAAGTCGTAAGATCAGGCGTGCTATCACGCTGGATGGTCTGTGCATATACTTTATCAACGCGTCTGTGTGGCAGCGAGATCTCGAGAGTGACGCACCGTGTGACCAAAAGCTGAGTAGTGGAAGCTGGGGTAACCCATCATAAGCTGTCCGACAAAATTCCTGACCGTGAGGATGGCGAGAATGGCGAGAACGGCGAGGAGGAGAGCTGGGGGAGCAGCACAATAGAGCCATGACAGAGTTGCGCTTTTATAGGTGTGATTGGGGAGGCAAGGCTGGTTGACGTGCAGAGCGCGCGCTTCCCACCGCAGCTGCCAATGTCTATTGTCGGCAAAATCCGTCGTCCTGCATTCCTCGGCTGCCTTATCCGGAACTCACCGCCGCTGTCTGCGGCGATCCCGGAAATCATTCTTTCTCTTCCTTCTGCTGATTCCTCCTCTTTACCGCCAAAGCGGGCAGCACGGCCACTGTTTGCGATGAGACGCGAGTTGAATACACTTTTCTTAGCGTTCCACACCCCAGCCTCGAAGTCAACATCAGGATAGAGCGGTTAATTGTCCCCTTGACAGGCCGCCCGATGCGGAAAAAAACCAGATCTGAAGAGGAATCGCGGCTTTGCTTCTGCAGCCAATGCCCCCGATGGCTGCCCGAAATCCTGCTCTCGCGTGTGCGGCTGAGCTCTTTGGCGTACGAGTGCCCCGCAACGTTATTGTTGCACCCGTGGAAGATTGGCATCTCATGACCCATCAATGTCGCCGCAACGCACCACTTGTGAATGAGCTCGTCTCTAGCTGATTTTCACCTCCTCGGCCCGAGGACGCGAACAAAAGCAAAGATCCAAGACGACTCGTCCTGCGGGTCCGCTTCACAATAGAAACAGCTTGACCTCGTGCGAAGACACTCCATTGCCGTATTCGCTTCACACCACACGGCGGCACTCGCCGCTCGGGCGCAATGTTCGGGTCAGTACTGTGGCTCCACCACTGCATTTGATAGCGTCGCCTCCTTCCTACCACCGCCTCTCTACAGCCATCCCCGTAATCCTGTGCTTTCTTTGCTTTGAACTTGACATGTTCTCAGTGCTCCCTCACCTTCCCCCGATACAGTCACGACGCCTCGGGACCGGCATCTACTTCTCTCGATCACCAGCCTCGGTTGTCCTCGGTGCTCTGTATAGACGCGTCCTCTTACATAACTCTAACGCGTTCCACAGGTGGCGCCCGTCAGGGATGCCGCCACGGAAGGCGATACCCACTGGCGAGCTCTCGGCTCGCTCGACTCGAGGCAGTCGTTGCCATTTGGAGCAAGACGGCGGCGTTTCGTCGTCCTCGAGGCAGGCTCGCGTACATGCTCTCTGCCAATGGGCTGCAGCGATTCTCGTCGTACTCTGTCTTCGTATGCCTCCGGTACGCTCTGGACCGCGTCTCAGCCTGTTAGGCTTCTGCATTATGAGCGGTACCATTGCTTCGGTGATTCAATGTTCAATCGTGTTAATGCAATCGCGTACCCGCAATTCTCACCCACAGATGCATCCTCTCGGAACCTGCGAGGTTGTGAGAGAACAACTTGGACGCTCGCCCACGGACAGCATCGTGCTCGATGGTATTGTCCAAAGAACAGGCAGGCTAGACAAACATAACCCTCCTTCAACCTGGAAAATCGTAATGACGTCTTAAGCCGCACGAAGACGAAGAACAGGCTAGCTAGTAGCGAGCATGGGCATCAGCATATATCGGGACCTGCTGTCGGCCAACATCTTTGAACGCGCAAGAAGAACGCGATATATCTGCCCAACCAGTAGGCCTGGGATCTCGCGGTGTAGTTTTTTTAACTTGATTTCTGCTCTGATTTCCGATCAAGGGCCGGGAATCGAAGGTGCCGAGAATAGGTTTTAACTTTGATCGCACCGAGTCTCTGAAGCTCGGTTACAAAGTCTAGACTGGTGTTCGACTCGTCAAAACACTTCTACTCTGTGACAAGGAAGGGAAGGAGATAACGGGCACACAGAAAACGCTATACGCCGCCTGTACCTGCCATAGCATCTGTGGTATCTTGCAGAAGCCGTTACTGGTGCGCAGGTCTGAAACAAAAGCAACAGCATCCTCATAGTGCGTTTCGCCGACGACGCGTTGGTTCCACAATAAACGCACATTCGGGCAACGATGGCCTTTGGGGAGTAAAATCCCTATTATGGATTTCGGACGTTGTTCTTCGTTGACATATCTTGATGTACATGACACGTTCCGATAGGTTACACAGCTATTCGTGCACAGGGCAAGCGATCTTCCAAGGGCTATATTGCAGGAATGACGGCGCTGCGTGCGTTGAAGGTGTCTCTCGAAGTCGTCGACGACGGCCATAACAAACACGGCACCGGTAAACAGGCATATCAGAACACGGCAAAGGCCATATTTGCTGCTGGCCCAGACGAGGCAGGCGACCACCAGCATGACTACCACAATGTCACACAGAGCAGCGCGGATTCCACGGCTGCGCGTAGAACCGACTTCACGCTGACGTGTGTTATCTGCGATTCTGTCAGCTCAATATCGGGTACATACTCGAAACCAACGTTACCGTTGAAAACTTCATCCGTCCCGGCTGAGGAATTACTAGGGAATGCGAGGTCTTCACGCTTTGGTGCGGCAGTACGGGTGGGTGCATTGGCGGTTCCGCGCTCATCTGCAGACGATGTCAATATCTGCTCTCCCACGCCAATGTCTCGATACATACTGGATGCTCCATTCTTTGTTTTCCCAGCGTGCGACCGATCGGTGCAGTGTCCATCGATGAAAACTTACCATGAATGCCCAAAAGCGAAGACTGAAGCCGCCATGAGTGCGAGCGACAGTAAGGCTGCTACCGCAAAGCTGAAGGACGGTGCGACGAATAGCACTGCGTCCTCTGCGACGACTGGACCAGCTGTTCAGGGCGCTATAATCTCGGAGGCCTGGAGTACCTCCATGATAAGCCTTGTGACTGGCCATGAGGCAACCTTCATTGACTGCTCGACGCATGTGGATGACGCTGGCGAGCTGCGTGAGTGACCCTTATCCCCGCAGATATATAGGGTGTGCGGTGTGCGCGCGACGATCCTACCTTCCCTCCTGTTCGTGCAACGCTTTTGCTCCTCTGCTGGACGGTGTTCCTGGGGCGGACGATACTCCCCACCTTCGCGCGGATCCTTGCGTTCACGTGTGGCTGGATCTTACTCTATGCTCGTGATTCCATCTGACGATTGTACGATGACACGGCTGGGAGCTCGACGAACGATGCGGCATCCCGCCCATTCCGACGTTGGGGAGGAACATGCGTACGCCACGTTCACTCAAGGCATCTCCTAAGTCCCCTGGTCGCCGAATACTTGGTCTGCTATGCTGGCAAAAGGGTTCTAGTTGTACTCTCGTCGACCATTCTGGAACCAGCTTCGCGCCTATCCTGGCGTTGTCGTAGTTACGCAAATTATTCAACTGATTGACAATCAAGAGTCCGGAGCCATACTATCTTCCAGACAGCTTGAGAGGTGTTGACAGATGCAAAGGATCTCAGTCTCATGGTGTATGAGTGAATGAGGATCGATTTAACTCCAGGCACACGCTCATGAGCATTTGCTAATGCGAATCAGGTACAGCAGTGCGGTCGCTTGGCCATACGTTACACAGCCTGCACAGATTTATTTTTCCACGGGAAACCTGATGCAAAAATGGTGAAAATATCTTAAGTCTGGATATGGAAATAGTTTGGAAATTGGGCAGAGACAATTAAATTATGTTATGATTGTTTTACCGAAATGTATCAGCAATAGTGAGACTTTTTCCCAAAGGAACATATTTCAGTCAAAAATATGTGATACCGATATGTTTCGGGAAAGCAATTGTAACATAATTCAATTGTCTCCGCCCAATTTCCAAACTATTTCCATATTCAGACTCAAGATATTTTCACCATTTTTTTTATCAGGTTTTCCGTGGAAAAATAAATCTGTGCAGGCTGTGTTAGTAGAGTCTGAAACGAGAACAAGGCATTTGGGGGTCTTCTATATAAGGAAGCGGTGGGTCAGTCACGTTGTGGATGCGGAGCATCAAATATAATCTCCGCCCGAAGTCATCTTGCCGGCGCCGCAGGGGCGCCTCATATCCAACACCTTCAGTAATGGCATCGACGTCGCGCAGCTCGAAACCCGGATACAGTACTTCCTCTTCTCCGGCACCATCGACATTTCTTGACTCGATACCTGAACACAGTATTTCCTCTTCTACAAGAACATCTAAACGTCCCAGCGATGAGATACCGGCTTCACCGAATAAGATAAGGAAGACCCATGAAATGGACATCATGCAGAAAGCTGTGGATGTGGCGCAAGGCATGCGTTTGTTGTTAGAGGCTGTTGACAGGTATTTGTTGTTCTTGCATATAGATTGCTGTATATGGGCTGAGCAATTTTATATTAGAACACTTTCGGCGCTCGAAGGAGTAGGTGTACCAGCAGCCGAAAATCGCCTCATCGTGGCGCATTGGCATCTTGCAATAGCGCTGACTATCGCACGGGACACGGACTGGGATGATAATAGCCGGTCCTTGCTTGATTGTCGTCTGGAGATACCGGAAAATGCACCAGAAGAGGACAGTGAGTGTGTCCTCATCTTTTTTTATGACACGGCCTTGACCTAGCATAGGGAAAATCCTGGAGACATATAATCATAAATATATCTGCTTCAGCGAGCTGCAGAAACGTGTCCTGGAGGACAAACTCCCTTCACCCTCTATGTTTGGCAAGGCAGGCCCAGAAGGCTGGCGCAAGACGCAATACACAGATGTCCGTATTCTATGCCTTCGTCCTCCTGCAGCCAAGGGCCTTCCATTGCGCATGCTGCACAATGTTTTCCGCCAGTTTACGCTAAACCTTCACAAGCCGCTTCCCAAGGGATCGGCCACTGCAGACTCTGCTACTCGCGTCGCTGCGACTTTGTGCGCAGAGATGGGAAAGGCATTTGATAACGAAACCCAACGCTCAGAGACATTCGACACATGTTTCTTCCCGCTGTTTTCGGATGGGGATAGGTGGAAATCCGAACATTTGGTGAAAGCGAAGATAGATTCCCATCATGGCAAGGTGAATCGTGCATTGTTGTGGGTGGATCTCATAGTAATTTGCCTGCGTGAGGACAAATGGAAGATGGGTGAAGGAGGTGGCAATGTCTATATGCAGATAACGCGCGATTATGACCTTGCAGTCAAGAAGTTGCGCGAGAAGAAAGAACCGTCCGAGAAGGCATTTCTGGAACAGGGTGCGCCAACGTTTCTGGTGTGTGTGCTTGGTATGTGTCATGAACGTCAGTATGCATTCACGCGTGGACATCTAATGATTAACGGACAGGAACTCTGTTGTTCATCGCGGGCGGTTTCCATGATGGACGAAGAACCATCGTGGAACCACTGAGTGATGGAATTTTCATGCTGAATGACGACACAAACGTACGGCAGCAGAAGGTTGCAACTTTGTTGTATGCGCTATCCCAAGGCATATCTGCATCAAAGAAGTGTGTAACACCCACGATGCCTTCCATTTGCGGCCATTTCTGATACTGCCTTATAGCCTGCTGAATGAGACAAAGTCATTGTTGAAAGAGGGAAAGCCACACTCGCCTACCTCACTCCCTGCGTCCACTCCTCGTATTTATACATCATGCACATTATATGAAGGCAGAGGCACGCAAGGCAGTCTCACCTTCACGGAAAACATTTCTGGTCAGAAGGACAATCGACTTCTATTTGCTGCCTCACTGTCTTCATCGAAGCATTCTGCATTACCGGTACTCGTGAAGTTGGTCAATGAACCCTATGGTGAGGACGTGCACCGTCTGCTGGCACGCCACCACTTTGCGCCTTCCCTCTACGGTTATGCACGCTATGAGGGAGCTCCGTGTGCGTATATTATGGAGTATCTTCAATCACCGACTTGGACCACCTTGTACAACTTTTCGCGCGGCAATGCCTCCAACAACAACGACAAGAGGGCCATTCGGAGATCGTTACAACATCTAGTGGGGATATTGGAGGACAATCAAGTCGTGCACGGTGATCTAAGGCCTGTTAACATCATGCTGCAAGTCGATGATGAGCGCAAGCTAGTCAGATCGAAGGGCCGTAAGAGTACTGCGAAGATCAGGGTGGTCGACTTCGATTGGGCGGGGAAAGCTGGGGAGGTGCTCTATCCTGTGCTGCGTAATCAGGACATCGATTGGCCTGGTAACTCTGGTGGACCAATCGAGGGCGGGCAGGACCGTCAACTGGTTAAGTCGTGGTTTTACGAAGCCTTTTCCCTTCCCTTCGACACCGTACCGCCCAAGAACGCCGATCTCGAAGATAGACGCCATACCTGAACAAAGTCCTTTCTATTACAGCTACCTTTGTAGGCACTCCGTTAATCCTTTTTATCGATTATTTGCACACTTGACGGCAGCTTGCTATACTGAGAGGTTATTGAGTGAAAGGCACAACGCATCCACTGGATGATCCGAGCCTAATCGATATTGTCCATGCAAACAAGTGGCCGTTCACAATACACAAGCATCGTCACACCGCGTGAGATAGACAGTCCGAATGTTCACCGTAAACCTCTCAAGCTACCGGCTTCGCGCCTGTCCTGGCGCTGTCGTAGTTCTCATTGAACCATTTCACCGTGTCATTCAGGGCTGCGGAGAGCATGCATGAGCATAAGGCGACACGTCAAAAGGGACCAGGTACCACGTACCTTTATCGAACGGCGTGAACTGGAAGTCACCAATGAGCGACAGCAGCTTCTTGTTCGATGCCGGCTTGCGGAACTGCCCATCTGCGCGGGTCGTGTCGAACGTGTACTCGCCCTTGTAGTCCATTGCCTTGACGATTGCATCCGCAACTTCCTTGATGCTCACCTCCTCGTCCTCACCGACTGCATAGCACTCGGTCAAGATACGGCAGACTTGCTCGCGATGTAAATGCTGAACTCACCTGAGAGGATGACAGGCTCGACGTCGTCGTACTTGCGAAGCCGCCAGATGAATAGCTTGGCAAGATCGTAGGAGTATATGAACTGCCGCAGCGGTTTCCCAGTACCGGATATGACGAATGGAGTGCCATTCTCTGCGACGAAATCAGATACTACGAATCCCCTGTTTTGCATACAGATGTACTCTTCGCGAGGTAGCACTTATGGATCAGGCCTGGAATGACATGTGAGCCCTCCAACTTGCTACATGAAAATAATGATTAGCGAGGACATGGGGGTAGCAAAGATTACACATCGCACAAGTTGTCGTTGGGGCCGAACACATTGGTCGGGATAGCCGAAGTGAAGTTGCAACCATACTGGTCCTTGTATGCACTTGATTGCGCGTTGTAAGCACACATGAAAGGCCGCATTAACTGAGAAACGCACTGGTTCTGGACATCCACCATTCTCTTCGCGTGTGCATACCCGAAGTTACTCTCGTGCGGCAGGCCCAGGTGGATCTTGGTCTCGTCCAGCGGATACGTGACCTTGTCCGGGAAGACACATGTTGAGAGGCATGAGATGACCTTCTTTGTATTGTTCAGGTATGCATTGTGGAGGACGTTATCGTTGATGAGGATGTTGTCCCGCAGGAATGTGAGCTAGGGGCAGCGCATGTCAATGAGACCTTGCGTGATCCACGGTGTTTAATAAGGCAGTACCTTGTACTTCATGTTCTTGAAAAGGCCGCCAACTGCGTGATATAAGCTGGCGATCCTGTGCTGTCTCAATAGTATGCGATCTCACCGAACGCGGCGAGGTGAATAACATGGGTCGGCTTGTACTTCTCAAACAACTTCTTCATCTGTTCCGGATCCCTAGCTCGTCCTCGGGCCCTCAGCAAGACATGCGTGGCACATTGACATAGCCACCTCACCTCAGATCAGCTTCAGAGGAGCCAACGAATATCCACCGTTCGCCGGGCTGCTTACCAAAGCGCGACCCCTCCGGCTCTGTCTCAATGACATGCTGGATAGCCTTGCCCACAAGACCAGTACCTCTAGTGACTAGAATGACAGACATATTGCAGGCAAGGAAAGTTGGACGTCGCGAATGGGAAGAGAAGGTACAGTTATCGAGGTCCGAGGAGAATTAGTTGCAGGTGTTGTAGATGACGCCCGGTACGGTTCGGACCGGTCACTGCACTGCCCTTCCACTCCGCCGTCTCATACCCAGGCATCTTTACTGTACACTGCTCTCTCACTCCCAGTGAAAATCCTGTCTGGAGGGAACGAGTGACGTTGTGGCAGAATGGTGCCAAGAGAAAGTCCGATGAGGCAAATCGGGGCAAAATGAGTGGTTGAGCGCCAAGACGCGCGACGCGGCTTATAATTAGTTAGGTAACTGAAACTGCTGTCTGCGTCCTCCCGCGCAACCGTCGTTTCAATTTCATGCACTTCAATTACTTGCCACGAGCATGCGTGACTCTGAATCAAAATCGGCTGGTCCCAAAGTCTACTACTGCAATTGCCCGAGGTTCTGCAAAGTCCAAACACGAGTGTCAAAGACGACATACTATGCACATAGACAATATCGTGAAGGCAGCTCTACCCGAACATCACACCGAGATTCCACTTCATCATCATCAGTGAACTCTGCGGCAACACATATAGCTGGTGGGGAGCCTCGCGAACTCGAAATCTCAACCGCTCGCAAGCGTAGGCACGAAGATGACCATGAGCTGCAGGTGGTAAGAATAAATCGTTTCAGAATGTTAGACAGTCTAGAAATCGAATACTGTGCTTGTACAGAATGACCAAAACCTGCAGGATGGTCATCCTGAAGGGCCTGCGCATTCCTCTCAGATGAATGGGCACGAGAATGATCCTAACGTGCTAATGGTAAGAGTAATTTCGTATTCTAAGTTTCCTCTATCGATATACAATTTGTTATTTGCATAGGATGATGGAGCGTCTCAGCGTGACAGCTCCGAAGAGTGCATGTCTAGCTTCCGAAAGGGCGAAAATGATATCTCACCCATGGCATCTCATGCTAGTGGACCGATTACTGGATGTGGAGCAGAAGGAGAGCAGGCAGTCGCGAGCCATTCTACAAATGCAGGCAGTTTGCCTGACGATTCTCTTGTGGCTGCACCAGATGATGGATCCAAACATTCTATCGCTGATCCCAACACAGGTCTCTTGGAGCAATTGTCATCTGCTGTTGATCCTGGAAGCCTTGCTGATCCTCTCGACGGAGCACTCCCTGATATGCCACTTCCTGACTCAGCTGTGCATTCATCTGCTGCAGTGAATGATGACAACTTCGCAGATGAGTTTGATGACATGCTCTGTGCACCACGGATTGAAGAACTGAGGATTGCCGCAGATTTCAAGCGCCTGCTGGCAGATGCGAGTTGGGAAAACTCAGATCTTGACAAGGACACTATACACTGCTTGCAACATCCATTGGAAGAGCCTCTCAGCATCGATGAAGATCCCGATCTGCTGTATTCTATAGAGCTTTATCTCGCCGTGGGATCTGCCTCTCAACGTGTCTATGAATCCGTGTGTCAAGCTGGGTTACGACGATTTCCAAATGTCAAGATCCTTGCTTATGACTAAGTCAAACGCCGTATCGCCAATATGACGGGGATTCATGCATTGAAGCATGACATGTGTATCAACAGCTGCCTCGCATTCACAGGGCCCTTCGAAAATGACGAAGTGTGTCATTATTGTGATGAGCCACATTACGACATGAAGATTCTCCATGCAAGTCACGGCAAGAAGAAGGTCGCTCGCCAAGATTTCTATACCATCCCCCTCGGGCCCCAGCTCCAGGCTCTTTCATGCTCTACTAAGGGCACCATGAATATTCGGCATGGTCACACACAACTTCGCACGATAATTGACGGGTTAAAGTCCACTAATGGAGTGCTCGAGGAGTGGAGTGACATATACCATGGTGAGCAGATCATCCAAGCCGTCAAACGCGGTGAAATACAGGAACGTGACATGATTCTGATGTTTTCGATTGACGGTGCACAACTCTATCGCTACAAGGCATCAGACACCTGGATATATATCTGGGTGCTCTTTGATTTGCCCCCAGAGTTGCGATATAAGAAGAAACATGTTCTTTCCGGCGGCTTCATTCCAGGCCCCAACAAACCAAAAAATCTCGATTCCTTTCTATTTCCGGGTCTTCATCATGCTCAGACACTCATGAAGCATGGGTTTCACTTCTGGGATGCCCTTGATGGCAAGCTGTATGATTGCCGACCATTTGTACCATTTGCGGCTGCAGATGGGCCAGGTCTTGCTCAAGTCAACGGTGGTACGGGTCACAAAGGGTGCCGTGGATGTCGTATGCACTGTGAATTGATCGGATGACACAAAGAAAATGTGCCGCATTATTACCCTGCTCTTGCCAAACCTCTAGGCTATACTATTGCTGGATGTGATCATGATGACGTAGACCTCACGATCATTGATCCTTATCCCTCTGCCGAGGAGTATATATCCAACCTTCACTACGTCTTAGAGTCTACTTCAGATGGTCAATACAAGAAGCGACGTCGCAAGACTGGAATTGCCAAGCCAAGTCTCTTTAGTGGGCTCTCGCGTACTTTCTCTATGCCTGGATGTCTAGCAATTGATTTAATGCATCTCATTGCTCTAAACATACCAGACTTGCTTCTTGGACTGTGGCGGGGCACACTAGATTGCGAAAGACCTGATGATAGGTCAACTTGGGACTGGGCAGTCTTACGAGGTGAAACATGGAAGACACATGGTGAGGTGGTTGGGAAGACACTTCCATACCTTCCTGGCTCATTCGATAGGCCGCCTCGTGATCCCGCAGAGAAACTGAACAGTGGATATAAAGCATGGGAGTTTCTGCTTTATATATTCGGCATGGGGCCTGCACTGTTCTACAATGTCTTGCCTGAACGATACTGGCAGAATTTTTGCCAACTGGTGGCAGCAGTTCGAATACTTCATCAGCGCAAAATCACACGAACACAACTCAAGCATGTGTATCAACTGATTCTGGAGTTTACGAAGACCTTCGAGAATTTATACTACTGTGCTCGGCAAGAGCGCATCCACTTCTGTCGCCAAAGTATACATGCATTGTGGCATATATCTTGGGAGGTTATTCATGTCGGACCTCCTGTCTATTACACACAGTGGACGATGGAGCGTACAATTGGGAATCTCGGAGAAGAAATCAAGCAGCCATCAAATCCTTACAAGAATTTATCAGAGCAAGGGCTTCGACGTGCACAGGAGAATGCTCTGAAGGCTATGATACCTGCACTTGCAGAAGGCAAAGATGACACAGACACATATCGTCTTCCTCGTGGTGCCATTGATATTGGTGGTGGTTATACCTTACTACGTGCAAGAGAAGAGGTACTACACCACATTCCTGGCCCTGAAGCGGTAGCCTTTCAGCGCTTTTTGTCAAATGCTGATAATTTCACTGAAGGTTGGGATGGTAAAGCCACAAAATGGGCACGTTTGCGCCTTCCAAATGAACAGATTGCATGCTCAGCATGGAAGGAGAACCTGAAACCCTTGAACAAAATTCGAACTGCTCAAAATGTAAAGGTGAATACCTCCAATGTCATCTATGTATGGGACTCATTGTCTTGCATATTCAATTATAGCTTCACCTGGGTGACAGTATTCGATTTGCAGAGGTCCAGTACTACTTTTGTGCCTCAGTCCAACGGCAAATGGTTATACTTGCAATGGTGTCAATGTATAGTCAGCCTGACTCTGATCTTCTTGAGAGATCACATAATATGGTATGGGTTTTCAAATATCCTGAATCTCTTTCCCTTCGTGTCGTTGAAGTGAAGAACATTGTGTCAGTAGTAGCCATGATTCCAGTTCCACATTCTCTCGGTATGCCCCAAAATGGGCAGTATTTCTTCTTGGTAGAAAAACCTGGTTTAGATGTTGCATGGCTTGGTGGTGCTGTAGAGACGATCATAGAGGAGTAGGATAATGTACTATTTTTGCTATAACAAGTGAATCATGCACGAAATGTTTCTGGTCTGCCCCAAGAATCTGTTATAAGCGCCCAAATTCCGTGGCTACCGTAACATTATTTGGTGTTTAAACTCCTGGTATGCCACAAGAAAAAAGATTTCTTTGGCTCAAGATTGTCACAAATACAGTCCTTGTGACCCTAACCATTCTCATATAAATACCTGTCACAGATTTTCGTCACAAAGTCCGCACGTGACTTTTCTCACACCACAGATCACGTGCTTCACCAATATCTCATGCCACTCAGCCACAGACGCGACGCGTAGAGATCAGGTGATAGTCCACATCACATGTTATGGTCCAGACCCGTGGATGATACGGTCGGACCTGTCGATTCCAGGATACAATAGAGGCACCCATTTTGGGAACAAAAGGAACAAGGACTATTGTTAAGCATCGGCCTTCCGCTTCCTATTAGTTTAGCCAGAAGCCTAGATAGGTACGATGTTCACATCGGAGAACAAAAGGGAAACCAAGATAGGCACGATGTGCACACGCATTACTGCGGCAACCATCGATCTTCCCACTTATTGTTCTACTTCCAGACATCCTATTGTTTCATGTACGGCCATTTGCTTATACCCGTAGATAGGTAGCTTAGGTAAGATAGCCTGCTGTATGTGTATATAAGACCAGCCATGTAGGGGACGAAACCTCAGATTGTTTCTCCTCGTCTACTACCTGTAGCACTCACTGAGCTCACCAGCTCCTTCATATATCTCTCGCCCTTTCCTGCGTCTGCCAACATTGACCAGTAAGTCAACAGGCTCTTGCGCCACATAGGGTTCAGGGGGATACCTTTGGGATCAGGGGGATCAGGGCAGCACGTTCCACGTGACTGTCCCTTTTTAGTCTTTTTGATCTCTTGTCCGGTGTTACCGTGACAATACCCTAAGCGCCAGCACTAAGCGCTGGACCAGGCTATACATCACTTAGCCAGGTATCCAAGCGCACATCTGTATATTACACGGATGGTGCTGACGCACATAGCATATTACATTACATATGCTGGTATAGAGAATAGGTTACATGGGTTACCTGTGAAGGGCTAGATCCAATATATAGTCTCATGTCCTCGCGTGACCTCCAGCAGGCTATGCTGCTACAAGGGCCTACAGCCGAAAGGTGCCCAGTAAGCGTAGAACGAAGGAAATCTAGTCACGTGACTAAAAGCCCTAAAAAGGAATACGTCACAAATGTGCCGATCATATACAATCTGACACAATGGATCATATCATGATCATAGTTCCCAAGGGAACCATTGAGTCCTACAATAGATTGTATCGGCACGTGACTTATCGGGATCAACCAGAGATCAATTGACTAGTCGCCGATATAAGTCCTGGCCATTAAGCCACATAGGACTTGCGACCTATTAATAGTCATGGAGATAGATCTCATAGCGTCTATTAGACTGAACCAACCAACCTCAATCCTAGTCTCTCCAAGAGACCTGCTAAAGGATTAGAGCAAGGCAGTCTACGCTATCCTTATCCCGAAGATATGACAGAACGGCCTTTTACTAGACTTAGCATATGTGACAACCCGATCCCCGAACAGGATCCTCAATAGGGTTGCGACATTAAGTCTGAGCCTTTCAGAGCCATAAAAGGTCTAGAGTAATCTCGGACATCATTGTGCGCAGTATATCACATGCGAATCACATAATGATGTCACGAGTCCAGACCTATCTCAAGTACACATCACGTACAAGCTCAGATCCACAGACCGGATAAGATCTGACCCTGATAAGAGGCCACCGATCCGGCATCTAAAGAAGTCTTGACCTGGTTCCCACTTGATATTAGAAGAAGCCATGACTGAGTCTTCTATAGACTCCTGTATTAGTCTTGGCTGATATCAAAGTGGATCTCCGGGGCACTGTCGGGTGTTTCACCTTGACAGTTGTGGGATACATAATTCCTGATGGAAATACGTAAACGTCTAGTGGGGATCCAAAGAGGTTCCTTCAGTTAAGGATACTCACGGCGCAAGCCATGGTCCAATAGATACACGTAGTTATAATAAGGTCATAAGGTCATAAGGTCATGAACAATAAAGCGGCACCATTAGAAGGTATTTGGCGCAGCACCTCATCGTATGTGTACAATAAGGTAGGTTCCCACACCGGCTCGATCTGTAGGTCCATACCCGGTATCAGGGGTCCTGGATCTAACATACTTGCCATATAAGGGTTCCTAGTATACATACGTATTATAATATGAAGTAGGATAGACGGTATATCGGGGTACTCCCCTGCTTGTATATATACTAGGGTCAACTGGGAGTAGATCCCCAGTTCTATCATACTTCCCCACCTGGGGCTCACTCCTATCTGAGTCCTAAGGGACTGGCTAGCGATCCAGGTCAATGACCATCCGACATGGGACTTCAGGCCGCCTAACTGAGGGCCTGCTTGTAGTTGTGTAGTGATACACATTATCCTGCCACCACCCTCTCTAGTCGCCATATCACGTCGACCATTATGAGTTGGTTCTGGATGTTAGAGGTAATTCATGTCTAGTCAGGACTACATAGGTGCCGACACATTAGCTTGTGTTCGGAGACTATTCCCTAGTAGTTCGTGGCATTATGATAGAACTCATCATAAGCGGTCTCTCACCGCTTGTCCGTTTAAGTACGACGTCCACCCACATGATAGTGGTGTTATCTCTTCACCTGACGTTCCGTCAGTCACCGGCACTACCCATGCTCTGTGCAACCTCGAAGAATAACACTTGGACACTGTACGGACACCTAAGATCCCGTTAGCAAGGATCTTACTAGATCAGACGAGTGTATATAAGCTGTGACTGCGCTACGGTGTAACCAGTGTAAATACATTTAACTCTGGTTTAGGTTCTGTCCTGTACGAAGAGTCTATTCTCTCCGCCATCTCTTGCAAACAAGAAGCAAGCTTACAAGATGCTTGGGACTAGCTACCATCGAGACCTTTGTATACGATACGAATAATATACGAGAATACCCTCATCGAATATTATATAAATTATATATCAAAGATCTCAAACCATCATTGCATTACTCACGCACGAATATTGAGTCGCTCTATCTACCAAGCAATAGTACTCAGTGGCTTCATCCACCACAAATATTCATCACTAGTTAACTCTACTCCATAAAAACATTACTATGGATCTTCCACGAGAGCAACGCGGAGCCGCTATTCCGCTTACTCCACCTTTCATCAAAAGTTTCACATCTTCAGTAAAGATGTATTGGCCTATATCTACCATCGGGCTTTGGGAACAAATCCCACAAAGTGATCAGTGAAGGCTCATAAATGCCTTGCAGCAGTACAGACAATGGACAGGTCAAGGGTATTTCGAACAACACAAGGTCGAATTCTTCATCCAACCAGGAGCACTTTGGTACCAGTGGCGACTTCATGAAGTCCACCATGTCACAAAATACCAAGTGTCTTACCTAAACTGGTGGGACTGGATTAATTCCATTGAAGAAATCCTCATAGACCTTGACTCGGAACCCATAATCTGCTTGTCCTTCCATCAAAAAAGGAAGCTGTACTGTAAGGTGCAAATCACGAGACAAAAAGGAGCATATCACGCCTCTGTCCCACGGTACCAATCACGTCCCGAATAGGTCAAATTGGAAAATGAATATGATAAAGGATAACAGGAAGAATACATGTCTGGCATAGCAATCAAATACATTGTCCCTCTTATAAAAGCAACGGCCGCTTTGAGCGCCCTCTAGGTTGACTTTCAGATAACGATTGTTGTGGTTACATCACAACCGCATCCCTCATATATATTACACACCCTCCTCATTATCAAGCGACCTTGACGCTGCAAGATTCAAGAATTCGTGGTTACATCACAACCCTTTTTATATGAATTTCTCATGAATCAACCCAGTAATACTAAAGAAAGCAAGACTTCACGTTCACTCCAGACAAGTAGATGCACATTCCTACTTGTAGAGGAACAAAGAAGTCACTATAAGCTTAATTAGTAGGGTTCTAGCAGCCTATGTCAATGTCATCGTCCTTCCAGTAAAATAAGGACCCATAAATGACATCGCTTAACTTCAATATAAAATATTCGCAATCCTGTGTTTTGTAAGGCATACGCTTATAAGCAACAGAAACCCGACTCGAGCTCAATAAGCCAGTAGCAAAGGCTAACTCGAGTCGCCATACCCAAGAAAGAAAGACTGCCCACAGTCAGCATCGCTGACTTTAAACAAACGTTCAGGGCCTGTAGTCTATCTTCAAGGGAGTTCAGCCTCAGTTATATCACAACCATTTCTGTTGCCGTACACATATTGGATATCTATAAAGATATCTTTGGCAGGTTGTATCGAATCACATCACGATTCAAATAATACACCAATAAACCTCTGTGTGATCAATAAAACCAACCACGTAGACACAAATCCTTCGAATGAAGGGTGTATATGGGTGAATGGTTAGATCATCTGTAAAGCAGACTTTTATGGTTTATGCCAACGAGTTAAAATCCTAGCCATTAGATCGAAGCTGACTGCATATGGTTTAAAGTATGCATGCATGGCAAGATCTGTGACGTCCTCAACATAAGGACCTGTAGTCACCTAGGCTTCGAATAAACTCATGTCTAGTCCAATATTAATAAACGAATACACAAAATCTTAATTAAACATTTGCACAATAATGCTTCGGACTGACAGCGGTTCCTACAATAGAAGTATTAGCAATGTTAACAAGTAAATGGATTTATACCATTACCACAAACCTATAAGCCACTCATCAAGAAATGACTCACTGGGCCAACTGATAATAACCCAGTATCCTCGTGGATAGATTGTAGTACGTCTGCCAGGAAGGTCGAGGATATCGACGTGTAGATTGAAGTATGCACGTTGTCACGGTAACACCGGACAAGAGATCAAAAAGACTAAAAAGGGACAGTCACGTGGAACGTGCCGCCCTGATCCCCCTGATCCTAAAGGTATCCCCCTGAACCCTATGTGGCGCAAGAGCCTGTTGACTTACTGGTCAATGTTGGCAGATGCAGGAAAGGGGTGAGAGATATATGAAGGAGCTGGTGAGCTCAGTGGGTGCTACAGGTAGTAGACGAGGAGAAACAATCTGAGGTTTCGTCCCCTACATGGCTGGTCTTATATACACATACAGCAGGCTATCTTACCTAAGCTACCTATCTACGGGTATAAGCAAATGGC